ACCGCGTATAAAACCACAAGCTTCAACACTGTGATGACACAAAAGCTTGTTCAGAAATCCTACAACAAAATAGAAGAATGTAGACAGATACAAATATATTTCATTCAGTAGTTTTAATTGCAACAAAAAAAGCTTATCACAAAACTATAAAAAATCGGTTTTAAAACAATGACACACAAAAAACAAAATAACGTTAACCTAAACTACAACTGCTATCAAATGTTTCCGTAATCTGGTTTAATTTGTTTATTTTATTGTGTCATAGAATATAGAACAAAGACAACGAGATCACGAGCGACCACATCGCAGGTGTTTCCTTAAGTACTTTCAATGCATCGCCATAAAGATTTCTCTAAAAATTTTAGATAAAAATATTGTAATTATTTAATCACTATTTGACAAACATTTCCGACTGCATTCCAACATAATACCCCCAAAATGTGTAGCTTTAGAAGCGAACTGTCATCTCTAATCCGCATTAGTCGAGAGCTGCGTTATGACAAGGCCTCTTCCTTCCAACGCACTTATCTAGGATCTGGCGACCCAACGAGAAGTGTAATTTATTTGCATAGCGCGTGGAAGAGGTGTCTTATCTATGACGCGTTTTCGACGCACTTTACCGTTTTTGAATAATTCTGTAATGCGACCCTCGCAAATGCTGTTATCGACTCAAACTGTGCATTATTCACGCTACTGCGAAAAATACAAGAGAATATTTTATTACCACCACTGTTCATTTTTCTGTTTAATGTCCTGTTCATTCGTTTGTGACGTTAAATATTGTAAACGGATTACGTGAAACACTGTTTAACTAAAAGCGACGATGAGAACGTGCATCTGTGGGACCGGCAGTGCGCCAATGAATTCTTCTTAAAAAGATTAACATAATAAATTGGAGGATTGCTTGCAAGGTAAATAACGGCGTTTCCAGTGCATCCACATATTCAAAAAAGATGCATTTCTAATATAAAATGCATGTTTATGTTTTATTTTTCCATTAAATTAAATAAGGTAATGAAATAAGTTGTTTGAAAATCATTAACCCGGCGCATCCACCATTTGTGTATTTTTTTAGCTGTTTCTTTTACGTATTTTAAATTTATTATAGATCAACATTAGGTACAAATAATTTATTCTATATTGTAACAACATATAAATAATTTTATATGTATTTGTTGCATTTTGCATTAAAAAAATTATAAAAATTTGTCCGACGCATCTGCAAAATAATTGGGAATACACAATTTACAAACTTGTTTTCATTTCTATTTTTACTGGCATAATTTCAAAACATTTACATTTTTCCATTATCCTTTGAAAAACCTTCAACCTTAAATATTTGCATAACTAGCCTAAAAAATGCTTGCAATTTCTCCGCTGTGTTTTTGCTAAACAGTTTGCAATATTTGTTGTCATAATTTAGACAGTTTACATTTGTTAGAAGAATGATTTTTACTTACCAACTCCGAAGTTAACTGTCACAAAACTGTTTTAAAAAGTATCCACACACATTTAACACCCCAAACACACTTCAACACACAACCACTCGAACTGATATGTATATCGGATTTTCGTCAAAGTGGTGGATTGTCGTTGAAAGTGCTACGAGGTCTGGAAGGAGCGCGACACACTGCTTTTTCGACAGCCCTCAACACAGTGAGGGAGTCAAGAACGGCATGCGATCTTCACCCCATGTGCGCGCGAGGGTTGGATAGTGGCGGGGTAAGCGTATTCAAAGGACGAGTAGTTCAATTTATTTAAAATCGTGCGAAAATGGAAACAAGAGAGGATGCTATCTAATAATGCCCTATACGAGAATTTATTTTTATACTTGAATCTCCATAACTTCTACTAAAAAACTCTTGTAAACATTGCTTTTTATGTTTAGTTCTACCATTACTGCAATTAAATGACTGGTTTAAGCAAATACATTTTTAATACTCCCGTGCTTTTATGTTGTAAATAACTCACAAACCTAATTCAATTTTTATTAAGTTTATATTTACTGATTCAGAGTCGATTGTAGACAATAGATTTATGTCGCCCTTGACCTAAAAAATAAACTACTAAGATTTGTTATTATTCTACTGATAAATTCAGTAGTATCCTCAATATTTAATATTCATCTGTGATACTGTAATACTCATATGTGAAAACCATTATTTGTACTTTATTACATCGCGGTAATCACATAAAATGTCGAATAGTTGAATAATCAAGTTTCTGAAAATTTTATTATTACTAAATTTAGGTAAATTTATTGTCTAAAGACAATACAAAAACAATTTTATCTGTCAATATATTTAAAAATGAAACCAATTATGAAATCTTTCCATGGAGTAATTGATAAAAAAAAATAAACATTGCCCGCTAAAACGTAGTTAGTACCAAGCCAAATTAGAATTTTTACTTTAAAACGTATTATTTCACACCTTAAAGTGTTAAAATGTTAAAGTTTAAGTTGACATGAATAATAAAATGAGAATATGCCCACATATTAAAAACTAACAATAAACAATCCTCTGATAAGTATATTTCAATAATTTTAAATGTTTTTAGTTAATTTAGAAAATGAGTTAAAAATTATAAAAAAAAATTATTCTTCGACACTGTCAAAATTTACGGTTTTTCTCCCGTGTAAGGAAGTTTTGACGACTGTTTGGCATTTCTCAATACGAAACATCAAATTATTTTTATAACTTTAAAGCAAGTTTAAGCCTTGTTGAGTCTAATTCGAAGAATAAAATGTTGTTAAATTTTTTTAATGTATTAAAATTATGTTATTTGTTATGCCACTTTTAAACATTCTTAGCATACAGATAACATTATACGCTTTTGCTTAAGTAAGAAACGTTCTTAAACTTTATTTTTATTTCAGTTATATGTATTGCATTATGCAAAATGATAAAGTAACATAAAATCAATAAATATACGCCACCTTATTTATTATTTCTGTGTAAAATTGTTATAAATGCACAACACTGTAATAAGAATGGAAAGTAATAAAGTTGCTTTAATTTAATAAAATGAAAAATAAATAAAAAAAATATTTTTTGAAAAAGTTAATTCTAAAATTTCACCGTCCCTATATCCGTATTGTGACTCCTATTAGGTTTCTTACTCTATTTGGAAAACTCAAGAATACGCACATCTAGTGTTATCATCTATGTTTTGTAAAGATTGGTTGTGCTCTAAAGAGAATCCGTGACATTTTCAAACAATTTTTTTATTTGAGGTCGTGCAAAAGTGCGCAGTAATTTGTTCCGAAAACTCAAACTAAGAATTAACTTTTAAGCAATAATTCTAATTTATTTTGATTTCTGATTTCTTACTATTTACTACTAATTTTTTATTCACAATTGTTTTTTAATAGGTACAATTACGGACACAAAATTTTGAACATCAGTTACAAAACTGTAAACATAAGCCAAGCTTTATTGTCACTATGATTGACAATAAATTCAAATCAAATTAAAATTTGAAAATTTTAATTGAAATATACAGAGTGGTTACAAATGATTTTCATCTAGCCAGCTGTGAATTTTCCATGTAAAATAAAAAATGCCACTTTACGAAAATAGGGGTACCTACTTGTTGTAACTCAAAATTAAAAAATCGCTGTTTACTAAGCGTCCACTTCGAAAATAGACTTCAATTATAAACTTGTTTTCTTCCAAAGTATACATTATTATCAATTGGTATTGGAAACTAGTTGAAACAATAAAAATTTAATTAACAACAATTTGTTATTAATTAATAAGTGACACTAATGACAGAACTAGAGCTTTCAAAAAAGTAGAGCGGCACAAATAAAGTTACATGCAAAAAAATTCCAAAGCTGGCTAGATGAAAATCATTTATAACCACTCTGTATTTTTGGCGTCGATTTTCCGAAATAATAATGCCAGCAATACGTGTTTTTATACTTATGATTTTTTATCATTTTTTCTTTAGCTATCAGGATAAAAATTACAAAAACCGAAGGTTAGTTGCATAAGGCCGGTTTTACATTTTTATGACAAATCGTCCAAAGTTCCGTGTCCGCAATTGTGTTATAATGGGTGTTTTTTTTTAATTTGGCGTCAAAGCTATCCATGCAGTGATTGTAAACGAACCATTGTATGAAACTTATTCGACTTGAATGACAAATCGTCCAATCAAACTCATGGATAGCTTTGACGCCAAATTTAAAACAACACCCGTTATAAAAAAATGCGGACAAGGAACTTTGGACGACTTGTCATAAAAATGTAAAACGGGCCTTCGATTTTCATAAATTTTATCCTGACAGCTAATGAAAAAAAGTTAAAAAATCAAAATAATTTATTGAACTTTTATAAAAACACGTATTGCTGACATTATTGTTTCGGAAAATCGATGCCAAGAATAAATTTCCACTAAAAAACTTTCAAATTTTAGTTTCAAACAAATTCCGTGTACGCCACTATATTAAAAATTGTGGTCCGTTCACTATACACCCAAATCACCGCCGATTATGACGCCAAATTTAAATAAAAACCTGTTATAAATTCAAGCTCTGGCTCTTTATACATCTTTACAGTACCTATTTTCTGCTATACGACATCTCCTAAAAAGATTTTCATTAATGGATTCATCAATTTTTATTGATAACATGTCGTGAGTCTCTTGAAAGTTGTTTCGCTAATAGATTTTTATATGCTGTTATATTTATAATTTAATAAATCATCCACTAAGTAAACAATCAACATTTTTAAAGTATAAGTAGATACTAAATCAAATTACTGTAAAATTAGATCTAATTTTTTTAAAGGTTTAAATAAAAAAGCAATAGTTTATTTTAACCATTTTAAAACATATTACTCATAAACATATTTTGTGCTGTTCTTAAAAACAATAACAAAAATTTATATAAAAAATATTGAATGAGTGACGCATTCCACAATGCAACCCAGTATCAATCAAGTGTGGACTAGGAATAATAGGATTCGTTGTTTTTGGTATATATACATATAACAGCGTAAGATAAAACATACATTTACTTTATGGTAATCAAGCACCTCTTACAAAAGCACTGACTAAATAATACACAAATGCTAACAGTTATTTTTTCTTTTTCAACAACTCCACTCCTTTTGGTTTCAGTTTATTATCAAGAATCTTTTGCTTCCTGTTGTTTTCTTCTTGTGTTAGTTTGTTATGTCTTTCCACTGCAAAGTCAATTTCTCCCGCTAATTTAATAATTTGTTCTGTTAGTTCTTGATTTTTCATAATTCGCTTTTTTTGTCCTACACCGTAAGGAGTGGGTCTTCCATCCAAAAACGAATAATCAGGACCATCAGTTAGCACCCCACAACTATTTGGATTTAAGGGTAACCCCCTTTGTTGTCTCCATTTTTGGTTTAAATGAATTGTCTGAGTTGTTCCAAAGCATCGCCTTGAAGTAAGTAACAAAACTTAAAAAACAAATTGAGTTTATTGTATTGAGACATTTAATAAAAATAATTACCATTATTGAATTGTAACCACATTTCTTTTATCTGAAGGTGTTCCTGGAGTTTAAGGTTACAAAAAGTAAAGTTAGGTTAGGATTTGAGAAGCTAATGATAGGACGTAATCTAAGAATTCGTTTGATAAAAAAATCACTATTATTTTACAAATCAATACTTATTATTTTTTAAATTATATTAAAATAACATTTAAAAATAGAAGGAACCAATAAAACAGTCATCCGGTTATATTATAAATAATAATTATTAAAATGTACATTTTACAGCTTACTGAGCTTTAATAAAAGGAATGATCACAAAAACAAGCTGAAATGCAATACAATTACAGCTCATAGTAGATAATCAAGATAAGTACAACTTTGGAACTTTCAAACAAGTTGTTTAAATGCCCATTAATATTCTTTTATTAAGCACCTCTTCTTCAAATTTCTCATATTCGTTCCCTATCATTCCCAAATCAACATTAGCATCAAGAATAAAAACAGGTGCTGGACATTCATATAACGTTTTATGACGCAACCAATCTTCATGAATCTCATGCAGACTCTTGATGTATTCATAAGGTACTTTTCTTTCTTCAGCCCTATCCCTTTTTAAAATCCTATCGTAGACAACTTCTGGATCAGTCCTTAAATAGACAAACATATCAACACCCACATTTTGTTGCGTTTTGATCCACTTAAACCATTCATCAATAACTGAAAATTCAGGTGCTGAGAGTAAATTATCTCTCCTCAACTTTTCAACAAAACAATATCGTGCGCTATAAATCGATCTCTCTAACATTTTAAAAGGAGTGAGAGTTTTCATAGTGTGTGCCTGAAGAAGAGTCAACTGCACATATGACTGGAAAGTAAAGCTGTTTCTCTTTGGGTCCTTATACATGAGATCTAGCAAGTTGTGTCCTTGACAATTTCGCCACTTGTCGAGAGGCTCAGCCACAATAGTAACGTTGCCCAATTTTTCCATGTGCTTGAGAAACGTAGTCTTGCCACTTCCAATATTACCCTCAACGGCAATAGTGCAAGGACGTTCAAAAAGATTTCGTTTCATTTTACTTAACAATCTCTTAATGAACATTCTACAAAAGATAATCGATAAATAAAGTACTTTAAGATAATTTTTACGCAAACTTATGAAATGTTAAGACAGATCAACATAACCTATGCCTTTTCAATTTTTGTTTTCATTTTTTAGGTTATGTATCTGTCATTTGCCAACTACATCGGTGAAGGTAGCAATAAAAATCTTACTGGCAAGATAAAAATTACAGTCGACCAAAATTGCCTGCTCGCGCCGCGTCGACGCTTTACCCCCACCATTTTCATTTCATGCAGCCAAGTTCACACTCAAAAAATTATTGGAATGTTATTAAAATAAAGCATAATATTTTACAAAATATGGAAAAATAAGCATTTTCAATTGCAAATGACTATTGTAGATAGCTTTTTGACGTTTCCAATGTAATTCTGTCATGAATAACAATTTCAATGAGTTATATTGTTGCAACCGTGCGATTCAAGGTCAAATGTATTTCACTTATGCATTGTACACTTTATTTTTTTCAAGTGTCATCCCGATTTTTTTTTCATTTTTGCAGAAAATGAAGCTTGGTAAAAGGGCATTTGACTGTAAAAAAATGGTGGGGATACAATGGCTTTTTAGGGCTGTAATGAATTTTTTTCCTTTTCTCAAAATTTGTTTATGTTACAAACTTTATTTGTTTCAAGTGTCATCCCGTGTATCCATTTTTTTCATTTCTGCAGAAAATGAAGCTTATTATAAGGGCACTTGACTGTAGAAAAATGGTGGGGTTACAATGGCTTTTTAGGGCTGTAATGAATTTTTTTCGTTTTCTCAAAATTTGTTTGTGATACAAACTTTATTTTTTTCAAGTGTCATCCCGTGTATCGATTTTTTTCATTTTTGCAGAAAATATAACTTATTATAAGGGCGTTTGACCGTACAAAAATGGTGGGGTTACATTGGCTTTTTAGGGCTGTAATGAATTTTTTTCGTTTTCTCAAAATTTGTTTGTGGTACAAACTTTATTTATAAAAATCGATACATGGGATGACACTTGAAAAAAATAAAGTTTGTATTATAAACAAATTTTGAAAAAACGAAAAAAATTCATTACAGCCCTAAAAAGCCATTGTAACCCCACCATTTTTTTAAAGTTAAATGCCCTTGTAATAAGCTTCATTTTGTGCAAAAATGAAAAAAATCGATACACGGGATGACACTTGAAAAAAATAAAGTTTGTATCACAAACAAATTTTGAGAAAACGAAAAAAATTCATTACAGCCCTAAAAAGCCATTGTAACCCCACCATTTTTTTACAGTCAAATGCCCTTGTAATAAGCTTCATTTTGTGCAAAAATGAAAAAAATCGATACACGGGATGACACTTGAAAAAAATAAAGTTTGTATCATAAACAAATTTTGAGAAAACGAAAAAAATTCATTACAGCCCTAAAAAGCCATTGTAACCCCACTATTTTTCTACGGTCAAACGCCCTTATAATAAGCTTCACTTTCTGCAAAAATGAAAAAAATCGATACACGGGATGACACTTGAAAAAAATAAAGTTTGTATCACAAACAAATTTTGAGAAAACGAAAAAAATTTATTCCAACCCTAAAAAGCCATTGTAACCCCACCATTTTTTTACAGTCAAATGCTCTTTTACCAAGTTCATTTTCTGCAAAAATGAAAAAAATTGATACACGGGATGACACTTGAAAAAAATAAAGTTTGTATTATAAACAAATTTTCAGAAAACGAAAAAAATTCATTACAGCCCTAAAAAGCCATTGTAACCCCACCATTTTTTTACAGTCAAATGCCCTTATAATAAGCTTCATTTTCTGCAAAAATGAAAAAAATCGATACACGAGATGACACTTGAAAAAAATAAAGGTAACAATGCATAAGTGAAATACATTTGACCTTGAATCGCAGGGTTGCAACAATATAATTCATTGAAATTGTTATTCTTGACAGAATTACATTGGAAACGTCAAAAAACTATCTACAATAGTCATTTGCAATTCGAAATGCTTAGTTTTCCATATTTTATAAAATATTATGCTTTATTTTAATAAAATTCCAATAATTTTTCGAGTGTGAACCTGGCTGCACGATACGAGAGTGGTGGGGGAAATGCCACAACGCGACGCTAGCAGCAAATTTTTGGTCGACTGTAATTTCTATCTTGCCACAAGATAAATCTTGCTTACTTTACCGAGGTTTGCCAACTGCTAATGCGCATTAGCGCCATGCTTGGGGGGGGGGGCAAACTAGTGGAAAAATGTAAATAAAATTACGTAATCGGGTCGAAGTACTCGTTTAGAGTTTTTTTGTTTTAATCACTGAGTTTTTTTTTTAAACTTAAAGTGATTGTAACTTTAAAATATCAATAGTGTTTTGACATTTATAACGTCAGACAAACGTCTAATTTGACAAGTTATAAGTCATCATGGCGACAAAACGTCGTCCCTTACATACAAAACTGAATTTTCGCCCCAACATAAGTGACAGCAATCTGGAGTGCCGCGGGACAAAACCAACATGTGAGCCAACTTCTGTAAAAGAGACTTTTACCTTAATGGTCTTGTACTTATGTAAGAAATCCCTTTTTTTCGATACTAACCTCAAAGTGGCCATCTACCTCGGAACCCTATTTTTATTATCACTAGTAGCAGATGTGACCACGATCCCAAAACTGTATCTCTCACGTTCTGACAATTTATTTAATAAATATTTCGTCAAGTTTGCCTGGGGCTGGAACTTGTTACTGCTAACCCCATTTGTTGTGTTCACATCCTACATCTACTGCTGCGGACAAAAGCAACTGATCATCAAACACCACTTGCTCCGAATTTGCATTGCAACGTTTTTCTGGTGGTTGTGGACAAGTGTGTTCAACGTAATTGAGGCGTCTTTCGGTCGCTGTGGCCAACGACAGTTTACCACGAAAGGCACGTGTTTGCACGCGGGACACGTGTGGAACGGCTTTGATATCTCGGGGCACACCTTCATCCTTATTTACGGCAGTCTCTTCCTCATTGAAGAAACAAGATGTATAGAAAACTGGGACAGCATCAAGGAGCATCTCAGACTGGAAAACCATCACAGAACGTCTAGAGACCCCACAGAAAACACAAATCCCCTACGAAACTTGTCAGACGATGAAATGCGAGAACTGCAGTTCAATTACACCAAATACACGCCCTACATCAGGGCTCTTCTCATGGCAATCACTCTCCTTCAGATTTTGTGGGACGTGATGCTTGTTTCTACAATGTTGTACTACCATATCATGATTGAGAAGTTTCTGGGAGGGGTTTTAGCAATTTTAACGTGGTTTTTCACATACCGGATGTGGTATGTACACCCAAAAGCTATCCCTAATTTGCCAGGACAAGGGGTTTTTAAATATATAAAGAAGAAGGGAGAACCTCAAAGTGTGCCTAGGAGAAGAACTGGGAGTATAGTAAATGGTCGGGGGCCACTCTTCATGGGACGACCAATTTATCCACAGGATGCTCAACAGGACGATGCTAATTCAGGGTGAAAAAATTGGGGCCTTATCTTAAAAGGGTTAGGTGTGGGGGTATTGTTGTAGCTACGTAATATCGATTTTTTATATCTATGAAGTTTTCCACCAAAAATTTATATTAATGAAACTTATTGTTGGATTGTTTTTTGCATTTGTACCTTATTTGCATAAAAGTCAGTTTTAAAAATGGACAATTCTGTTGCTCGAGGTCATAGAGTCAGGGACAGAAAATCTAATAATCTGTGATCGCATGCAATTTTTGTATGTGTATATTTACATAAATTAATTAATTGAGTTTTGATATTTGTATAACACACATTGCCGGTCTTTGTCATTTTATTTATTTTTTAGCTGTTACAGTGGCTTGCATTCTCTTATTTGTCTCATGTACAATTTTGTTGGGTTGTTTCTAATTTATTTTTGTTACTGATTAAATAACTTTACAAAGCATTAGAATTTTTATTTCCCAACTAAACCAAAACAAACTTTATGGAAACACAAAATCGTTTCAATGAAATATTTATTTTCGGAAATAGAATAAATCAACCGCGACTACCTCTCAATATAAAAATATTTGGTACCGCCTATTAACAGAAACTTAAAAATACGCGCATCACTATTTATCTAAGCAATATATTTTTTTACGATGATAGCCCCTCCAACGACCAACGCCACAGCAGCCACTACACCGATAACGAGCGGTGCTTGTGACATGAGTATTGTTTTTAGCAACACTAAGGTCCCTGGAACTGTCTTCTTAAACGAATCCCTTGTCTTAACCCTTTCGTAGTATTTTTCAATACAAGGCCTCTTTCCCGAACTCCAAAAGATGTGTTCAAGGCCTAACTGACTGATCCTTATTAATAAAATCGTCAACTCAACATCTGCTATTGTAAATCTATCAGAACAKAYCCACCAGTCTTCCTTATCTGTAAGCCGGTAATACAGAGTTCTGTAAATAAGTAATTCCCTCTCAAACTTACCACCCTTGTGTTTCTCCAATTCCGCTTCAATTTCATCTAAAATCGTATGCACTTGATTTAGAACATCTCTAAAATTCTTCTCGACAGACAGTTGTTTGTACTGTTCCTCCCGAACGCTCGCTTTCTTCAACAGCACTTCTTTGGCCTCTGGATTTTTTTCTGCATACTCCCTCAAATGTTTCCCACTGTTCTTTTCAGCATCTGTAACCAAAAACTATATAATTGTGAAATTCCGATTCTTGTACTCACTCGCAAGCGCCTTCCGAATCGGTGCGAAAAACGGACTTTTTGGATTTCTTAAAAGGTGTTGGTTGAGGATTGCGCCGGTGGTTAGCATTCCTGCAGGCGCTTTCTGRAGGATATGTCTGAAATGAGTGACTCTCTGRCTAACTTCAGCCCCCTGATCCATGGGGATAAGTCTGGGAGTGTCTCCATTACTGAAATTGTCCTCCAAGTAGTCGACAATCCGCGCCGAGTCGGGAATGATCTTGCCGGTGTCCTGGAGGACAGGGACTTCCCCTCTAGGATTCAAGAAGAGGAACCAAGGTTGATATTGTTCGTTTTTGATCAAATTTACTATTTTGCTATCGAAGGCGAGGTTCTTCTCATGAAGGGCCATAACCACCTTCGGGAAAAATTATAGTTTTTTATCTTTTTTAAGTGATCTTTAATTGAATACACTTTGGCGGCATTTGAGATCAAAGTTTTGCGGCTTCTTTGAAAATGTAACAAAAAATTAACATAATGGCAACTTTTGTTCGAAATTAACAAGACTATCACATTTTGTGTTTCATTATCGTTTGATTGATAAAACATTTTTTAAATGTAGAGATTTAATCCGTGATTTGATTCAGGACTTTAATTATAAAACCGATAATACTGATAAGCTAGTAGTGGATTTACTGCACCTATTAATAACAACAGTAATAATAATATTACTTATTTTAGTATAATTTAACTATCACCACATTGTTCAAAAGAAATTGTTTTTGTTAGAACTTAGCTATTTATGAATACGAGTAGTAAAGTAGAGATAAACTAAATCAAAATTATTATGTATGTAATCACTGTACATACATGATATTATTGACATTTCAACAAGCTACGAGTACACACTATTTATCCACTATAGGAAAGTATTAAGTTTTAATCTAAAAATCAATGTTTACCTAAATAATTCAGTTTAATTTGCTTCAAAAAAAAAAGAAATTGCTGATTAATTAGTGCGTTAAAATCAAGAATGAACCAAAGAAAAATCTAAAATTAGTGTAAATTTCTCTATTAGGTACTCTTTTCTATGCAATGCCAAGACAAAATATTCATGTAAAATATTTCAGTCTAATGAAATTAAAAAATAATAAAATATAAACTTACATTTATTAACAAACTATTATTATATTATTGAACTTAAAAATTTGTGTGTGGCCCAAAACACTTTTTTCAATTCTCAAGGTGGCCCCTCGAATAAAAAAGGTTGGATATAACTGCCTTAGAGCTGAAGATAAAGAAATATGGAAAAACAAATTTAATAATCTTTAGGAGCCACGGTCGCAGCTGCTTTCAGAAAATTATCTATTTTATTAAAGTAATAAATATCTGAAGATTGTATTCCTCAACACAATTTGGTCAAGACAACTAAAATTTTACTGTTTTAAAAATTATACCAAATTATAGATATTTTGTAAAAATAAAATGTTATACTTAATAAAGTTAAGAGTTATTTTTTCACTTTGATAAGGTCACTATAATTTAACTTGTAAAGTTAAAAAAGTCAAAATATTGATAATAAAATTATAAATAATGTCGCTAAAATTATTTGCATATCATCAATTACTTTTGATTCCTATTAGAATTTGTAAGTGTAGATAGTTAAGAAATGTTTTACACATTACAGAAAGCAGTAGTCATTACTCATTAGTAATCCTTTTTAATCGAAAGCACATGACGGATTCATTATACCTACAAAAGTATTCACTGATAGTCTAGTTTTAGTATTAGTACATACGATTTTTTTATTTCGAAAGAAAAAAGAAAATATAATATAGATATATCTACGTTAGTAGGTAATCTATATAGACATGACCAGATTTATAAAAACAATAGACACCTTTACAAATAAATTGCATAAGCTTTGTTTGATTTATTTTTAAACAAAATATGTGAACCAATAACCCTATAAATTTTGTGCAACCGTAAGTATTTTCATTTTCTGTTTTTGTCATTTTCTGTGATATTTTATACTTTATTCATGATAAAAAATACTATTAAATACCATATTACTATATTAGTAGGTAATAATAAGTATTACATTAATTAGCTATTTGTTGGAGATTAAGTTCATCCAAGCAAAAATTTCAAGGTTTTTTCCTGTTATCGATTGACTTTTTTTCATCACATGATTCGAAATTAACTCGTCCGCCAACATCAAAAAAGCTACATTATCCCAAAAACATTGTCGATTCCACAACAAAGCAGCCGCCTCACCGCATCAGCCACCATCATTGACCACTTTCAATATTATTTATTACCTTTTGGGAATAAAACGAGAACTGATCATAGTACAACAGCAAGCCATCGGAGGCCTCAATCTTGAACCCCTCAGCCCCTTTCCGCATATTTACGAAGTTCACAAACTGATTCTTGGCCGTGCACTTGACAAGATCGCCGCGATCACCACTAACCTCGTTCGCGGCTGCACAAACCAAAAACGCCAAGTGGTGTCGACGCAGCGCAAACACTACTGGCAGGATTCGTTTTATTCGTCGATAAAACATCGCGACGTCACCCAATTTCGAATCGCTAGATCACAAAAACGCGATCTGATATCATTTTCCCGATTGAGGATTTCAATTGCGCGCCATTCGAAAATGCGATGGTTTGGAAGGCGTCGGGGGCGTCGCAGCGACGGCGCTGCGTAAACTCGCTCAAACTACTGCCAGGTTTAAGGGGAGTGAGGCTTAAGGAGAGGGCGCTGGCCTATGAGCGATTTGCCATAATTTCTGATTTAATTATGGCGTCGTGACGCACCATGACAGGTTTATTGAGCTAAGTGGGGCTATTGTTATGTACAGAGAGACAGGGGAATCTTGGCAAACTTTCCTACAAACTACCCACACAGCGCAGACTCACGAATTTTGCCAGTTATGTAATGCCAAACAACATATTGCTTAATAATATCATTCTAGCTTCTACAATAAAAACTTTTTTGTATATAAGTACTGTATTTTTTCTCTAAACACAATCAGGCGATGATAATCAGTAAACAATTCTGTTTTCACCAATTGGATTCTTTTGTAATGATATAATATTTTGCCTCTGTTCTATAATATTATGTATACAATACCACAAACACAACTACATTGTGGATTGATGACAATAATAAAACGTTTTGTGATTAGTCGTGACCTTTACACGATGATGCGGCAGAAAATAATCTTAAATACAACCTAAAAACCAAAAATTGTCATTTTATTACCAAACTAGTTACACTTGTGCAATTGCTTCCAACTAAAGAGTTGAGTAGTTGACCGTTTGTTTGCTAGCAATAATGAGTGGAATCGCTGCCCCTATAACCCGTTTAACTGGGAAAATCGCTATTGTAACAGCTTCTACCGATGGGTATGTACACATTATTACGTTCTAGCTGATGTAGCTATATTCATTCTAATAAAATTGTAGAATCGGGTTTGCCATTGCCCAACGTTTAGCCCGAGAAGGGGCGAAAGTGATTGTTAGCAGCCGCAAACAAAACAACGTTGATGAAGCTGTCTCCCGACTCAAATCAGAGGGATTAGATGTTACTGGTTTAATATGTCATGTTTCTAAAGCTGACCACCGCAAGAAACTGTTTGAGATGGCAAAAAGCCTTGGGGGACTTGATATTCTTGTGTCGAATGCTGCTGTTAATCCATCTGCAGGCGGGGTTTTAGATGTGCAATACCACACTTGAGTTGAGCTAGATTTGATTTTACATTTTTAGTGCGATGAATCGACATGGGATAAAATATTTGAAGTCAATGTAAAAGCAGCATATTTGTTGGCCAAAGAGGCCTTACCTTTGTTACGGGAAAGACCGTTTGGGAGGATTATTTTTGTGTCATCCATAGGCGGTTTCCATCCATTTGATGTAAGACAGGGTGTTTGTTATGACTTAAGTCAGTTTCTTATTGTTTGTTTAAGTTACTAGGGACTTATTCGGTTAGTAAGACGGCTCTGCTTGGGCTTACCAAAGCGGCAGCTGCTCAGCTAGTAAGAGAGAACATTACAGTTAATTCTATTGCTCCTGGAATAATTAAAACAAAATTTTCAACTGCTGTAAGTTACTTAATCTATATAGCTGAGTCAAAACTCACAATCTGCCTTCTAGATAACTGAACCTGAAGCAGCCCGAGAAGAAGCCTTGTCAAGGATCCCCATGAATAGGTCTGGTGTTAACATTTTTTCAAATGATTTATAAAATCATGGTTTTTGACAGATTTGGGGTTCCTCATGACATCAGTGGAGCCGCTGCTTACCTCGCATCTGAAGACTCCAGCTACATGACAGGAGAGACTTTGATTGTGGCTGGAGGAATGCCTTCAAGACTGTAATTTGTCATTTTTGCAAATAAATTTTGAAACGTCATATTGATTCAAATGCAGACCCTTTTGGGTGTCAAAATGACCCCTAAAAATGTTCTCATATTGTTCAGAACGATGAGTTCGACCCCGTTACAACGTCTTTGTGGTAGAACAGCTGTAGTTACAGCCTCTACCGAAGGGTAACTAAAATCAAATTGTCGCAACTTCCTGAAAGGTGCGTTGTTACAGAATCGGTTTTGCTATTGCTCAACGATTTGCCCAAGAAGGCGCAAAAGTCATTATTAGCAGTCGCAAAGAAAAGAATGTGGAAGCGGCTGTCGCTAAATTAAAGTCTGAGGGATTAGACGTTTGTGGTCTTGTATGCCATGTCTCCAATGCTGATCAACGCAAAAAATTGTTTGAGACGGCTAAAGCATCAGGTGGTTTAGACATTTTGGTCTCAAATGCTGCTGTAAATCCGTCTGCAACCGCGGTGTTAGATGTATAGTTTCAAGCACTCTCATAAAGTCATTATAACGCACACATTCTAGTGTGACGAAAAAGCATGGGATAAAGTTTTTGATGTAAACGTGAAAGCTTCTTTTTTGTTGGCAAAAGAATCTTTACCATTACTTCGCAAGAGTGGTTGCGGCAGAATCATTTTTATCTCTTCCATTGCTGGTTTCCAACCTTTAGATGTAAGAGGATTGTATAATCAAACTTAAAACCAAAATTTTGTTTAAGTTGATTGGAGCCTATTGTGTTAGCAAATGTGCGATTCTTGGGCTCACTAAAACAGCAGCGGCCCAATTAGCCAAAGAAAATATTACTGTGAACTGCATAGCCCCGGGTTTAGTGAAAACTAAGTTCTCACAATTTGTAAGTCAAAAAGATAATCATTGTCTGATTGTATAACAATTTGTTAAATCTTAGCTAGTTGAAAAAGAGGAAGATAAAAAGAAAGTCTTATCAATGATTCCGATGGGAAGGTTGTATCATGAATAAAAAAAATTTAGTTAAAAATTTATTTTTTACAGAATGGCAATGCCAAATGAAATAGCTAGCGCAGCAGCTTTCTTAGCATCTGATGATGCTAGTTATATGACTGGAGAAACAATTGTAATTGCAGGAGGAATGTTATCAAGACTTTAAATAAATGAATCAGCCAACCATTGTACGCTTTCGGCCCCTAGCCTGCACTTCTTTAAATTTTGCCAATACTTCTTGAAACCCTGATTTATTCTCTAATTTATAGCCCTCTAAAACTTGTTCGAAAATTTCATTGGCTGTACTATGTGTACTGAGCAGGGCTCGTTCCAGTACGTACAAATCAACACCCTTATCTTCAGCACTAGACTCCACATGAGACAATCCAAAATCAATGAAAATCAGCTCTAAATCTTGCAAATTCTCATAGACGTTTTGACCGTTTTTATTTACAAGTAGCATGTTGGACGTTGTTAAATCCCCATGGATTATGTTATTGGCATGCATTTTTCCCAACGCAGTCCCAATTTCTAACGCCAATTTATTTCCAACGTCGTCACTTGCTTTTGCTATAAAATCCTTGACCGCAATACTGTTCTCAAAGTATTCCATAAAAATTGTGCGACGATTGAAATCAACTAAATACAAAGCGGGGGTTCTTATCCCGGCAGATTTACATCGAATTATGGAGCGACTCTCACTTTTTATCCGTTCTTTGGTCAAATGGGAGTCAAGATCTGGATGACGGTATTTTTTAACAAAACGTTCTTTGGCAATTGTGGGCTTGCCTAAGTAAACTCCTTTAAAAATACGGCCCTCAGCACCTTGTTTGAATAATTCAAAACCTTCCATGGCCAGAGGTTTTTAATTTATTTCAGATTTTACTCTTTTGTTGATAGCAAAAAGTGAGGTTTCGCAGATGTAAATACTTTTGTTGTTTACAACAAACTGGGATCAGGAAAACATGTCTTCGCTTATTACTGATTATTTTAATAATCTAAAATTTAAGTTTTTTGTATTAACATAATTCAATAATTAATAATTTTACTTACACGATTAAGATGTGACATTTATGGGTTATGTTATCCTAACCTAAACAAGTAGTTGCATTATAAAAATAATTTTTGTTCTTGTGTAGTTAGTTGAGAACTTGAGTATGGCTTCTGTAGAGGAGAGCATTGAGAACGTAACTATTACTTCATCATCTAATGAATATTCCAGTGACTCAAGTACTGAAAGCAGCGATGAAGAAGAAAGTACAGTAAAGGTTCCTCTTAAACTAGTATTAAAATATGATTTCAGTACCCAACTTCCCCATAGCAATGTGGGATTTTAATCAATGTGACCCCAAGAAATGTTCAGGCCGGAAATTATCTCGTTTAAAATTAATTAAAACTCTAAAAGTCAAACAAAAATTCCCTGGGCTGGTATTAACCCCCACTGGAACTAAATGCGTGAGTCCCAATGATTGCGACATTGTTTCGAGCAAGGGTATAGCAGTTGTCGATTGTTCATGGGCCAGAATCGATGAGACGCCCATTGCAGCACTTAAGCCCCAGCATGGGCGCTTATTACCATTTCTGGTGGCTGCAAATCCCATCAATTATGGCCGACCTTGTCAACTAAGCTGTGTTGAAGCAATAGCAGCAACTTTATATATTACGGGGTATAAAAAATTAGCTCGGCAATATTTAGACAAGTTTTCATGGGGACATTCATTCATTGAATTGAATAAAAATATATTGGAGATATATTCAAATTGTAGCGACAGTCAATCAGTGATTGCAGAACAAACTAAATATATTGAAAATGAACAAAAAGAGCAAGAATTGGCTAAAAAAGGTAACTGCAATGAACTTTTTTGTTACAAAATTATGATAAACTTTTTAGCGAAACCGGATTTTCCGACATCAAGTGAAAGTGAATCAGATTGAGTCTTTTATATAAAAATGTATTTAAGTAAAAGTAAAAACATTAATACAAGTGAGTTACGATGCATTAACTTCTTCAATCGCCAAATGTGCGATAAACCTCAACCTCATTTGCAAAGGCGGCCTTAATCGACGCACAACAGTCTCCAATTCCTTCTTCATACTATCCCCCACAAACATGTACTTAATGTGATACAAGAGATCGCAGATCGGGTCCATATATTTCAACTCGCTTTGCGCGTGATCCACTTGTGCTAACAGTTCATACAAAGCACTCGTCAATTCCACTATCGCCATATTAAACCGTTGCAAAAACGGCCCCACAAGATGGCAAACATACAGAAACTGTTCTTCAGACCGTACCACTGTCGGTAAACAATCACGCGCCCAACGGGGCACACTGGCGATCTGTCCCGGCCCAGCATGATGCCATACCGAATGGGCCAAAGCCAACATATAACTGAAATTATTATGAAGAAGTCCGGCGTGAGTTTCTTTAAAATCGAAGAGACGGAAGGGTGAACAGTCGAAAGTCCACGTTTCTAGCTCGTTTAAAGTGGCCACCAGCCGGTCATGGAGAACACTCCAGTAGCTAACCGGGAGGGCAGCGAGGATCAAACCAACGGCGTTAACCCATTGGTGGATATCAGAAGGTGGGATTGTGACATAACCTTTAGCCACAACATCGAGCAAGCCATTAGCCACAGCCACCGGACCTGCTGACAAAGCCATCAGTTCCACACAACTGGTGTAAAGAATATGAGCCCCAGCATTCGGAAACTCGTTAAAACGCCAGTCAATTACGGAGTTGGCGGTAGCGCCTCCTAGAATATCGACGACTCGTTTGACTAACTGGATGTAGTAGTCCAATTCGGGTGTCCACATTTCGTCAGCGGCTCGTCCGAGGTAAAGTTGGTACGGCTCCGAGAGACTCTCTTTGAGGGTTCCTAAGACAGCAGCTACAAGACGTCGTTTCAGAGGTGGTCGGTCTCGAAGTCTAGACTCGTAGTAATGTAACGTATTGTACAAGTAGGTAACAGGACGATCATGAAACTTATACAAACAACCCAAATGTTCTAAAAGAATCTCCAGACTTTTAGTCACTTGTGGGATTTCCAAAAATCGGTGTACGACAATATCAAAAACCGGCAAAAATCGCAAACAGACGTTACCGAAGTAGGGATGATAACCACTCGATTGTTCTTCCGGTGCAAACTTCTCGGGGTACTTCCTGTGAAATTCCAAATGTTTTTCGTGCCAATTGGTTTGGTTCCAATGATCTGGAGAGTTGTCTTTCACAAAATCTTGCACTCGATTTCTAAACTCAGTAGCTTTGAGCAACACCAACTGAATAATAAAAGAACAGACTTGAGCTTCACTGCCTTCTTGCGTTCTTAACGCCAAACACAGGACCAACCTATCGATTGTCACAATATTGTACTTCCAAATCATATCATTGATAGTATCGACGCATTTATTAACATGTTGTCCTCCTGGAGAATTACTAAATTCAAAGACGAGACAATCACAGAATTTCCTCAGATGAGCCGAAAGTGCTCTCGCACCGATCCTTTCAAGAATCTTATATGCAATCGGCGTGATGTGATCAGTCTCGAGCAACATCTTCCACAGGAGACATAAGAAAAGCGGTGGGGCCCCCGCGACTCCAAAGTGGGCCATCATATCATTCTCGTTGTTCATAGAAGACCACTTTCTATACTCCTCCTCTACAGCCTTTTTCAACTGTTGTTTATTTTCTTTGGGAACAGCATGTTGCGTGAAAAATTCCGCGAGAGCTCTCGGGAAACATTCAAGCGTGTGAGGGGCCCATGCATGCGGCGTGCTTTGTGCAATGGTCGCTAACAACTCGTGGCACCACGAGCCATCCGCCCCCGTCACATGAGTGGCTCTAGCTAACGTCAAAACTAACGCCCTATTCAACTCTTCGGATTCCGCTGAAATTAATGTCTTGGGTTCGGCTAAAAACCGGCTCAATTCGGGTTGAACTTCTCCACTTCCCAAGCCCGTTATGAGACGCAAAGCTGTCGATTCGACACACAAGTGGAGTTGGGTTTGATTGGCTTGCGGAACTGCGGCTAACGAATGCAGATGACTGAGTAACTGGACACGGTAGTGGGGATGAATGTGGTGCATGCGGTAACTAAACATCTCCAAAAGCGTGTAAAGAGTGCCCCAGGCGTGTGACTTGTAAACGGTGGGGAGCAACTGACTTATGAATCCTTTGATTCCCAACGATTCGATTTCGGTATACACCAATAAGCGACTGTAGGTTTCGACCAAAGCTGGTGAAAGTGGCATTCCTAACTTAGCCTGGGCTAATTTAATCACGTGGGTCACTATACTATGGATTAAACTCATTTTTGAGTGCACAGTCAGTGAGTCCAACACTGCCATGCTTAAAGGAGCGGTAGGTGGCGCTGTGGACTTCGGACTTCCTTGAATCGTCTCAACTAACGCCGCCATCGGTTTACTATAATAGTCCGGATTCGTCGAATATGCGTTACATAATAGGGCGATTCTGTAGTCATTTCCCATTGCTAAAACTGTGTTATTGGGTGGTACTAACTGTTGGAGAAAATCATGATGGTTGCGCAATTTGGCGGGAATCGGCCAAGTCAAGTTCGTCATTTCGGCTTGCGCTTTCTTCGTCAAGTGAATCCAGATGCACGTCATAGCCATCTGTCTTGTACATTGTGGTTGGTTGAAGTCCGGAACGGGTAAAGGGGGCTCCTGTTCGGGAAATAGCAGCTCGTAAAGTCTCAAAACCGGAAGGAAGTTTGAAAGAGGGTTTTTTTGAATCGAACCCGAGATAAACTGTAAAAGGACCCACATAAGTTGGTCACGGCCTCTCCGCAAGTCTCTTCCTTGTAACCTCGAATGCAGCGAAATGACAATATTGGGAAAGCTCGCGAATTGGAAGAGAACAAAATAGATTAATTGGGACGATAAGTGTAGCCACAAGCCTTGAGTGGCACTCTCGTCGCCTTCATTTTCCGTACGTTCCAAAGCCAGGATTACTAATTCAACGAGTTGTTCTTCAAGGGCGGCGCAATGTCGTTTATGCTGTTTCTGTAAGCCTAGCATACCACACACCATGTCTCGACTGTACGGTTGTTCCAAAACGTATCTCAACAGACCCGTCTGTTTCTCTAATAATTCAGGAGAGTAGGGCAAAGTGCCCTTGAGACTGAACCTCAAAGTGGAAGGGTCGAGTTTCCAAGGATTGACTAGGTGTTCCGGACATCCACTATGCTCCACGACTGGACGCATTTCCGCTTGTCCGACAATGGCCACCATTTGGGCACAAGCCCTGAAACTTCCGACATAATCGGAGAAAAGGGCAGCAAGACGCCAGTGGGGACAATCAGGGTAAGCCTTCTGTAACTCATTTACGAGGAGGTAGCCAGGTAAGAGGCACGCATTTCTGTCCATAATTCGTTCAGCAACGCTTAAAAGTGCTTGTGTTTGAGGCTGCAGACCCGCGTTTAGCCGCCATGGAAGACTCTTTGCTTTTTCGCAACATCCCTAAAATTATTAATCACACAAATGTGGCCTCATTTCTCTTCTACTTACTTTCATAATCTCACGAACGCCTTTGTATTCAACCAAATCTATGATTTTTCTCACAAGCTTGAAACACTCAATCCAGAATCGCGCATTGGTGTATTGCAATTTATCAAAATTCATTACTACTTCACACACGATGCGGGCTCCGATTGTACCGTTGCGAACAATGCCTTCCAGGAGCTCCATCAAGAGTTGCAACTTGCTCTGGGAACATATTACCGCCGTATTGAGATACTGACGCAAAGCGGTGTCTAATTGCTCTTGAGGAATACTGCGAAGAGTCGTGTTTAATTCTTGTTGCCATAAATTCACCTTTTCTTTTTCAGCACCGGGGCGGTGCACTAGGAAGCAACTAAAGGCTTCTTCAATGCCTTCTACTTTTAAAATGTCGTTCAGTACGTTTGTTAAAGCCTCAGCCATTGTTCAATTTTATGTATTTGGCAAAAGCATTATTTTTTGTGGTTTATTTTGAACGGAACGATAACGGTATATTATATTTACAGGTTATGTTTGTCAAACTACATTTTGGCACTTGGCAGGTTGGGTAGGCAACACATTATACACTTGTAACGCCTAATGCAGGACCGTATTTGGTTGTTTACAGCTTTATTTTCGTTCACCACAGAGTTCCCTCAAAAATTTAATGTTATACAACAAAAAGCAGTTTAAAGCGGCGCATAGATTTAATTTCAAATAATACCATCCAGACCTAGACAACATAGCGACATTTTTAATTGTTTTTGTCTTTAGCAATCAGGAATCTATTTTGTATAACAATTTTTTGTTTAAATATTTTGCGAACATTTTAAATACTTTAGCTTCAAACATTTTCTTTCGTAAAAACATCGTCAAAATTGATGCATGTTTACAAACTGAAGAAAGATACACTTTAAGCACCTTTTACACCAATTTCTTCCATTTCTGCTATAATTCAGTGAAATCTTAGATGAGGATCTATATACAGGATGATTCATGAGGAATAACGAGCCTGACCAAATTTTCGATGCAACCACCAGATTTTTGCAAGTTGCTTTGCGATACTTTAAGAAAATATATCATCAATCATCAAATTCTTGATTTTTAAATATATACTTTTAAAAATAGGGCAAAATTTTTGAAATATTTGCTTTTTACCTATAAAGACGGCAGAATCCTTGAAATATCTGCTTTTTAAATATACCTTTTAAAACAGGGCAAAATCCTTAAAAAAGTGTTGTATGCTGAACATGCCCACATGTCGTAGTGGTAGTAACGTCAATCTAAACTGTAATAAAATTCGTATCAGCTAGCAATCTATTCGTCTATTTGCATATCTACTTCATATGCGACGAAAATTTGTTTGCTTATCTTTTAATAAAAGCATTATTAGGATACCTATTTGTTTATTATGACCCAAAAAAGTTCTTTTTGTTCTACATTTCGATATGAACTCACAGTTCATAGAGCAGGTAAGTTACCAATTATAGATTTTTTGAATTCTTATTCACCTGTTTGCTTTTCAGGTGCAAATTTTGATGCACGCCCAACAAATTAAATGTGCAGAAAGTATTTTTGGCAAGTCAAATTATATGTGGCTTTGCAGCAAAAGAACTCCAGTTATTTGGATGTCAACGAAAGATGAATTTTTAATTCGACAAGCTCTAACAAAGGTAAAATTTGAGTTTTTGAAATTAAAAGTGTAATTACCCTTCTAGGTCACTCCTGACCAACAAGTGAAAGTTATGAAACAATTATTGACTTGGCTGGATAATAATCCTGATGTGCACTCTTTAAAAATTCCTGAAATGTCCTTAAAACTTCTCCACAATATGGCGAATGCCAATACTTTGAATGAAATGACTTTCTCAAGAATGAACAGTTTCAGGAACAGTTTAAGACGCTTGTCTTTAATTACGAACCGAATTGCTCCAGCAAACAGACCCAGAAGATCTGTGACTTTCAACGACGTTCCCATCATTTATCGCATAAAGTACTGATGAAAAATAACACGAAACATTTACGTAACATATGTAAAATGTGTATCTGAATAAATTGCATCTGTACTTAAGAATTATTGTTTCGCTGTTTTTTTAACTATTTAAATTGTTTATATAAGTCAACAATTTTTTAGTTATTCGTTAACAAAAAGTTGCAAAAACCGTCAAATAATTCTGAATGTGCCAAAACGAATTACTTACGTAATTATCATTATTGGTTATTTATCATTTGGTGCAAAAACCCATTGACCCATTGGAAATTTCTAGCACTCCCTCCCTCAATTTCAAATTCTCCACGCGTCCCTCGCGCACGCGCATTTGCATCTTACGTGTCAAATAAACGTCAAAAAATGCCTCATCTCTCCTCCCACCACACTTTTCGGACCGCTGACTTACGGCACGGACGTGTCAAAAACGCGTGTGTATGTTTTTCTGTTGAATTATTTCCACTTTTCCATATTTTTTTACTCTGAACAATGGCTCCCAAACAAAGGATGCGTTTCGCCAACGAAAAGGCCAGCAAAAACGTGATGTTGCGAGGGAATGTGCCCAAATCATCGGTGAGTACGATGGACCATATTGTTTGTTGATGGCGAGATGACGGGGCCTCTTTTGCAGAAGCAACAAAGTGAAAACTCGCCAGTAGGACCTATGATCTTGGCTCTGTTCATCTTCGTCGTGTGTGGATCGGCGATTTTCCAGATCATCCAGTCCATTCGGATGGCGTAGGTTAGACTTCCCTCAAAGGCTCAATTCCTATCGTGTATAAATCCGTGTTCTATTCAATTATTGCATTTTGTTGTTTTCTATTTACTTATTTTGTAAATTTATCGTATGTGAAATATAATTTTAACAGAATTTTTATCATGTATAAAGCGTATTTTTACATAAGTTGTACTAGAATTGAAAGGTTCTATTTATCGCACAGATGCCTATAATGAGATTCTTTATAACCATTCCATGCTTAATTTTAGGAGACAATTTGTGTAATAATTACTATATTTTCAATGAATAGGTATTAAATTATTGAGTTAAATATGTAGTTTTATTTAGCCTCATTCTTAAATGATACACCCCCCATATTGTGATATGATACGAATATTTTATAAAAATAATGAAGCAAATACCAAGACTGCATACCTTTTTCTTAAAAAAAGAGTACTATTGCTAAAATACTTTGGTCATTTTTCTATTACTTCAAAAAAGTCATGTAAACCAAACATTAATGTCAAGTCAACATTTCAAATTATTGACTTTTGTCTTATAAATATGCCACCTTCACTGTTCAAAAATTTAGAATCGTCTCCCTTGCTTCTGAAGCCTGAGCAAATTCTTGATGCAACCAACATTACATTTTCAGGAACATTTTGTTAACCTTGCTGTTACAATTTTTATTCGTGTCTAAACAATGAAAAGTTTTTATATGTAATGTGATATTTTTGTGTTTTTGAGGGTTTGATGTTATTATTTTCACTTATAATTACACATTTTGTTTTTTGGCAATTTAACAAAAAAAAACTGCTGAAAAAATTACGAGTCCGTAGGTCGAGTATTTTTTTTTGGCAGTTTCTTGTTCTATGATAGAACCATGTATAGAACTTGTCCTCCTGTCCAGGGATAGAATATAGTTTGCTACAAGATTAGTTTGCTAGTCCGCTATTTGTTATGTGTATGCATTTAATAAAACAAGGCTGTAGTAGTGAAGGTTGCCTAGACTTTCAGGCGTTCTATGAAATGTACGAAAGAATTCCTTCTAAACAAAATATGCTAGGTCAATACCGAGGCAAATACAATTATAAATATTTCTTACGTCCGTTTTTAATTATTTCAATTGATTAAATACAAAAAAAAATTGTTGAGCACAATAAATTATTTACCAAAGCAATATGGCTTCAGGCTTATTTAATCATTTTCATTTCTCTCTCCAATGTTTTAAAAAAGACAATATATTTATTTAATTTATTTTATTTAAATTAGTGTACATTGCATTTACTAAGGTGTTTTTTATTTTAAGTAGGTAAATAAGATTATAATTATTAACCAACTAAATTACTACTGACCAAAGTTCTGTTTTTTTTTAACACTAGGATATACGCACACTAATTATATCAAAAAGGTCGGACAAGCTTAAAGATATAAAAATTACGTCACAAGAGAAAAATAAAAATAACCAAATTTTTAGTTAGTGACATTCTTAAATGTGTAACACCCTGCTGAAGTCCATATAATTTTATTCTACGTATCATTTATAATATTGCTCTAAGTAAATATTAACAAATTTTTGCCGTTCAACTATGAGAAAATTAGTAAAATTAATTAGGAGTATTTTTTGATGAATAAGAAAATCGGTCTTCATGCATACATTTAAATTATTTTTTCATGTTACCACAGAATCAAATATGTAGTAGTAGGCAATCTTACAATTTCTTGCAAATTGAAAAAAACTAAAGAATTTTAAAAAATGAGTTTGTCTGCTACTAAATATTGCAACATTTGCTTAGCGCTAAGAACAACGCAACAGGTTAATCATTATTTAACAAAATAATTTTAACTTTTTACGAAGTGTATAGATCACCATAATAACATATCTAAAGTAAAAAGGTGTTTTTATTATTTTAAGCGTTTTCTCTGAAACATAAGTCTTCACAGTACTCGTTTACAAAAAATCGTTATCTGTTAGAATAGAAAACAAATACAAATTTTATAAATAAAAATTGCACAACTGAAATTGTTTTGATTTTTTTTTTAATTTAATCATAATCATCTTTAAGTTATGTAATGTAATTGTAGAATACAATTGTTTAAAACCAAAACTCACATTTTTTAAGCAAATGGACTACATAATGAAAAAGAAATTTACCTACTATGAATATTTTAGGGCGTAATGCGAAAACAATTTTTATATATTTTTTTTTTCTATAAAGAGTTCATATGGGATGGAGTAAGTAAGACTCACATGTAATTCCTGATTTATTAAATTAATTGCTGATAACATTATTTCAGTTTATTGATCTTACATAAAGTTGTTGACAATATAGTTTCCCCTATCAAAGTTTGTACACATTCTGAAACCATTTGTCATGCTGTTTCCATTTTCTTTGTTTGATATTTGCCTTAAAACTCTTACTATGTAACAGCTTATTACTTGACGTTGACTATTATTTAATGAAGTTTGCTTAGTAATTTTATCAAGATAGATGAGTATATAAAGTTAACGAAAACTATCAGACACATTGTATTCTTTGAGCCTCTGTAGTAAAGTGTTAACATGATTCATAACAAGATATTGCAAGGAAAAGAATTTAAATCAACTTTGAACAACATAAGTCTAGGTGACTTTTTTTTTAATTATGCGGAAAAAAATGCCAACAAAATTTGTCAAGTAAGTAAATATTTTTAAGTAAATATTATGAATTAGTTATTTAATTTGTAGATAGACGCAGATCTAGATCAATCTGAAACCTACTCTAGTGTTAAGCAGCGAACAACTCGATTAGCAATACATCTTAAGAAAAGAGGAATAACTTCAAAAGATGTAGTGGCTTTTTGTAGTTACAATTCACTCGATAACACTATACCGATTATTTCTTCTTTGTATCTCGGAGCTAAAGTCGTGAGTTTAGATCCCACGCTATCAGCTAGACAAACAAAACATTTGTTGTCTCTTGTCTCACCTCGACTAATTTTTGTTGGAGAAGAATCAGTAACGTTGATTGAAAACTGTTTAAATGAAGTAAACTTGAACGCCGAAATTGTTGTTTTTGGAAAGTCGATTAAATATGAAACATTTTCGAATTTACTCACGCCTACTCCCGAAGAAAAAACATTTAGGCCAGAAAAAGTCGACATTCATGATATTGCTGTGATGTTTTTCAGTAGCGGTACTACAGGATTACCTAAAGCAATCTGTCACAGTCATTACAGTTTTTTGCAGCTGACGGATATATCAAAGTAATTTCAACATAATTGATTAAATTAGTTGCATCATAACATTTGTATATTTTTTTAGTCAAAGTGGTCACGACACCAATTGTACTTTACACTTTACAACATTTTATTGGATATCAGGAATGCTAATGCTGTCGCTAATATTTCTTGACGGTGGCACTAGAGTCTTTGCACGAAACATGGAGGGAGAAAAAACTCTCAAAATGATTGAAAAGTACAGAATAACAACTCTTTTTGTTGCTCCTGTCTACACTTACGAACTTACAAGTGTAGCAAATCCCGAGAAATTCGATCTGTCTTCTTTCCGTTGTTTTTTAACCGGAGGTACTTCAATAAGTACCGAACAATACAAAAAACTGAGCTCTTACTTCCCACAAACTCAAATCTTATTTGGTTATGGAATGAGTGAGATTGGGATAATCTCTGTTTTTCACTCGACAAGAGACAAACATTTTATTAAGACTAAGCTTGGATCTTGCGGAAAAATTGTGGCGCAAACAACCCTTAAGGTACGTTTATCACAAAAACAACATTGAACTCAGTAGCAAAATTAATTTGTAGATTGTTAATCCAGACACTGAAGAAATACTCGGTCCACACCAAAAAGGAGAAATTCGTGTCAAATCATCAGGCCTTTTCAAAGGGTACTACAACGCGGCGAGTTCTCACTGCTTCGATAAAGACGGTTTTCTCAAATCAGGAGATATAGGATATTATGATGAAGATGGTTGTTTATATGTAGTTGGACGAATAAAAGAAATGTTTAAATATCTTTCTTGGCACATAGTACCATCTTCCATTGAGGCGATTTTATTAGAACATTCTGCTGTTAAAGACGCAGTGGTATTTGGAATTCCGGCTGGAGAAAAAGGAGAAATACCGGCTGCTTGTGTTGTTTTGAAAGATAATTGTTGCAATATTGATAAAGAAGAGATTTTGAAGTTTGTAGAAGAGCGAGTTTCAGAAAGGGAGAAACTTAGAGGCGGTGTTACATTTTTGAATGAGTTGCCCAGAACACCCACAGGAAAATTAATAAGAAATGAAGTTCGAAATATTGTCATAAAATCGATGTGAAAATGTATCATTGCATTTTTCTGTTATTTTAAACAATAAAAGTATTATCAGGAACATTTTAAATTTTTATTATTCATAGTTATTGTTGTTGCATTGTGTTTTAAATCTTTATATTATTTACTTTGTCAATATTTACTAGAGTTAAATACAAAATGTTGTTTTCATGGTTATAGTAAAGGTATCACAGTGCAGAATTGATAAAATAACGGAATAGCGCAGCTAACGTTCAGCTAACCCACTGCAAATGTGGCGACAAATGGCAAAAATTTTTAATTTTTTGATAATTTTTTTATGCATAGGTACTCGTACTACCCCATAATTTTTTATAGTGGCTCTATTTCTTGGTACAAGTATTCAAAATTTAATTCTCTATACGACTATATTTTTCTTTAATCTAAAAGAGTATATTGCTTTGAAAAAAAAGGCTAAAATTTGTCCACTTCATCAACCTCCTTTTTGTTCTTTCTCAGTTTGTATCGTTTTAAAACAGTTCGTCGCCCCTTTTCAGATCGAAGCTAGGCTATTGTCTTATTCCATCTATTGAAATAAATATGTTTCCTAAATGTAACTATGATTTTGGTCTTTTATCTAAAAAACATTATCTTGGGGCCAAAGAAGGTCAATTTTATTATTAATTGTGAATGTCAACAAAAAAGTGCATGTTCATAATCATAAGGTTTCATCTAGTAGTAGTAGTTATGGTTCTTACCCATCACACACATTTTATTAAGTACTGTTTATCGTAAAAAAACTCTGTAAGGTGATGATGCCAAAAATAATTTAAACCTTGGCGTAAACAATTAAAGCAGTGTAATCAAACATCAAAATCTAGTACTTAAGAACTTTAAAGTCCAAATCTTCTTATTGTGTTGCTGAAAATGAACGACAATATTCTCAAAGGCCKAAAATTAAAACAGGCCGTCCCTAAAAAAAGTTTAGGCCAGTTATTTTTTGACTGTGCAACCCTCCACGGTGATAAATTGTGTCAGGTAAATATTTGTMTAAACACAYCATAAATTTATAATTTGTACACCCAGGTTGACGGTACAGTTGACGCAATAGAATCATACTCGAGTGTAAAACAAAGAAGTACACGTGTGGCTATAGCACTTGAAGAAAGAGGAATTACGTCCAAGGATGTAATTGCCTTTTGCACAGGAAATACCTTGGACACTGCAATACCGATTTTGGCAACGTTTTATTTAGGCGCCAAAGTTGCAAATTTGGATCCGAGTCTTTCAGTCCGCCAGACCCAACATCTAATTTCTTTGGTTTCTCCAAAAATAATTTTTGTTGAAGAAAATGCAGTAGAGTTAATCGAGAACAGTCTAAAGCACACAAGTCTAAAGTCAGAGATAATTGTTTATGGCCGATGTGCGAAGTACACAAGTCTTTCGGATTTGATCCAACCACAGAAAAATGAAGCGACTTTTAGACCTCCAGGAGTGGATTTGAATGAAGTTGCGCTTATTTTTTTCAGTAGTGGTACTACAGGCCTACCGAAAGCGATTTGTCACACTCATAAAACTTGTGTGCTGATAGGATGCACTCTACAGTAAGTATGATTTTAAATTTTTCGTTAAAATTGTCTAAATCTCCAGAGAGTACGGATGGGGACACGCGGGGCTCCACTTTACTTCGTTTTATTGGATTACGGCCGTGTTTATGTTGCTTTCCTCTTTTATGACAGGTGGATATCGATTGTTTCTCCGATCTATGAACCCAGAAACAACCTTAAAAACTATCGAGAAATACAAAGTAATTAATACAGTTTGTCTAGTAATCAATTCACAAAAACGGTTATTTGTTTATAGGTTGAGAACATGTTTCTAGCACCAGTTTTGGTTAACAATTTTATGTCACTTGATGAAAGTGTAAAATACGATACTTCTTCATTACGAATTATTGTTTGTGGTGGTACACCAATGACATCAGCACAGCAAGAAACAATGTCAAAGCTGTTTCAACATTCAAAAATTCTTTGCGTTTATGGAATGACTGAAGTTGGAATAATTTCATTATTTCATGATGAAAGAGATAAAGAATTTTTAGATATCAAACCACTATCTTGTGGTAAACCATTCCAAGAAATTAAACTTAAAGTATTGCACTTGTTGTACTGGTTGTTACAGATCGAAATAAAATGTTGGTTTTCAGATCGTTAATGTTGAATCAGGACAAGCTCTCGGAGCAAACCAAAAAGGCGAAATTCGGGTTGATACACCCTGTATGTTCCAGAAATATTACAACGCTAATTCTTCGGATGTATTTGACGAAGAAGGTTTTTTAAAAACTGGAGATATCGGATATTATGATGAAGATGGTTGTCTTTATGTCATTGATAGAATCAAGGAAATGTTTAAATACAAATCGTGGCATATTGTACCAACCCTCATTGAGAATATTTTAACCGAACATTCTGCTGTAGAAGAAGCTGCTGTATTTGGTGTGCCTTGCGGTGATGATGGTGAAATACCAGCTGCTTGCGTAGTTCTTAAAGATGGTGTTAAAGTTACGAAAGAAGAAATTGAACAGTTTGTGATTGAGAATGTTTCCGACAGAGAAAAGTTAAGAGGAGGCATTAAGTTTGTAAAAAGTTTAGCCAAAACTCCAACAGGGAAGCTTCTAAGAAAGGAAATTAGAAATTTGTTTCTTAAGGCTTTGTAATTTGATTTATTGTTATGTAACAGTAGTGTAGTGAGATATCATGAACGGACCCACGTTAAATGTAGACCCCTTCTGATAAAAGAAAACTGTAATCAAACAAAAGTAGTATGTAGTTGGAAAATAGTTGTGATTGTCGATTTTTTAGATTGATTTTTTAATGTAGAAAAAAACAGTTTGTGTTAGATATGAAAATAGAAATTTAGCTAAATTCTTGTAATGTTTAAGGACTGTTCACATAAATAAATTTAAAACTAAAATTTAACGTAGTTTTTATGCTTTTTTATAATTAGGCTACATTGGTGTTGTTTACAGTGTGTCTTGAAAAGTAATGTCAGTTTAAAATACTTAAACTATAATTTTTAATTCAAGCAAAGTTTCTAATAAGTGGAAGTTAAGAAGAGACGTTTATAACTTTCTATTGTGAAAAATTATTGAAAACGGCGAATACTAAATTACGAAAAAATAGAAGTTATGTAATGTTATAATGATGTATAATAAAAATAACAAATATTTTGTTATCAGATTTAAATTAATAATTATATAAAATATGTAATTCCATTTGCAATTGTTGTGACAGTTAAATTTAATCATCTAACAAAGTTTTATAATTCAATTGTATCATATTTTTTTAAAGTAATGTTGATAAGTAATTCAAATAAATGCAACATCTTTGTCAAATACATTACATTTACATTAAGTAATTAATAGAAACAGGTTAAAATGGTGCCTAAAATTCTTGAAGGAGAGAAAGTAAATACAGTCCCTAATGTAAGTTTGGGTCAATTTATTTTCGATTCTGCCACTAAATTTGGAGAGAAAGCATGTCAGGTATTTTTTTCAAGATTGCTACAAAAATTATAATTATTTAATTATTTTTCTAGATCGACTCGCATACCAACACACCCGAATCATTTTTATCGGTGAAACAAAGAAGTGTTAGAGTGGCCATGGAAATGCAAAAACGAGGTATCACGTCTCAAGATACACTCGTTTTCTGCTCTAAAGTCACCTTAGACACCCCAATACCAATCATAGCCTCTTTCTTCTTAGGAGCCAAAATTGCAAACTTAGATCCTACTTTATCAACTCGACAAACTTCTCATTTACTTTCCATCATTTCCCCAAAAATGATTTTTGTTAGCGAAGCGGCTTTAAATTTGATTGAAGAAAGTTTAGAAAGCGCCAATCTAAAAACTGCAATTGTAGTTTACGACAACTCTACAAAGTATCCAACATTTTCGGAGTTTGTAAAACGTAAAGCAAACGAAGAAAATTTTAAACCCGTCGACATAACTAACCTGGACGAAACAATTGTAATGTTTTTTAGCAGCGGAACTACTGGTCTTCCTAAAGCTATCTGTCATAGTCACTCGAGTTTTCTCCACCTGGTTTATAATTTTTAGTAAGTTTTTCAGTATTGTTATCGACATGCAAATTATACACCATTAAAATTTTTACAGCGAAACAAATGGAAAAGGCTGTTTTGAAGTCATTCTTTCGTTTACTACATTTTATTGGTTATCAGGAATGCTTTATCTCACATGTACTTTTGTCGAGGGTGGTCACAGAGTGATTTGTAGAGATGTGGAGGACGAACAACTATTCCAACTTATAGAAAAATACAAAGTTCGATAATTTCTTGTTTTACAGCTTTGGTATAATAACTTATACCCTTATATTTAGGTAACGTTTATTTTTGTGGCACCTATTTTAACATACAGATTTACCAATTGTCCAAACTTCAACAAGTACGATACTTCATCTCTTCGAAGTCTTGTAATAAGTGGTACTCCGATAAGCACCATACAATTGGATAAAGTACGTTCAGTTTTCAAACACACTAATGTTATTCTTGCGTATGGACAAACTGAGATTGGATATGTCTCAATGTATAATACAGACACTGATTCGAAGTTTATTCAAAACAAATATATTTCCTGTGGTAAAGTGGTTAAGGGTGTCACTCTCAAGGTTTTATTAGAAACCACAACTTGATTTTCTTTGATATATCATAATTTTTTAGGTGGTGGATGTTGAAACTAACGAAATACTTGGTCCAAATAAAAAAGGCGAAATATACGCAAAGACCAAATCGCTGATGAAGGGTTATTACAATTCTGATAACAAAAATATTTTTGAGGAAGACGGATTTTTGAGAACTGGAGACATTGGATATTATGATGAAGATGAATGCTTGTATTATGTTGAAAGAATTAAAGAAATGTTCAAATATTTATCTTGGCACATAGTACCATCAGCCATTGAACTTGTTTTGATGGAACATCCTGCCATTAAGGAAGTTGTGGTGTTTGGTTTTCCTCGCAGCGAGGAAGAAGGTGAAGTGCCGACTGCTTGTGTTGTTTTGAAAGATGGTCCTACCGCTAGTGGAAAAGAGATTGAAGATTTCGTGGCTAGTAGAGTTTCCGATAAGGAAAAATTAAGAGGAGGTGTCTATTTCATGAATGAGTTGCCAAGAACGCCAAGCGGAAAACTGAAAAGAAAAGAAATACGAGACTATATTATTAAAGAATTGAAGAAAAATTGATGAAAACAAAATCCTTATTATTTATAACAAATAAACTAAATGCCTTAATTTGTAGTTTGCTTTACAATATTTAAAAAAAGACTATTTTAATTGAAAAAAAGTTTTTATTCCCTAATTTATATTTTGTTTTTGGTTTATAATATTGCATGTTGCTGATACACACTTAAAAATTATGTGTAAAAAAACTTGAAGGAGAAACCATTTATGGAGAGAACAAGCTATGATTATTTAAATGATTTAATGACCTATCTGTTGCAGTACATTATTCTACAGTAATAATTATTTATCACGCAACTGAACGTATTTGAAATAAGGTCCATTAAACAAAGCACTCATTTCAAAGTGTTTGTTTAGTTGAGTTTAATACTTATTAAACTTGTGCTTAAACTTGTTATTAAGCTTGTACTTACAAGCCATGGGTGACAAAATTCAAAGAGGTCCAAAATTAAAACACTCTATAAATTCAAGTATGGGTGAATTTTTTTTTAAATGTGCAGAACGTTTTAGTGATCGAATATGTCAAGTAATTGGTTTTTCCTACATTAGACAACAACTTTTAATCTTCCATTGCAGATTGATGCCAGCTCAGACACCAAAGAAACTTACCAAAGTGTCAAAAAACGAAGCGTCAGAGTAGCTCTAGAGTTACTAAATCGTGGAGTTACAAGTGATGATGTTGTTGTACTTTGTACTAAGATTACCCTCGACAATGTGATACCCATAATATCAACATTTTTTATTGGGGCTAAAATAGCAAATTTAGACCCGACTTTATCAGCAAGGCATACTACCCATCTACTAACTTTAGTTTCTCCAAAAATAATTTTCGTTGAAGAAGAATCAGTTTCTTTAATTGAAGACAGTTTAAAATGTGCAAACTTAACAGCTGACATTGTAGTTTTTGGAAAATCTTTAAAATATCCAACATTTGACCACTTTGCAAAACCAAAACCGAACGAAAATACTTTTGAACCAAGAAAAGTTAATATTTCTGACACTTCGATTATTTTTTTTAGCAGTGGGACAACAGGACTTCCGAAAGCAATTTGTCACAGTCATTCTAGTTTTCTTCATGTAGCCCATGCTTTTCAGTGAGTTTTTTAATATAAAAATAATTTAATTTGAATTTTATGATTTCAGTCAATCTGGCGGAAATTGTGATTCGATTCTTTCTTTTACGTCGTTTTATTGGGTCTCTGGATTGATTTTGTTGTCCACTTCTTTTATTAGTGGGGGTCATCGAATTTTCTGTGGTCCCATAGATGCGGAAAAAACTTTCCAAGTTATTGAAAAATACAAAGTAACAAAACTTTAAATGTTACATAATTTCTTATACTCGTGTTTCTTTATGGTTTTAGGTAACTTTTATGTTTTTGGCGCCAATTTTGACCTACAAACTAACAAATTTCGAAAAACACCAAAACTATGATACTTCTTCTCTTTCTAGTATGTTAGTGGGAGGTACTCCCATAAGTACTGCTCAGTTCCAGCGGCTAACTACAGTATTTAAGCACACAAATGTTGTTTTTGTATATGGGCTGACTGAAGCCGGAATTGTTACTTTATTTGATCCTAAAGATGACCATGACTTGATTAAAACACAGAGTGGGTCTTGCGGAAAAGCAGCACCTGGTATGGAAATTAAAGTAACCACTCACCGCTTGTAATTAAGTACTTTTTTCTAATATTATACACTTAGGTTGTCGATATTGAAACTGGTCTACCACTTGGCCCCAAACTAAAAGGCGAAGTACGTGTAAAATCTCCAACACTAATGAAAGGCTATTACAAGGCTGAAAGTTCGTCAGCATTTGACAGTGATGGTTTCTTAGAAACTGGAGATATTGGATATTACAATGAGAAAGGATGTTTTTACGTCATTGAACGACTGAAAGAAATGTTCAAATATTTGTCGTGGCATGTAGTACCATCAGCAATTGAGGCTGTTTTACTTGAACATCCAGCTATTAAAGAAGCCGTAGTTTTTGGTATTCCACAAAGTGAAGAAGAAGGTGAATTGCCTGCGGCTTGTGTGGTTTTAAAAGAAAATTGTAACGTTAACAAACAACAAATTGAAGAATTTGTTGCCGGCAGAGTATCAGATTACGAAAAATTGAGAGGTGGAGTGTTTTTTGCTGAAGCACTGCAAAAAACTCCAAGCGGAAAGCTGATGAGAAAGGAAATTAAAAATGCAATTATGAAAACACTTTAAATACTACAAGTAAAAGTTTTACTTGTAATACGTTATTTCTTGTTTTGTTTAATGTAAAAGCAAAAGTAAGAGCTTTTATTATATTAGACACTTTTACTAAGTATTATAAAAATTTAAGTTTAGAAAATAAAATCAAGAAAAATCGTTTTCAGTATGTTTTAATTAAGCCTACAAGTGATTCAAACATTGAGGATACAAAAATTTAACAAAAATGTTGTATTTATTTGTGGTAATTTTAATGGTTTAGATAACACCAATATACGCTGAAAAAGCTTGATATTACGTACATTATATAATTTTTTAAGTACCGGGTGGGGCATCGGTTACGCGCACTTGATAAATCGCAACTTCAAATTAATTAAAACTGACGATATTTCATATACCTAACTAATTATTGATAGGGTATAATTTGAGAATTTTTCTAATTTTTTTTTGGATAATAAATGAGTCCGTAACAGTTTTGTGTGTTTTATGAATACTTTCTGTTAATTTACCTATAAAGTTTTTACACTAAATGAATCTGTACCTGCCAGCGCATCAAACTTTGATATCACAATTTAAAATTTTGACTTGGTTAGCCAAATAATCGCTTTTTTTTATTTAAACAGAAACCAGACCCGTGATTTATGACAAAATGGTATAATTTGCCAACAAAAGAATCATTTACTGGTAGCCGACCGTTTTAAAGGGTCTTTTTGTTGTAAACCTTGGAATGTTACCCCAATTGCAGTTCCCCATTGTCACCTAAATTTACGATGGCACAAGTAGCAGGTCATAAATAAAAATGATTTTCGAAGTTAAGATGGGAAATTGCGTTTAATTCAAAATCTAATTGGAATTTTTTTTCTCTGATTTTGTAAACAATTGTAGGAAGTGAATCTGCGTAGGTCAGTATAAAAATTAGAATTAAACTTTTTGGGAGAAAATTACTTTTTATTTTTTTTGGCTTTGTTTGTAAATGAAAAATTACCAAAAAATTTAATCACTAACTAACTAAAAACGTTGTTATTTTTGAAAGGGTGAACAAACTAGAGAAGATTATCCAATTTTTCAAAATTTGTAATCGAGTTCGTATCCGAATATGTATTATTGATTGCATCTTACAGGTTCAGGCCTCGTAAAATTACGTGTAACACCCTGTATGTATGAAAAACCTACGTTTAATATAGGTATCGTACAGATACTTTTGTTTATGTTCTTTTAATATATTTTTTTTACTCTGTCAGACAAATGGCAAGATTGTCATTTTGAAGAGACATTTTTGCCAAAAATAAGAATAATGTAAATACCTGTCAAATTTTTTTGAGTAAAACCACACTTTTATGTAACTAAAATTATCATGGAGCCTCCAGAAAAAGGTGCCAGCAAACCCTGCCTTGAAGGACCAATTGTTAAAATCAGTGAAAACTATGGCGGACTTGGAGCCCATTTTTTGGACAGATTATTTGAAAATTTAAACAAAATTAACCAGGTATTTCAATAGGTATGCCCTGAATTTTTCACCGGCTGTACCAAAACCAAACTTTACCTCTAGATAGACACAGTAACTGGTATAACAGAAAGCAACGGTTCCGTTCGTTCGAGAGCCATTCAGATAGCTCACGAAATTCGCCATTTGGGAGTAGTCGAAAATGATATAGTTGTGATATGTTGCCGAAGTCACGCTGACCAAACCATAGTAGTCCTCGCTTGCCTCCTCATTGGTGCAATTGTAGCCCCCATAGATGCAGAACTGCACCATAAAGAATGTGTGGGAATCGTGACGCAACTTAAACCAAAAATGTGCTTTTGTGATTTGCGAACTTTGAAACAAATTGAACGAATTCTCGCTGAAACAGGAATTAAGTCTAAATTGGTGCATTTTGGAGACCAACAACAGTACGCTTTAGCATTCCGAAAACTATTATCAAATAGACAATATCCAGAAGATTTTAAACCTATAATTGTTGAACAACCAAGAAAAAAAGTTGCTTTTATTCTGGCTACACAAGGAACAACTGACACGCCAAGACTAGTCTGCCTCTCACATCATTTTATTTATTGCCAAATATTGGTTTTCCTTCAAACTTTGGGTTCTCCGGAAAAAATAATTTCGTATTATCCGTTATCGTGGGTGATGCAGGTCGTTCTGATGTGTTTATGTTTTGAAGTTCCGGTAGTAAGAGTTTTGACCGGAGCTTTTGTTGAAAGGACGGCTTGTAAATTAATTCATGACCTCAAAATTGATACCGCTTTTCTCAACACGGAACTTGCGTTGCAGCTGGTGGAGCATGTGGCTGTAAAAGTGGGTTGTAAAAGTTGTATTTTACAAATTTCTAGAAGAATTTTTTCAGGATTTTAATTTATCGTGTCTGAAGTGTGTTTTTATCGGAAGTTTAGCGACAACTTCGCACGATATCAAAATTCTTGTTACTCGTTTACCGAAAGTTAGGTTTTCCCAAATGTACTGCACCACTGAAACAGGAGTAGCCATTGCATGCCCTCCTAGGGACTACAGCGAGTCTTTAGAACGTTGCGGAACTGTGGGAAAAGTTGTGGAAAATTGTAAACTTAGAGTCGTTGACATTGACACTCGAGTTGATGTTGATGCTGAATGTTCTGGAGAACTGCTTGTTACAAGCGACTGTTTGATGCTTGGGTAGTAAAATATAAAAAATTCTAGCTTTTACACAAAAACATTGCAGATATTTTAAAAACTTGAGTGCAACTCAAGCAGTGATGGAAGGAGGATATTTTAAAACTGGTGATATTGCCAGGTATGACGCTTCCGGCTGGTTGTATATTGAGGGAAGAATTTGCGAATTTATATATGTACAAGGTTGTAAAGTATCACCACGAAAACTTGAAGAATTAATAATGACACATCCGTTTGTAAAAGACACAGCCGTTGTTAGCAACGATAAAGAAGTGGTAGCTTGTGTGATAACTAAAGCCGACACAAAACTTGACGAAAATAGATTGATAACGTAAATTTCTTCTCCCACAAATTGCGGCAATTATGATGCTTTTTAGGTTTATTTCCGAGAGGCTTCCTGTACAGAATTGGCCTACTCGTATCGTATTTATGACAGATTTTCCAACAACTCCTCTAGGAAAAATTCGACGAGACGTATTGAAGGAAGAAGTCTTGACAGTCAAGATCGAACACAGCGAAAGCCAGTGGCATGTTTTAGGCTGACCTAAATACAATATTGACACAAAACTTGTGTTTTTATGAGTTGGTAATGACTACGGATACCTAAAGACTAGGATACGACACGATGTATTCTAAAACAAAACGTCCCCGTTCTCGATAGTTCTGTTAGTGAGGCCAGATAGCGCAGTTGTTCCTTTCTCGTTTAAGTTTTAAGAGCAATGAAATAACAAAAAGTGGCTGTATTTACATAACGGTGAACAACACGCAAATGAAAAAAAGATGGACAGATAGAGCCTTAAATTCTCAATAATAATAGATAAAGGCAATGCAAAAATTTTATTGAAAACTATATTGAAAAAAATTTCAAACATTTAGCAATTTCTCATATTTTTGAAAATACTGCGAATACGGTTAAAGGTACAAGAAAAATATAAAAAAAGAAAGTTGTAGGGCATAATATTTTCAAGAAAAAAGTCCGCGAGAAATACCTCTATCTTCAATGGTTAGGGTCCTAAAGACGTTCAAAGACGAATAGTCACGAATACGTGTCATTTTTACCGGTGGTCAAGAGACGAAAAATTAATTTAATCCTAAATGGTTGAAGATAGAGATAAGGTCTTTGTAGAAAATTTAATTAAAGTCATTTGATGACGTTGTTGGCGTTAATTTAATTTTAGTGACGGACTTTCTTCACTATTCATTTTCAAATGTGAAAATAAAAATTATTTTTATTTTTCACAACCGCCTAAAATTATTCAACATAAATGTCGCCAACCGTCGCAAAATTTTCTAGATTTTTTTTTAATTTTCGTCTTTTAATTTATAAAATGATATAAAGCGGCAAAATAGAAAAAAATAGTATAAAACACTTGTTGCAGAAGGTTCTTCAAGCATTCATTTCAAATTTGTGCTTGAATAAGATACCTTCTGCAACTTGTACTTTAATATACTACTATTTCAATACTCTGGGAGACTACCTAATTACTCCCTTTCAAGGAAGTGCGCGACTTTCCGGACACCTGTATTATGCACCCTGTATTATTAATGCATCATATTTTTTTAATAAAGCGTAATTACATTGTGTACACTGTTTTTTTTTATAAAAATTGTTGTCTACGTTATTTACTGATTTTATTAGATACTCGTACATCCGTCTACATTGGTTAAAAAAAACTAATACATAGTTGGGTATCGGTAAAAAATATTTTAATTTTGACGGCGACTGTACTTCTACTTCGATAGAAAAAATCTGATAAGTGATAATAACTGATGATGATTTGAATCATGATGATGTTGCTATATTTCATTTATAAAATACACACATACTTAAAAAAAAGTAGCAATGAACTGGTTAAAGTCTAGCTCTTACTGTTTTATTTGTGCTAGTTATCCTATTTTATTTGTAGTTCGGTTTATATTTGCAGTCAAAACATATTGTCATCATTCTAGACCTTCAGCCTCTCCGTCTTTTTACAAATCTCTATTATTGTCACGATGTGCTTTCATTATAACAGTTTTTTTCACAGCCAAATATCTCTTATCGATATTCACAATTGATACAAAAAATTTCAATCAATTTCTGACTTCATTGTTAATACTTCTTGATACTTTTGCACTTAGTTGCTTTTTCATCAATGTAAAACTGACTCAAAAAAATCAAATCATACATTTTAATGGAATCTTAAGTATAATCCAAAACAGAGTTGAACAATTTAACAAGCACATTGTTGATGAGGTATTTCATACAAAAATATGTTCTATTCTTTATCTTTGCATTCCTGTTCTGTTAATATTTGCTGTAATAATAGCAATAATATTTTGGAGGCACGGGGATTTTAATTCAGATATTATATTTCAAGCATTAACAGTTTCTCTTATTTTTGTTATAAATATGTCTTTTTTTATATCAGTTTTATTTTGTTTAGAAATATACTTACTTTTATTTGGAAAATGTTATTTACAAGTGAAACATGTTCTAATGGAAAAAAATGTAATAGGTCTGACAAAAAAAATCAAACAACTTCAAAATTTTCATCACGGTGTATTTTTAAATTTTCATTTAATATGTCATATTTTTAAAGCACATCTAATACTGTTTATGTTTTATGGATGTCTGCTTTTAATCGGAAACTTCTACCTCTTTGTTAATTTCATTCAAGAGTCGACGCCTTACACTATTGAGGAGTTGCTTAGCTTTGTTCTATGTTTCTTTGGAGGTTTTGGAAGTATAATTGTACTTTTTAAATTACAAGAGCTCAACAGCTTGGTAAGAAAATTTTATTAATTTAGTTTTAATTTGTTATACCAGGTAAATAAAAAGTATGGAACTAAACGTTTTTTGCTTAAACTATTTATTTTTTGGAAAAACTAATTGATAAATGATAAAGTACCTACTATAAAGATTTGATGTTTTATCAAGAATATTTTTTGGATTTTTTTTGAGTTCTACAAAAAATATTTTTTTTAAATGGTAACCCACTATAAATCCATTCTTCTCATGAAGGTTATGATTTGAGGATTACAACAATCTACTTTATATATATTTTTTTAATAATAAAAAATATCGCTTGGTTCCATACTTTATATTCACCATATTATGTAGTTATACTTTATTAGATATAATATATCTAACATAACACATATAACTAAATATTATATACTTTTTAACGTCATTAGTCATATATGAAACAAATAACAAACGCGAGTAAAGTTTGTAAACGGAGGTCACAGTCGAGGTTTATGATAAGTCAGATGTCTTGACTTCATATCGGCCGTGTGGCATTCAGATTTTTTTAAGATAATGATTAATAATATAATACATAGTTTCACATTTATAGAGAACCACTACCAACAGTGTTCCATTTGCCGGTTTAGTTCCACTAGAATGTTATACCTAGTGTTACGAAAAAGTTTTTTTTTTATTTTCGTAATAAATTCATTTCCAATTAAATCGCTAATTAGTTGTAATAAAAAATAAAAAAGTATTGTGGTAAAACAAATTATTTCTAATCTCTTTCTGATTACATGTCGAACACCATAAATATTGTCACTGTTTGTATAATATTTGTTCTTTACTTGGTCTAATTACACCTCGAATCACCTTCTACTCTATTATTATTTTCTCATCGCTCAACACCATAGTCTAATTTTGGATGAATCATTCAGAAAAATGTCTAAAAAAATTAGTTTGAAACAAAAAAATCCAAAATCTGTACCAAGTGACTGTATTATTTGTGCAACACGTCCAGTGTTGTATATGAATCAAGTAAACATCTACCAAGCTAGATTCTACTGTTACCACGCGACACCGCAATCAAGACCCCATTTTCAATCCTCAAAACTTCAAAAATCTGTAACCATTCTTTGCAGTATTATCCTTATTTATGGAGTAATTAATGATTTCAACCGACTTGAAGGAAGTTTTAACACTAAACAAGTGGTCATTTTTATAGAAATGAGTTACACTTTTTCAACAATAATAATCAATACTATTTTCTTGTTAAAAAATTGGATAAAACTGCGAGAATCACATGGACTAATAGTCTTAATAAACAATAAAATAAAATACGGAATTGACGTCATCTTAACCAGTCAAAAAGCAAAGCAACTTCGAAACATGCTTATGATCATGGTTGTGGGACTAACGATTGAAGAAATCATAATGTTTTGTGTTGAACTAACAATGGAAAATGTCAGTAACGAATTCTTGGTTCGAATGGTTACGATTGAAATTTTTATTCTTTCAAATGCTTCTCTTGGACTGTACTGTATACAATTTTTATTCATGTATGAGTACATCTTTGACCAATGTTTTAACGAAATTGAGAAATTTTTGAACGACTTACCTGAAAATTATTTTACGGTAATTGATGGAAATTATCAACAAAACGTAATTTCCGGATTGACTCATTTCGAACAACTTCAAAAACTCCAGCGCCTTTATATGTCCTTAAGACGCAATTTTAAACTAAACCAAAATTTCCTTCAACCCGGAATTATTATCATTCACTGTGTTAACATCTGCTTGCTGCTTATAGGTTACGTTTATTTTTCTGTAATGTTTTTCGAAGGAGAGGCAGTTTGGTTGAAATTTGATATTTATCTTATTCTCAAATCTTCAGCCCTTGTTGTTGCTTTTAGTTTTCTTTGTTATCAAGCCCAAAAAGTATCAGTAATGGTGTGTAAAACAAAATGATTAAATAAAATTAATTACATTTTTCAGAGTCAAGATATATTGTCATTTCTTTTTAAATGTCCAATCAGCAAATTAAATAAACTGGAATCAGCACAAGTGGAGATGCTTATTGCTACTTTGACTTTACAGAAACCGGAAATCAAGATTTCCGACATATTGACTGTTGGTACAGGACTACTCGCATCGGTAAAACCTTTTATAGAGATTATTTAACAAATAATCTAAATTGCGTTTTCAGATTTCAGGAACGGTACTCACCTATGTCCTTGTAGCACTACAGTTTCACGCCATTTGGTCTACTAAATAAAACTTAATTTTTTCACTGTACACCGTTATTGACCATTTATAAATTTCGAAAATTTCGAAGTTAAGAACACACAGAATTACTATAGGTAGTGATTTTTTTTACAATGTAGAATAAATTTATAATTTTACCAAAATAAATGAAATTGTAGGGCAACTAGTACATACGTAAATGAAGCAGAAATAACCTAAAAATTGATTACTATAACAATTAAAATAATTAGATTAATTTACATACAGAAACAATTAGTCCTAGTCTAATCACAAAAAATTCTGAAACACTCATGTGCATGTTTTGCTGTATTATTATTTTGATCAAAGTTTCAATCTAAAATCATTTTTGATATAAATATTTGGTTGTTAATAATTTTTTAACGTTTTACCTGTGCAGCTCCTTTGTGATCACTAATAGGATATTTTAACAAGAAAGTCAGATTTTTCTGAATCAGCTTGTCCAATTTTTCACAATCATAACAAAAATACAATAACTCCATAATCACAAATACTGATTTTATTACCATTTGATAATCATGTATATCAAAAATAATCCGTTTTCTAACCCATAGAAAGAATACATATGTCAGACAGATGCTTAGTATTACCGAGTTTACAATATAAATCACCACAACACTCGGTGAAAAAAACCTTCTATTCAAAATAAAATTTTCTCGTAACGACATATACAAACGCTGTAACGCTTTCAGCTTTTGTATACTACTTGGATTCTTTTGTCCCTCTTTCAGTACTACTTTAAGTTCTTCAAAATAATTGTTCAAAAAATTGTAGTAAATTTGAACATTTAGTGTAAAACAAATTAGGAATGCCACCATTGAAATCATTGAAATTTCTGAAGATATAACACTCAACCATCTATTAATGTTGTTCCAGTTTAAATAACACGAAAAAGAAAGATTTAGTATCTCAAAGCCTGCCAATGACAAAATCAAAAGTATCATTCTTCCTTTGATTTGGTAATAAATTTTCTGAATATCTTTTCTTCGGCCAGCAATTTTCAATAATCCATTATATTCTTTCACCTTATATTTTGTAGCAAATATGTAACAAGTGTTGCAATAGACAGCGCAGATATTTATAGATATTTGCATAAAGGTGATTAAATTTTCAGCTTCAAGGTTTTGCCTGATTTCAAATATGTCTTTTTGGGTGGCTGTTATGATTAAAATGTTGCAGAAAAAATTTAAAATCTGCAACAATTTTGATACTTCAAATTGGGGTTTGAAGTGTCTTAAGCTGTGATTGCAATTGTATTTGCAATTGAAAATGTTTATTTTACAAAAGATTAAAGCCCAACCAATTGCACAAATCAGACAATTGGAGGATATGCTACTTTTGTTGTCAACCGATCTGCTTTCCATTTTGGAATACAATGATAACCGAATGTTGATTTTTGTAATGGAATTAATTGCACAATTATTTTCGAATTTGGAGAATACACGTGCGGATGTGGGTTATCTTAAGATAAATCAAATAATTATATGATTTTTGTGTTGCACACCTGACATTTTGTTTTATCTACATTATCTTAATTTGTAGGCATTTTTTGGATACCGAAAAGTACTTTGAGTGATATTAGATTAATTTCGATAAGTTAATGTTCAAAGATTGAGTTTTATAACGTCGCATCAAGTATAAAATAAAAAAATAGAACAGAACGATTTGTACCCATCTTGAAACTATATTTTATTTTTTCAATATTTAGTTTTTACTTATTATAGGTAGGTACATAAAAGCCGAAGAAAAAATATGCTCCATTCCCTTTTTGCAATTTTTCTGGCATTTCTTGCTGGTTTAATAATGCTAAACGATATTTAATTTTAATTCACAAACATGTCGCTATTTTTAGTAAAAATAAATTTGTATAAAGTGTACTGGATATGTTCCTCTTATCACACGTTAGGTACACACATAGTCATATCCGATATGGTCTAGTGGCTAGGATACCTGGCTTTCACCCAGGAGGCTCGGGTTCGATTCCCGGTATCGGAAACTTTTTTTTCATATTTATTAGGAGTAATTTGTAAACAAATGCAAAGATTTGAATGAAAAATAATAACATATTTTATTTTTTTACTAATTACATGACTTGTTTACATAATTTAAGATCTTTTCTATGCCTCAATTTTTATTTATTTTTTCCTTAGATCTCTTTAAATAAAACAATATTAATTTATAATACTGCTACAATAAGAAACAATTGAGATAATTTGTCAGTCACATCACTATCATAAGAAACGAAAACACACTATTTATAAACTGAAAAAGATATTTTTATTCGTTATTTTCTCCTAAAATCATCTTCTTTACTTCCACTCGCTTTATCTTTCCCGTAACTGTCAATGGCAATGATTTCAAAATTTTTACCCCCGCCCTTAATCTCTGTCTTTCTGGTACTCTTTCTTCTACAAATTTCTCAATTTCTTCTGCACTAGCGTCAACATTTTCTTTAAGTACAACCAGCCCCATAGGGTGGTGTCCATCATCTTTAGGTATACCTATGACCACAGCTTGCAGGACAGCAGGATGATTAAGCAATTCATTTTCTAAAGTAGCTGGCGCGATAAACCAGCCTTGGTATTTGAAAGATTCTTTAATACGATCGACGACGTAGAAACAGTAATCTTCATCGTAATAAACTACATCCCCGGTTTTGAGCCATCCATCCTCATCGAAAGATGCAGAAGAATCCACGTTATAGTATCCATTCATGATATATTTTGATTTCACTCGAAGTTCGCCTTTTTGATTTGGACCCAAATTCTTATTAGTTTCACAGTCAACAACCTGAAGTTCTTTGATTTAAAATTTGCAAAATATAAATAAAGTTTTAAATACCTTGTATGACATGCCTCTAATTGGAAGCCCAACAGATTCAATCCTCTCTTCTTTCTGCATAAGAGATCTATGCAAAACATCATTTGCTCTAAACACTGTAAGACCACCACTGACTTCCGTTTGCCCATAGGGTCGAACGAAGTCGGCTTTTGGGAACTCTTGTTTTAATTTTAAAGCATATTCTTTCGAAATTCCTGATCCCATTATGACGATACTTAGGATGCTGTTAACGTCAAAATTTCTGTCAGGTTTTTTAGCAAGCATTTCAATAGCTTGAACTGGTGTTAATAAAACACCCACTGGCTTATATTTTTCAAAAAAATTCCAAATTTTTGCCCCATCAAACTCTGAGCAAATTAGACGGCAATACCCATCGATTATTGAAGATAAAAGCAAAGCACCAGCAGAAACCCAGTACAAGGAAGTGTAAGCGAGCATCGTTAACGGAAACGAAACTCTTATAGCTTGGCTTGCCATGTGCTGATAATCAGGATTTTCAGTATGTGTTGTGGTGAGCACCTGAGTGATAAAAGCGTAGTGGTTTATGCAGATGCCTTTTGGAAGGCCAGATGTGCCGCTACTGAAGTATATTATTGCTGTGTCGAAGAGATTTTCGATTTTGATCGGTTTGAATTGATTTTCATTGTCATGAGGACGGAGAAAGTCCGAAAATTTGGTGTAATTGTTGGTCGTTCCAAAAATAACAATTTCGGAATCCAGATCCATTTCCTTGAGAATATTCTCAATAGTTGTGGCAACTTCAGGAATTACAAATAGAATTTTTGGACGCACTTGTTTCAGCAAGTAGGACATTTCTTTTTGCGAGAACGAAGGGTCAAGAGAAGCCACTCGAGCTCCTATAAATTGCGTGGCAATGAAGGGAACGACCGAATTTAAATGATTCGTGGTGCATAAAGTCACTATGTGGTCTTTTGTTATATTTTTATCGGTCATGTGTAATGCTGTTCGAATACAACGTTGTAGTAGTTCTCTGTAGGTGTCCTTTTGACCAGTATTGGCATCAATCTGTTAATTTTTTTTTATAAAAAAATGCTGTTTTAAAAGTGAGAAAAATACCTGTGCTATTTTATCCTTATTATTTTTCATATGTGTAAACATAGTCTGACCTAAACAATCTGTTGCCTCCCGTGTCACCTCTGGGGTAGTGATAACGTTGTCTTCTGACACAGTAATATTTCCTGCAGGTATATGTCTCGTTTAATTTTATTTTAAATAACACTAAAATAACTTGCCTTGTAAAATAACCATTTTTCTTTGCTAGCTTAAAATGTGGGTAAGTAATCACAACAATTTTAACGCAAGTGTCTCAAAATTTCTTATAAATTATTGTATTTATAGGTGAAAGTAATTGTATCACCGATTATAGTACAAGTACCTACCTACCAATTCGTAAACAATGAAATAATTTTATCTGCTTACAAAAATTGACGATTTAAAAAATTCGAAGATATTACAATACTTCTAGTGGTACTTGAACTAATATTTTGTTTTAGAAATTGTGTTGGAGTGAATGATGTTAGGAATTTAAATAATAACTCATGTTCTATCTCTACTGATAAGAATTTTAGTAATTTTACTCTCCTCGAAATGATCAAATATATTATAAAATTTGGAACATTTACTTTTGAGCAGTTTCCGGTTGCTGTAGTTACAGGTCACATTTTCTGTGTTTTTCCGTTTTTTACTCTTTTAACACTAATTTTTTATTGATGAAATCAATAGAGTAATCAATTTCGAATATAAAACATTTTAGTTCTCAGGTCGCCAAGTACCTAATATGGTGTCTAAAGAAAAACGTGACTAAAATTTTTTTATTTTCTCTCCTATATTCTTGTAGAAAAGAATGTTGACGCAAGTTGTAAATGGTTGTAGGTATCCAATTACTTAAATGTAATTAAGATGCAGTACTTTTGATATTTTTATGTTTAATATTTGAAAAGAGTTTGTTGTTAAAACCAAAAGTAACAATAATAACACGTTGTAACCTACTTACGTTTGTAGTGGATAGCACCCATTATAACTCTCAACAAGTTGACGCAAAATATTGGTATCTTAAAAAAAATTTGAAAACGTTTATATACCGTATCTTTATTTCAATGCGTGAAAATTATTTTATAACTTTGTATGCATGTACGAAATTTACAGGTGCTCTTTTATCGCTGTAACACACCTGACATATCAACTGCACAAATGTACGAAGCATAAGTTCGGTTTTGTAATATTTGTTTAGATTTATTTTTTGACAACAATAAGTGAAATAAAAATGTTGCTCTACTTATTGTCTTATCCGTTTTTTAATTTTATTGATATTTAACATTATTTTTGTGTTCAGTTTTATTTATTTAGATAGGTATAAATCAGCTAAATTTTCTCGGCGCCAGATGCGCAGAAACTGCGGAAAGAACATGAAAAATTCTACTGCGCACGAGAAAATAATTATGGTATGTTTAAAGCCCGATGCGGCGAGAGGGCTTTTATTTTCCCGATAGTCTTTAATGAAAACTATTTTTAAGAAAGCATATTTTAACGTTGATTAGTTCTAATACAGATTCAATTAATTAACAAATAACTTGTACAATATGTTGTTGCTGGTAAAGTTTTTTTTTATATTTCATCGAGTATCGAATAAGTGGTGATATAAAAGTTACTAGACACTGCGTGCTGAAACGTAGTACGGAGCCAAAGTAGAATTTTTATTTTAAAATCTATTTTTTTACATTTTGAAGTATTAAAATATTATGGTTTAAGTTAGCATGAATACAAATTTTGAATCTGAATATATTGTTAAACACTGTTTTGTTTAATTTAAATTATTCTTGTTATTGGCATTTTCAAACAATATACAGTCCTTATTGTTATTATATAAAACAACTGCATGATAGACTTGATTAACTTTAACTTATATAATCTTTTAGCAATGAATTAAGAATTAAAATCATTATTTTTAGATATGTAGATAGAAGTAACTTTTAATTCAAACAACCGCCAAAATCTAGGGACATTTGTATGGCGTCTCTCGCGTCAAATGCACAAAAAATGGTGGCCGTTCTGTGGTTGAGTGACATGTGAGATTCGGTTAGCAATTTTTTTACCGAGGAAAACAAAAAATCGTATTTGTATTTGCCAAACCCTCTCAGAATTAATATATTAATTAACTAGAATTCAATTAATACATAGTGTTTTGTAAAAGACACACAAGAAGCAGCCACTCTTTAGGTCGAACTTCCCCTCATCCGATGTCCTGTTTGGCAAGTTGATCGTGCCCGTAAAGTTACACAATGTCGTATCCAGGTCGCCCCCCAATCATGCAGGGTCTTCCGATGGCATATATGTCAATGGGGGGTCCTGCGCCTCCGCTTATGCCTGCCGTTATGCCCCTTCAACATGTAAGTCTCTAGATCACTGTTTCGATGTTGTCTTTAGTGGAAGTTTTAATTTTTGACAGATGGTACCTATTCAGGTAACAAGCGCCCCACAAATCCGGGCCTTACCAAGACTGAACGCCAGTCGGGAGCAGCTGAAGCAAATGCAGGGACCTGCAGTGACGGTGTTTGTTGGTATGTTCGCAAAGTAAAGTGATTTTTTCGATCTAGGGGACACTTTTGCAGGTAATATTACGGAAAGAGCCCCTGATGCAATGATTCGTCAAATTTTGGCTGCGTGCGGACACGTCATGAGCTGGAAGAAGGTAAAAGCATTTGGTTTTTGTGAACTAGCTGGGCCTGACGCCGGCTTAAGGGCTGTTAGGTTGCTTCATGATCTCATGGTTGGGGACAAGAGGCTGGTGGCGAAGGTGGACGCTAAGACAAAGACTGTACTAGATGAATATAAAGGTACATATTTTTTGATTTGGTGGTTTTATCCTTTATTTTAATGTACTTTCTTCAATATTTAGCAGTAAAATTGTATAAGTACCTATAAATGTAAGTTTCTTGTTTTGTGCATTATTGCGTAGATTTATCGATTTTTTATTTTATGATTTTGAATAATTCTCAGAGCAACGGCGGCGAAAAAAAGAAAAAGGATCATCACCTCTTCAAGATGAACGAGACGAAGATGTCTTGGACGAAGAGACTCAAGCGTTGGACGCTGTGGCTATGGAAAGAATTAAACAAATTCTGAACGAATATGAGGATGAAATGAACAATTTTGAATTAAAGAAAGAAGGTAAACATATTTGAATGTGTACTGATGATATTTATTAAACATTTTTAATGTACAGAGGAGGTGATTGAGAAGTGTCATAAAGTATTAGAAGAGGCAGATGTTGAGGAAGAAAAACGTGATTTGATTACAAGGGAGATTGGAAAGTTTCGCGAAATCATGAAAGTAAGTATAAGTTTTTTAAACAAAAACTGGGGTCAATTTGTTTAAAAATCGGTCTGATGGAAAGTATATGACGTTCAGTTATTTCTATTGAAAATTAAACTTAGGGCGGGGGGTTTGAGTTTTTTTTTGAAAAGCATTAGAAGTAAGGTTGCGCTCATATGGTTCTTGAAACCAAACAGGCAAATGGAAGCAACGCAGTCCCACCTAGGTTCGGCCCATGGCGCCGTTGGTGAGTAACGTGTCAACAGTTATCTCCACTGTACCTTTTTAAATTCACGCACATATTTTTCTAATTATTATAACAATATTACTTTCAATAATATCATTATTTGTTATAATTAATCAAAATATGTGTGCGAACTTTAAAACATGATTTTTCTCCTGTTTTTGTTAATACATAAATAGTTACAATTGTCTTGCTTATTTTTTTATTTCACATATCTCAAATTTTCAACAAGTTATTGTAACGATTTGTGTTGACATTTTATTGTCTTTATTATTAGTCCACTTTTTGGTATATTAGTTAGTTTTTGTGCCACGGGCTGTATTTGTAAGTTATAGTCCGTGGTGTAATATGTTTCGTCGAAATTTTGGAGATTCGCAAGTTGGGGACGTATCAAGTTCAGTAAGGATTTATGTCGTCTGATATAAGAGTAAGTTAAAACAGTACATGTAGAAATGTCTTCACATTACTTTTAAGTAATCCATTCGAAAATATTTCTTATTTTTTATTTTATTGTTCCCACAGGGTGTATGGATTTAATTGATTTTTATTGTCTAAAAGTTTTAGTTTTTATATGGACGCATTAATTTTGGTTTCTTTTCACGTGTGAGATACTTCATGTTTTACATATTTGCTCATACTTTCATTGCAAAATTTGTTTTTTCTTTGTTTACATTATTATATTCTAATGTAAGAAGTTATGGCATTTTCGCATAAAAAACCTTGAAGTATGCTAAAATATCATAAGAAAGAATAATTCTTACTCCTCTTCAAGCAACGTTTTTATAATATTTTCGAATGTTTGGAAATAATGTTGATTCATAAATTAATATAAAAGCAATCAAATCCCAAGTCACTAACATGTTTAAAATTTTCTAACTCGTTACAGCATTGAATGTCAGCAATAAACAAAAACGATAAAACTGAAAGAGCTTTAATATTTAAAACCAGTAACGTATACCTGATCATCACTGGTATGAGAAATATTTTTTTCAAATAAAAACCATCAAACATAATGTCGAGGTGATTAATTGGCGTTTGTTTTTATTTTAGAAACAAGAGGAAGAGAAGGAAGTCAGCAAGCGGAAAAAAGAAGAAAAAGAGAAGAATCGAGAGAAGTCACCCTCACATTCGCCCAGTCCGCGAAGACGTGATAAAGATGACAAAAGAAGACGTCGTTCAAGATCTAAATCGAGGTCATTTGTTTTTTTGCAGTTTTTGACGATAATAATGTTAATAATCGCAGGACGCACGAACATAGCAGGGAACGCGAGAGAGAACGGGATCGAGATAGGGAAAGGGAGAGAGAACGCGAGCGAGAAAGGGAACGTGAACGCGAAAGGGAGAGGGACAGGGAAAGAGAGCGGGAATTGAGAGATCGCGAACGAGATCGGGAAGAAAAAAAGAGCACTAAAGATCTGTTGAAGGAGAAAGAGATGGAAGAAGAGGCGAAAGAAAAGAAAAAAGCTGAAAGAAGAGCCAGAGAAAAAGAAGCAGCTTATCAGGAAAGACTTCGGGCTTGGGAGACTCGAGAACGCCGAAAAGCGAAGGAGTATGAGAAAGAGCGGGAAAAGGAACGACTCAAGGAGGAAGAACGCGAACGTGAAGCAAAGAGATTGAAAGAATTTTTGGAAGATTATGACGATGAAAGGGATGATATCAAATATTACAAGGGCAGGGAATTACAAAGGAGACTAGCTGAACGGGTCAAAGAAGCAGAACTTGATACTAGAGATAGACAGAAGGAAAAAGAAGAAATTGAAGAATTGAAGAACAGGATATTCTCAGGTGATCACGAAGATCCAAACGCCGAATTTGAACGAGTGAAAAGAGAAAAGGAAGAACAATACAAACCCAGATTATTGATTGATGTTAATTTGGATCATTGGAAACAGAAAGAAAAGGAAAAAGAAAGAGAACTGGAAAGGCAAAAAGCAAGAGAACGAGATCGTTATAGAGAAGTTGAGAGGCAAAGAGATAGACAGAGAGCGAGGGAAGAAAGGGAAAAGTCTGTTTGTTTCGTGTTTAATAACCTCATTTTATTTTCTTTCTTTTGCAGATATGTATTGCAACAAGCAGCACAGGAATTGGCTGCGGTTGAAGCAGAACCCATTGACAGTGATAGTGACATGGACGATAATCACTACAGTCCAGCGCCACCAGAACCTGATGCTAATTCAAATGACGATTCAGAATCGACAAAGGTAAGCTATTATTTTTATAATTAACCGATTTACACATTTTTTACAGTGGACGCAGGTGCAAGCCGGTGAAGACGATTCGAGACACTCTTTCACCTCAAATCACGATGAAAACCCACCTCCTCCGACTGGAACTGGAATGAAAATTACTTTAGCTAAACCAATTACATTTAGTCCTTCAACACAACAACCCAAACGAAAGAAACTTGATCTTCGAGAAGTATTTAATCCGGATGAAGACGACAGTAATACACAAGTGAAAAAACGAAAGCTCGTCCCACTTGGTAATAATTATTCGTTTTGTTAATGTGTTTGCACATTGTATTTGTTTCAGATTACAACGAAGACAAAAAAGGTAAGAAGGATAAAGACAGTGAGAAGAAATCAGAAGAATCTTTGAAGTCACAAGAGGAAAAGAAAAAGACCATAAAGTCATTAATAGAGAAAATACCAACAGAGAAAGAAGCGTTATTTGCTTATCAACTTGACTGGTCAGCTATTGACAATAGTTTGATGGAAAGGAAGATTCGCCCGTGGATTAATAAAAAAATTATTGAGTACATTGGTGAACCTGAACCCACTTTGGTTGATTTTATTTGTTCCAAAGTGTTGGCAGGATCCCAACCTCAAGTCATCTTGCAAGATGTCCAGATGGTAAGTGTTTAAGTGTTTTTTTTACGTAATTGTTTCTAAATCATTACATAATTTTCAGGTATTGGATGAAGAAGCCGAAGTTTTTGTTGTTAAAATGTGGAGGTTGATAATTTATGAAGTTGAAGCAAAAAAGTTAGGTTTAGTGAAGTAGCAGTTATTTCAAATGTATATAATAAGATGGACATTAGGTTTACATTTATATAATTCATGTACATCAATTTATCGAGTATATAATTTGCTGCAGGTATTAAACATTTGTCTTTATTTGAATGCATCAGGATATGTCATGTTCGTTGAAACTGAAAAGTTTTATTTTATGTAAGCATGTCCAAGATTTTAAAAAATAAACTTAATTTTGAAGTCTTCTTTAATTACGCTTTATTCAAATAAAATCATCTCTATTTTAAAATTCTTAGTTATTCTCTTGAGAAACGTTCCTCAAATGGTAATTTCGTAATATGCATAAGTCCTTCGCCATGTTATTTCGACCGTGAGTATTAAAAACATCATGTAGATGCAATAAAATTGGGTATGTGAAAAGTTCGGGAAGAGTACGAAGCAAATCTGTCACAAGTGCCGACGGTATTGCAGCTAGCAAAGCACTTGCTGAGTTAACTTTAACCTCAACGAGACTTTTAATTAAGTAAAAAGCGAAATAAGTTTGTTGAGTTATGTAACCTTCTTGGATACCATCCTCAAAAATTGTCATCAGTTGTCTCAGAGCTGAAATTAGTTGCTCTATTAGTGTACCATCCTCACCCTCGTTAAGTCGCGCGACTTTTGCCATTGGTTCTTCAGGTTCCTAAAAAAAAAAGAAAATATAAGTATCACTATTCTCATATTCTTTACTCACTTCTGAAAACGCATCGAACGCTGTGTATACACAATAACTTGTCAAGTAAGCCAAGGCTATTAAATGCGGCTCCATTAGCGAATCTGCCTGGAGATCGTTATACAACATTTGGGGCAAAACATGAGATAATAGCTCCAAAGTGCATGCTCTGATATCAACATGGAACGCTGCCAAAGCCAAATCAACGCCTCTTTGCAACTGATCGCGATACCTCAGCTTTAACATTTCTTGTATGACTGCTGACACGAGCCATCTAGGACCGGCTGTATCCAGCAAACAGTGTAAGGTTTTAGCGGAGCTGTGATCCAGCCATCCTCTACGAATAGCCCTCGACCACGCCGCATGCAACTGTTCAATAGCGGGCTGTCTTGAAATCAAGTGGTGACTACTTTTAGTCTGGAGAGGCAACTGGACATCGCGCTGCATTTTCCGAATTATCTCGCACGTAAGTTGCCACCGCTCCCTCAAACTGTCTTCCTCGGCCGCTGGTGGCGCTAGAAGCTGTTGCACCATATTCACCGGTTTAAGGAGGTTTTCCTGAGGGGCTGTCCGCATGTAAGCACAAAGCCAAGCCGCCGCGGCCAATGGAAGAGAACACATGCGGCCACGGACGGCGTCCAAGATCCGCTTCACGTCCGAAGGCACCAAAGCACCTTGTTCCCAAGCCACCAAAACCTCATGCATAACTCCAGGTATATTAAAGAGTACATCTTGCCATTTGATGTTCGGTTTGAAGTCAGATTCGCCGGCGTTGAACTGTTGCAAAAGCATTTCAATTGTGTCAGGGTCTCCTAAACGCAGAAGTTGTTCAGGCGCTTTCGGCCTTTGACGTTCAACCATACACGACTTGACCCACTGCTCAAAAAGTGATTCTCCATCAGGGTCCAAAACTGCATTTGCTCCATAGTTTTGAACTATAGCGACCAACATTAAGAAACTTATGTCAAACAATTGAGCCCTAGCTTTATCTCCGCCTGACTTTGAACATTCGTTAAAACGAATCAGTCTTGTAACCAAGATTCGCAGCTGGCCTTGGACAGTAGCCACAGCTAGAATCAACTCAAAGCTTTTTCCAGTCAATACTTGATGTAACATTCCCAAAAGGGGATCCTGTATTTTGTGGTAATCTGTAGATAGCGTTTTAAGAATCCCTGCAAGAGTGGGTTCTGCACAAATAATAACTTTGGGAATCCCCGCCGTGGCTGGGGCTGTATCCAACTTCACAGACGCTGGTGGTTTTCTCTTCTCCAACAAATGTTTAACTTGCACTTCAGTAATCAACCTCGCTTTAACTAATTCCCCTAAAAGACATTCTAAACTCGAACAAGAGCTATTTGCGTCCATTGCGTCTAATAGGGGGCTGTGTTGCAGCATTAATTCAATTGCACTAACAATACTGTTACTGTCATTTTTGCCAGCCAATTCGAGAAGAATATGAGGTACCTTTAAAAAGGCGAAAGCCCCCCATTGGCTCTCATGCGAGGTCTGATTTACGTCATACAAAGCCAAGAGGCTACCTCTCATCAATTCAGCAAATAAGCGAGGGCCATCAAAACCTTTGAGTTTTTGGAAAAGCCTCAACTGTTCAGCTAAGGAATTAGTGGAAGCCCCGGGATTACCCACGAGTTTCACTTCCAACCAACACTGGATCAAAGCACCTGGCCATTTCTCGCTGTTAATAGGCAAGCTTAAAATGTTAACGTCGATGTTTTCCAGTTTTTTAATACATTTTGATAAATCATCAGAATCAGATAATGACGCCCTTAATTCAATACATTTGCGGTTAGTTTCAGTAAATAATTCTAGAATTCATTTCATTGTAATGTTGATATGGAGAATGGAGGACACATACCTGGATCGCTGTATCTCGCTAAACACATCATCGAAACATAGAAATCATCATTCATGAGCGTAGTGAGCAAAAACGACGCTTTTTGTGTCAAATGAGCGGTGCCTTTGCACTGCAATAGAATAGTCAAGAGCCAACAAGCTATTGACAAAACTGCTGTAGCAAGAACAGTTTCTTCAGCTTTGCCACAACACGTTACACCGGGAAGCATGCCCTCAAGAAACTCAAGTAAACTAAACACGCAGTGAACTTTACTCAGTTGGTTGTATTTACTGAGACGTTGAAGAACAGCTGCATGTGAGACTAACTGAGCACTCAACGAATGTCTCAAATAACTCAAAACTAACTGATTGGCGCCTGCACCGACTACAGCTTGTTGTAAAATGCAATCAGCTAAGTTATAAACATCGCCACTAACGCCTCTCGGCAAAACCGTTTTAATGTTAATGCCCCACTGCAAGTCAGTCCAGCGTTCACGCCAGGCTTTTAGCAAAAGAGCTTTCAGACAACTTGTCTTACTTGTAGTTTTCGTTTCCATTACCATCTCGGACAGTTGTGTTTAAAGATTTGACGTAGAAGAATAAGTTTAATAGCAAAAATCGCTTTCTGTTTATTTCAATTGACGTGCCATAACCTACAAAAAATACAAATTTTACGTTTAATTAAATTACTCTTAAAACGTAACTGGTGACGTTTTATAGAGTGTGTTTTTGTATACCTACTTAATTTAATTATTTTCTCATTTTTAGTAATAGGAAAAACACAATTATATTTTTTCAAACAACACGCAAGTGCAGTTTTTGACATTTACAATACAACGTTGTCATGTGCCAAAATTATTAATGAATTTTAAAAATTATTAATTTTTATAATGTTTTTACATAATTTGATGCATACAAAACATTGATACTATAAAATATTTTGTATTGTATTTAACACTTTGTAATAAAGCAAATCCAAGCCTATTCCCGTAGATGTGGCAATAGGGCGTACCGGAATATTTCGTTTTATTTGGTTGGTGGTAATTTTAGAACCAAAGCAACAGTGAGTGACATAAATGCAGATTTTCAAGAAAAATAGTTGGGTTTGTGTGATAATTACGAGGATAATTTCGCATTATTTCGCAATATTTTTTACAGATAGTAATGCAGTCTTATCCATGTATATGAAAGCAATTTTTGTATCGGCATGTAAGTGATGATATCGAATAACACACCTTACAAGCTCAAGGCTTCAAAAAGCTCGAAAGAATTGAACGATTACGACAACAACCCCTCTGACGAAAATTACGACAACAGTAGCGTGGACGGTGATGTAGAAAACAGCCAAAAATACCATGTATATTCTCGTGATAACCGCTACAGAGGCGTGGGGAGATCCCGCTCAAGCGAGTTTCGTTCCTCGAAAATTAACGAGAGAAGAGGGGCCTACCGTGGCCGTGGAGGCCCCCCGGCGCGCAGGGGAGACCGCGACGGTGGCGATTTCTACATTTTAAATCGAAAGTATCAAGAGTCATTGTCAAGACATTCTGAATCATCAGGTATGCGCATTTTGAAATTTGTGACTTTGTATTCTGACAATGTTTATTTTACTAGGATCATATCATGGAAAATTTTATGAACCAGAGAAGAAGAATGATATCAAGCTCAATTTACCTGAAGATACCAGAATTTCTAAGCTGTTGCGCCGGTTGAGCACTGAAGTTGACCAAGAAAATTCTCTGGCCATTTCTAAAAAACTTCTTGAGGTTCTGCTACTACCAGACAACGCGCAGTATGTACGCAAAGCGTTCCATATCCTTGGTGAGTCCATGTTTGAAATTCTGCAAGTTTCGCCAGGGCCTCTAGCTAAACAACAAGCCACACGAGCTCTAGGCAGGATGGGTTACATAATGGGACAAGAAAACGATTTTGAAAGGTATCAAAACTGGATTTTTGTTAAAATGAAAAATGCGTATGAAGAAATGCAAATACTTTTAATGAAGTCGTTTAAAGAAACTCTCGCTTTTGAAAAAAATAAACCAGTTTTGCAAGATCACGCTGAAAATCTGATGCACCATTTAGTAACTTGTATAGAAATCACTGAAAACGCTGAAGTTTTTAAAGCCATTCTTGACATTTTAATGACAATCATCGAGCTCTATCCTGATTGTTTTTACACTCAGTTCCAAGACACTGTGGATTTGTTATTCGGCTGGCATGTCGACCACACTCAACCTCTATCAAACATTGAGTTTATTTCCCGCAATTTGCAACGCATTTCGACCCATTTTAAGTACAACATTGAATTTGCCGTCACTCTTATCGAAAATTTTTTGGAAGATATCACCAACTTCAGCAGTCAGTTAAACGACTCTGAGAGTAATTCTTTGGAACACATTAACGTCCTAATTCTAGCTCTGAACACAATTTTGAAATGCTTAGGGGATAGTTTCCGGCCAACGAACAACAAACACGTCTCTGTTGAGTTGGTTTCTACTTGTTTAAACCAAGTTATAAAGACAGTGCAAGACGTCCTTGAAAATTTTGTTACGGACAATCTCATCATAGCAGCTAACGAGAGCATTGGGATTTTGCTTGGACAACTAGACAACAAAACCCAAGCTTTAAGCAACTCGATTTATAACTTGATTGATCTTGAGTTGAGTTTAGTTACCGAATTTTCGGATGCAACTTTAGTATCAATGCTGCTCCTAATTTCGAAAATCATCAAAGAATTATCAGCTAATTTGCCAATAGAACTGATAGAAAAACTAATCGGTCCCAAATCTGAAATAGTCAAATTGCGTTATTCTTATTTTAAGAGTATCCGGGATTCGGTCATTTGCGTCTACCAGGCTTTATTAAATTTAAAAAATGTCTCACTTCTGCAAGAGGCTTACAGATACGTTTTGGGCGACCTTGAGGTCGTTTACAGAGCTATTGTTCCTAATATAAAGCCCTTCATACAAAATAATCCATTTTCTGAAGACAATTTTGACTTGAACACAGACCAGAAAGAACAAACTGTGTTATTTTTATTGCGGTGCCTATCGCAATTGGCTAACGCAAGTTCAATAATAGTGATGTGGGCCTTAAAACCTAGCATTTTGGAATTGGTGGGAGTCAATCTGGAACCGTACCAAGAACGTATAGCTAAGAACAATCCAGCGTTACAATATAGCTTACTTTACTTGCTATACTCTCATTGCAAGTGCTATAATCATTTTATTTCGAGCAGTAATTTAGTAGCGAAAAAGCAAGACCAGTCGAATTTAATGGGATTATTTACTTTGCCGGATGTTTTGAACATTAACGACGTGCCGAACACTTCGCCCAATTTGGGAAATTTTGAAATAATCCTCGATATTTTGCATAAAACTTTGAGAATACAGACTCCCAACGAAGTTACTTTGCTGCTGTTGCAGTGGTTAAACGACATATTGATAAATTCGGACAGTTATTTGGCGAATTTATACGATAACGAAAAGTTTGTCGCAGTGACTGAAGTACTGGTAAAATGCGGATACCATTTTAACACTAAGATAGTTCTCTTTGTTTGCGAAAATCTCGAAAAACTACTGAATAACAAACAATTATCTTGGAACAACCAGTTTTTGATGAACGTCTGCGATTTGGTGAAACTACATCTAAATTCAAACAACGACGAAATTCGTCTTAGTTATTCCAAACTCTCATCGAATATTCCCTGGGACGTTGCTGTGGTCGAATTAAATAAATCTAACTCGGCTTATGATGCGAAGAAATCAACAAATATCAAAGACTATTCCAATTATATGGTCCGCATGGCTCAACATTTGCATCTAAATAACAGCGTAACCGGTGACATGTACCCTCTTCATTTCAAAACTTTCACGGACTATTTGCTTAAAAACGAATCTTGCGAGTCTCCGAACTGGTTAGAAGACATCTTCATCAGTAGTTGGCCTTTGCAAGCTAACTATAAGGCTATGGACTTCTTCTATGATTTGGCGATCAATTCAAGAATAATTTTACATAACTGGACAACACTTGAAAGTGCCCAATTTTGTGTAAATTCCAAGCTGCGCACACCATTAGGCAAACCTAATGAGACTTTCACAAAGATCGAAGGTGCTTTGAATCATTTAGGAAACGACTTAATTAATGTTAAGAAGAATAAAGAGAATGAAAGTGGCCCTAATGACATTACTCGGGTTAGGCTATTGCTCCAGTTTATAGAACATTTGGAAAAAGTTATATACAGTGCGTCCGAAGGTTGCGCTATAGCAATGCAGCAACCCCCGAAGCAAGTCAGATCTTTCTTTATCACCAATACGAACACCTGTAGCGAGTGGTTAAGTCGGATAAGAATGGTGGTTATACATATTGCCATGCATGCATCAGATCCTTGTACTGCAGTCAGACATGGGCAAGCTCTACTTGGGGATATGGTGGCAACAGGAAGAACGACCGGTTCAGAATTTGAAAGAGTTGTAATTTTTATTACGTTGGCATTCCTGGAAATGAGAGAAACTGAAGCGATTTTGGGTCTATATATTTGGTGTAAAAGCGTAGCCGGCCGGAAATTTGTTTGGGTGAAGTATGCAGCAGAGCAGGCGGCGAAGAGATACGAACTTGCTATTGAAGGGTACAAAAAAATTCTCCGACAAAGTCATACTAACGAAAGTGATGCGCAAGGCGACAATGTCAAATTGGAATCAGACTCACGCCATTTTATTCATGATCAGATTGTCATTTGTTATAAGGAGTTGGGTAATTGGATCGATTTGATGAATTGGAATATGGAGGAGAACATGGGGGAAGACATGGATAACGGTCGAAGATATTGGTTTAGTACCACGGATTGGACTTGTGTTAATAATTTGTTTAACGTGGAAGTGGGTCGACAATCTTTTACCGATCTTTCGTCGTGGAATTACAAAGACGAGACAACGTCGTGGAGTCAGTATGAGGAGATCACGACTGTTGAGACAAATCTGTACGGAATTGCGTTTAGTATAGCTTCGGATAGTGGGGATTTGAATAAGAAAGTCGATCAGAATTTGAGTAAAATTCAAAACTCGATTAGATATCACTTAAACTTGGCACCCTCTGATTGTCTTCAAGAATTTCAAGTGATGCAATACGCCTGTCAAGGGATTAAAAACATTCTCAACGGTACTTCAACCAACACCGTGTTTCTTGTATCTGAGAATTTTGAAAATGAAATATCTAAAATCGACTCGTCGGTTTTACGTAAAGTACTTTGGTGGTCGGAGTATTTTGCTGACGTCCAAAATCTAGGATCGACGACTTTCTGTACTAATTTACGCTTGGATGTTATAAAAAGAGCCAGGAAAGAACGTAATTTCAAGTTGGCGTTTGCTCATGTTAGCAAATTTCTTAAAGATACAAATTTGGTGATCGATGATAACGGTTTTGACACTATTGCGACTCTATTCTTGCAGAAAATTGGCGAAGTATCAGTTTGGAGTGTTGATACGGCTCGTGTAATAATGGAGATTATAAAACTGTCGTACTGTACTGATCAGAATCGACAACACAATTTTAATTTGTGCGCCGCTGCTTCTACTGCCATTTCGAAACATGCAGAGCTCTATGGAGGAACAGAATTGAAGAAAATTAGTAGCAAAATTTTGTTAAAATTAGCGAATTGGTTGCAAGTAAACGAAGAAATTTGTTTAACGGAAATAAATAGTCCGTTGGGTAAATTGTTAATGGTGTTGCCGGAGATCGGGATGATGGATAGTAGTGTTTCAAATGTGATTCCAATGAGTGAAATGGCAATTGGGAAATTATTGCAATTTAGTGTACATCAGTGCGTCGGATTAGCCAAAAGCTGGAATGCTTTTGGTACCTGGTGTTATCGTTGGGGCCGCAAAATTATAGATCATAGTTCTGATGTCCAGAATAATCTCACTGAAGAGGATCATTTGATTATTAAAAATTTGTTGCCACCAGCTACTTCGCAAGACGATTTGAATAAAATTATCACGATTTTGTCTCAGACTAGATCGAATCTTGATGAGGAAGATATAGAATCGCACGATTTGAACACTTCAGAGATGATTCAAAATCAGTTAAAATATGTGCCTGTTTTACAAAACGCCTCTGATGCTGATTTACAAAGCTTAGTTCAGATTTGGAGAAACACACAAAAGAGGATTTACACGTACTATGCACTCAGTGCTGAGGCTTATTTCAAGTATTTACACCTAACTACAAATTCGGACAACATTACGAAAAACACCGAGTGTAACATTATAACGATTACTCTACGTTTGTTAAGGTTAATTGTTAAATATGCTCTAGAATTACAAAATATACTCGAGGAAGGTTTACAAACGACCCCAACTCAGCCTTGGAAAGTTATTATTCCTCAATTATTTTCTCGTTTGAATCATCCAGAAAGTTATGTAAGACATAGGGTTTCCGATTTGTTATGTCGCATCGCTGAGGATGCTCCTCACTTGATTACGTTCCCAGCAGTTGTTGGTGCTTTAGAAGGGGGTCTAAAGTTTGATTTTTCCGAAATTTCGCTACCCAAGGATTGTCTTTCGCAAAACAACGAATGCAACGATGAAGAATTAAACGAAGAAGAAGATAACTACGAAAGTGACAGTGAAGATTCTACAAATGCGCTACAATCGTGTTTTAGGACCATGGTGGATACTCTTAGTAAGCAAGATCCAGAAACTATTGCTCAAGTGCAAACTCTTGTCAAAGAGTTGCGAAGAATCACTTTACTTTGGGACGAGTTATGGTTGGGTACTTTAGCTCAACATCAAACTGAAATTACGAAACGTCAGCAACAATTGGAATATGAAATCGAGAAAGTCAACGAAAATCCTCATTTAAATAAAGAAGAAAAGTTATCGCTTATTGCAGAAAAACACAGGATTATAATCAAGCCAATTGTATTTGTTTTGGAGCAGTTGCAAGAAGTGACCACTGCTGAAGCAGAAACTCCACATGAAAAAGAATTCCAGGAAAAGTACCTGGATGAAATTAAAGATGTAATCAATAAGTTGAAGAATCCTGAAAATCCAGAAAAACCACAAGAATCTTTACAACCACTAAAGAGTCTGCAGAAGCAATTTCAACAAAAGTTTCACCGACGAGCTTCGTACACTCTCAAAATGCAGTCAATCAGTCCTGTTTTGGCCTCTATCAAGAACACTGTAATTGCGATGCCTGGGTTGGTGACTTCTGCGAAAACTCGAGTTACTATTTCGCACGTTTCTAATATTGTTTCAATTCTCCCCACAAAGACTAAACCAAAAAAATTAATCTTTTACGGATCTGACGGCCAGACTTACACTTATTTATTCAAAGGTTTGGAAGATTTACATCTAGATGAAAGAATAATGCAATTCTTGAGTATTGCGAACACCATGATGGCCCACAATGCTGACCTAACTGGTCAAAATTTATATCGCGCCCGACACTACTCCGTTATTCCTTTGGGGCCACGTTCAGGGTTGATTTCTTGGGTAGATGGAACTACCCCTGTTTTCGCCTTGTATAAAAGATGGCAACAGCGCGAAATGGCTAAACCCTTTATCAAAAACAACGTAAATACAACCGCGAGTGTGTTAAGACCTTCTGAACTTTTTTATAATAAGTTAAACCCCTTACTAAAAGAACACGGAATTAAGAATATAGATAATCGAAAGGAGTGGCCTTTGAGTGTTTTGAAGCAAGTTTTAACTGAACTGATGGCAGAGACTCCTAGCGACCTACTTGCTAAGGAATTGTGGTGTAATGCAATTGATGCCAATGCTTGGTGGCAAGTGGTGAAGAGATACTCTTATTCTGTTGCTGTTATGAGTATCATTGGGTATATAATTGGGCTCGGGGATCGGCATTTAGATAACGTTTTGGTGGATTTGACAAGCGGAGAAGTGGTCCACATCGACTACAACGTCTGTTTTGAAAAAGGCAAGACTTTGCGAGTGCCTGAGAAAGTCCCCTTCAGACTCACGCCGAACATTCGTGGAGCGCTGGGAATCACAGGAGTTGAGGTAAGCGAAAAATCACTTACGAAAAGTGTTGATTTTATTGATTACATTAAAACTAAGAATATATCACAATATTTCTTTCGGAGAATTTAAATTAAAGTCAACTCCAAGTGGGAGTGTTCACTGTTGTCATTTCGGTTGACACACTACACTCGTGTTCGTCATAGTCTTTGGGAGTGGGTGATTCAATCTCAATTTCGGCTTGAGCTACAACGTTGTCATGACCTCCAATTGAGCTTTTCTTGCTGCTAGGAACGTGATTCGTGATATAGTTTGTCTTTTTGGTCGAATTGTTCGGGGAGTGGCAAGTCAGCAAGCACCAAAAGGCCTCGCGGAAGTTGGAATTCTTCCAAGCGTATATCACAGGGTTCATTCCTGAATTGCAAACGGCCAGCGTGAACGCGATTTCGTACAAAAGGCTGAATTGGCTGCTGGTGTCGCTTATTCTGAAATAAGTGGTCACGATGAAGTAAGGCATCCAGCAGATGGAGAAACAGCCTAGTGTAAGCATCACCACCTGAAAAGAAAATAAACATCAGGCAACGAACTTTCTCATTTGCTTTGTTTAAAGCGGCGCTTCATTTCCGCAAATCGAAATAGTGTAATTATGTTATATAGCTGTAGATATTGTATTTATTTTGTTTTTCTCGATGTGTGTTAACAGTATGTGGTGTGTCAATCAATTTACGTTTAAATTCTTCAGCGCCTAGTATTGACACTGAAAATAATGTTGCGTTGGTAATTGAGTGTCTATCGGTTTTCTTGTTATGAGGCTGTGTGTTTATTTATATCTTTACAACATGTCATCGTGCCAATTGTGTACGGTGGGTGTATGGGAATAGCAAGGTGTGAATGAGGTTTTATTGTGAGCATGTACTAAGCATGTCCTGATAATTCGGTGATAAGAGTTATTGAAAATGGGTATTATTTATTGATAATTGTTTATCGTGTTCCAAACAATTTCAGAATTGTACCGATTGTTCACATCAAGTACTCAGAATTATTAATTTTTGAAGTTTATTATAGTGCGTGATCAAAAATATAATGCGTTTAATCAAACTTACTTATTATGACATAAAAGGTGTGGAAATTGCATGCAATTACTTTGATTACAAGCAAAACGTGGCTTTTTTTTTGAGTGTTTGATTTTAATTCAATGATAATATGTACTTATATACATAATTTAGGAAAATAAATGTGAAACTTACAATTTTGAAACTACCTGAAAGAGTGCCAATAAAAATAAACCAAAAGATATTTTGTTGAATCACTTATCGTCACTTATAACCACATTTTAATTATACATTTTATTTTTATTTTCTACATTTTTTTATTGGTTGTGGTCTACATCTTGTGGACCATGGACGTCAGGTGTCACTAAAAAATTCAATTGTCAAAATTAATATAATTAATTTTTTTTGTAAAGAAGACTTATTTATTAGGGCTCCCATAATCGTAAAAAACTATTCATCAACAAAAGTGTACCTAATTGATAGATCAAAATTGTTAACGTCTAACAATCAACATCGGATAATATTATCCGAATAAATTCAGAAATGACGTTAAGGTGAATACCTATTATGTATTTATAATTTAAAAACTGTTAACGGATTTTTTGAATAGGTGATTAATAATCTCGTCAAACATTCGCTAGCTACGTTAAAATAATGATGATTTTCTTCTTAAAGCTTAATAAATTTCATTTGTTCATTACGGGAATTAATTTAGAGTTTATGTCCCCTGTAAATATTAATTCGCTCGTCAGTCGTCACCATATGAAGACATTGAAATAGCACAATTAAAATTTAAGAAATGATTACAAATTAAACTAAATATATTCTTTTTTCATAACAAGCAAATTTTTACGACATTGTAGTAAGAATTTTTTGGTGATGTAGAATATTGGTTTATATTGTTTATTTTAGGATATTAATAGTTATTTTTTCTACGAGTTTGAGTGTAAATCGGACGCATTATTTCACGAGGTGGAATAAAGCGTCCCAATTACACTCAAATACAACAATACAACATTTTATTCTTCGAATTAGAACTCAACAAAGCTTAGACTTGCGTTAAATCTGTTAAAAATAATTTGACATTTCGTATTGAGAAATGCTAAACAGTTGTCAAAACTTCCTTACACCAGAGAAAAACCGTAAATTTTGACAGTGTCGAAGAATAATAATGTATTAGTATACCTAAGGTTAATGAAAAATTATTGCCGTTTTTTAAAGATTCAAACTCGGATTTATATTTTTTTCCATTGAATATTCTATTTTAATTTGACAGCTAAATTATATGCACTTGAAACAATTATCATAACTATTTACTATGTCATGGTAAACGTAATTTTTTTGATTGTATGCTACATTTTAGTCTTTGCCAATCCATTAGCAATTGTAATTACTTTTTAATTACTATTATTACATCAAAAATTGTTCACTTAATTGTCCATAACTGAATAGGAAAAAAACCTTCATTTTATTCTATGGAAATAATATTAAAACGAGTCTCTCCGCTCTAATTATTTATTTTGCATTTTATTAAATGTCTTTAAAAGAATTTCGCATTCTTAGTCACAATGGGTTTTATTAATGCCAGATTTCGTTTAAATATTTACATACAAATTTAGTTTGCTCGACTATTTTATTTGAAGATTTCTATTTTAATTTGAATCAATTTAAATAAGTAAAACGTTCTAAAAATAATTCTGTTTTCAGTTATGGTTGCTACTTTGTTTCTACTTTGAAACAGTTGTGACTGAATTCTTTTTATGATCACGTTTTTTTGTAAAATTTTGTAGCTTTAATAATCTTTCGTCTCACATAACATACACAACCTCTGTTACGTAAAAGAACAACCTTCAACTTTTTGAAGGCCAATATCACCATTAAAAATATACCTATCTTGATTTTTGCTTAATTATTACTATGAAAGTTAAGTAGAAAAACGACGAACAACTAAACCTCTGATAAGCAAACGCAAACCACAAGCATTCTAAGAAATTCTCACGTTCAATTACAATTTTATGGAGTGTAAACAATTTGTTCAGTGTCCGTTTAGTGTCATTACCTGTATTGATTTAGTATCGTTGATGTTGTGACATTTATGCAAATTTGTCGTACTTCTAATCCTTTTTGCATGTTTCGAAGCTTCTCTCCAAATTTTAATATAAACAAGTAGCATCACACCCCAAATCAAAGCAAACATCGGCGTAAGGACGAAATTGAAGTACACATGCGGAATTATTTTAACATCACAAATTTCATCATCGGTCCACGTATTCCAGTAAATCGGAACGGCGGAAAAAGTCAGCGACAATATCCATACGAGAGAAATAAGAAAAGTTGCATTTTGACGTGTCATATACTGGTTGTACTTCAAGGGATGGACGATGGCGGTGTATCTATCAGTAGCGACGAAGAGAAGATTTAATATCGAACTTTCACAAGCGAAAGATATGAGGACAAAACGGGCCAAACAAGTACTTTTATTGTGAATAATCGAGTCCGTCAAGTAGAAACACATATGGTAAGGGATGGACAATCCCACCAATAAGTCGCTCACTCCCAGACTGAAGATGAATTGATTGGACACCATAGATGACAATTGTCGGCTAGCTGCTATAGCGAAAAGTGTCAAAGTATTGCCAGCAATAGCAGCAACAATGATTATACAGTACACTGTTATCCATAAACCACCACCTACATATTCGGACACTGTGGCTGAATTTTCGGTTGTTGTTTCCATCATTGATTAATCTTTTGGCAACATTTCAATTGATTTAATTGCATCCCGTGGCCACTCAACATAAATCTCACGATTTACATTTTCGATAAGTTGAAAGACGGTATTTTAAACCGACGAAAAACCGAACAAGAATTAACACCTAACGCTCAAGCTGGCGCGAAACGGACTGATCATTGAATAGTGGAGTTGCCGGTATCAACAAACATGACTGGAACACCGACACTAATTCGCGGTTTCTTAAATGTATAAAATTTGCTCTAATTTTAAGAAATGGAAATTAGTTATTGCTTCCAGCAATTTGTGTTATCTCCCCGGATTAAGTATGTAATTCCGTTAGTGATCAGAGGGGTATTAGGAAGAATCAAATTAAATTATTGATAAATGTGTAACAGAGAGTACATCAACTAATAATTGAGCGATATTTTTATGTTGGGACAAATTATTTTTGATAATGATTATGGAGGATGATGAGCGAAATTTGTTGAACAGTGGATAAATAAAAAATTAAACAATTTTTGGATCGATAGTTATTAAGTAACTGTAATTAGAGTTGTTGTGCCATTGATTTAATAAAGCATCACTGTTACGAGTATTTCACACAAGTGGGTTTACCATTTAGCCAAATATTTTTCCTTTCAGAATAATTACATTCAGCTAGCACGAAAGTAAAAACCTTCACCTTTGAGATTGTTTTGTAACAAATCAAAATTATAGTATGATGTTCACCGGTTCAATGTTTCATTTAATTACTTTAAAATTTTCCTCAAAAGAAAGATTATCTTGTTCTTGTTCTGCTTTAAAGCTTCCCGAAATACAGTATATTATAAATAGTACAAACCAACAAGACCATCAAGTTACATTTTCCGAAACATTTTACAAGAAATTCATTCAGCAATAGGGGAATGACGTTAAACCGGTAGTTTTGTTTACACATCCATTAAAGCTTTAGAAGCATTATTACAAAACATAATTCTATTTATAAAATTTAATCAAACATGTCTTCTTGGTGAATATATGACAAAATTCATAACGACCATGACATTATCTTCCGTTAATTCTGGCGTACCTCTTTTACATAATCAATAATTGCTTTGTGTCAAAGAATCATTAACGCCATTATTAAGCTCACATTGATAAGGCATGATGATCTATCACAACATTAACACAACAATTTGCGGATTGGTGTAGGCATAAATCAGTCGGTCAAATGGGATTTATTTTCACGTAAAAAGTGACAACTATATCCATCTTTAAAAAAAAAAACAAAGTAATGTCTGTAGCATCGCAAAATTCATTATTTAAGCATTTAATTATTTGCAATGCGTTATTTTCTTTCGGTATGTCAAAAATTATTAGTAATAATCTCGGTCTAATTACAGGGCGCTTTTTTTAAGAGTAAATTTTTGTAGTCATGAAAGCAATAATTTAATACAGTGCCTTCATAAATGATCAAGAGCCACGTGACGCTTGGAAACAAGACTTTTGAAGATAGATTGCTTAGTTATTCAGCAAAGTGCGAAAATTTCACTTCACAGTTTTTTATGTAGATCTTTATGCATTTGTTTTGCATTGATTTGTTATGTTTTTTTTTATCATCTGAAATTTGTTACTGTATCCTTCTTTAAGGGCTCTTATGACATATTATGCAAAATTACATACAATTTAATACGAATAGAAGAGATACAGTGTTTAATTCATGCGAATGGGCATTGTTCAGTAGGATAAAGTTTTTTATTCATAAATAATAATTATACTATTAAAAGCTTAAAAAGAATTGATAAAAACAAATATAGGTATGTGCTTTTTTAAATTTTTTTGGTGATTGTTTTTTCAATTCTTACCTGGAAAGATTTTGAATCGTTGATGTCTTTTGGCATTCTCGCAACTCTACGAATTCGCTTGGTGTGGCGTTGCGCTTCTTTCCAAATTTTTACATACACCAACAACATCGTAATCCAGATGACTCCAAACAGAGGTGTCAATACGTAAATAAAGTATGTTTTGGGGAGAAACCTGAGAACGTCGCAAGAACACCTTTCCTCCCAGTTGTTCCAATAAATCGGGACTGTGGAAATTGCACCACAGAAAATCCATTCGCCTAAAATAAGGCTCCAAACCACCTTATTGGTCATGTATTTGTTGTAATGAAGAGGGTAAAGTATGGCTATGTACCGATCTGTGGCTATTGTCAGTAATTTACAAATGGAATGAGAGCACGCAAATGTCGGTACAATAAACATTATAACACAGGGGAGTTTGCCGTCTAAGTCTTTCTTATAGATGAAGAAACACACGTGGTATGGTATGTAGAGTCCTACCAAGAGATCGGTTATGGCCAAACTGTAGATGAACTTGTTTGCGGTCACTGAGGATAGTCTTCGATTGAGCGCGATTGCAAAAATCGTTAATAAGTTACCCGAAACAATCACACAGAAAATTATCGAGTACACTGTTATCCATAGTGCACTTCCGGGATAAACGAAAGCTTCGGAAGTGTTGGTCGAAACCATTTTTTTACGACTTTACACTCCTCGATCGGCACTAATAGAATCTGGACGTTTCCATCCTTTTATTAAATGGAAAGAGTGCGTCATCGTTTATTCTCCTTTCAATTTTCCATTGATCGGTTTACGTTTTTTGATTTTAACGCTTATATTAATTTGTATCAATGGGAATTGATAAAAACACATGTACGCTAGTACGGTATTGGAAAGCACACTAATCGCCGTTTTTCTACTACACATTACTGGAGGTATCAAATTGCAATTTAGTGAAAACAATCACGTCATCGATTATTTGTTTTGCTATCAATCGGTTGTGTGTTATAATTTTTAGCTGGAGGGCTTGTTTTGATGTGTTTTGCTCTTTTTTGATGTATGACTGTTCGAATATTGTTTTTATGTCATACTCAAATTGCGAGAGGAAGCGCCAAAGTGAAGCTATTAGAAAGGAGATGATATAAATGGATACCAAAATGGAATTGCCATTAGCACCTTTTATGACCGGAAATACAGAAATAAAATTGTTTGTTGTAGAATGTACTCTACAACGTAAGCATATTCAATTTATAGGATGATTGAAGGATCGGCATTGATAATGTTGAAACAGTTTTTGTTTGTCCAGTTGGTCTTTCACGAGAATCGATTTTTTTTTACTTATCTGCAGAAGAGGATCCTTTGGGTTTCAGTGGTTATTTATCACATTTGACCCTTGAACGGTGTTATTATAATATAATTTTGGTTTTTTATTTATGAATGAAATTAGATTTCGGAATTTTTTTTATTGTTTTATCTTATGTGTTTATTCAATGGAACAAATGAAAAATTTACCATTGGCAAAAATGAAGGTGAAATATAATTACTGACTTCCCAACATTAAAAAATGTTTACCTAATTATTTGAACATAAAGATTTTATAATTACAACTTTTGTTTATCACAAATTTAAATTTGATAAAAGAAAAGAATGTAATAGGTGACATGAATTATTTTTTTTTATTTTCATGCTACAATATTCATATTTGAGAATATTATAATACATATTAAAAGTCAATTTGAAATAAAATTTTATGAACATACATTTCTATTTTTTTATTGTTTGCTTTTGAAGTACACCAATTTTGGTCTTAACATGAAATCGTTACAGATACAAAATAACACTGCTTTGCATTTGCTTTCCATTATTCAGTCTTTCAGCAATGGCATTTTTTTATAATGCTATCGAAATATTTTCGCTTCCTTGAATACACCAAAAGAAATATTTGTGTTATTTCATCCAAGTGTAATTAACCTCGTTAGTAGTAGAATAGTACGTTCTGCTTGTTTATTATCTAAAAGTATTGTTACAAAACGTGCTCTTCAAATTGATTAACCATCCTCATTCATATAAACTACCTGTTTTCGATTAAACTTTGCCATTTTCTCATTCAAAATAAGTAACCGCGAGATATTTACTTTTATTTTTATGGTGGTAATAAAATGTAATTGTGACTTCATCGCCTCCAGAACATAAATTCGATCGAAAATAAAGAAATATTGCTCCAGATTATATTGCAGGTCAATTAAATGCATATTAAACGCCGGGATAACATCGAACGTGATAAATTTGTTTTTAAAAGGAATAAAAAGCTCGCCATAAATTAATGCTGTTTTTTTAATTATGAGCGAGGGATTACTGTGTCAGTGCAAATCTACCACAGGTTTCGGTAGATAACATTGTTATCAACACTCGAAATAATAAGTGTAATTTATTGAATATTACAAAATACATAAATCCAAATACAGAAGAAAATCATGTTTTCAGGGAATTTTCCGCACGGCCTGTGAAAACGTACTGAAAACCATGCGAAAAGGACGTGAGACTTTACTCACACTACTGGAAGCTTTCGTTTACGACCCTTTGATCGACTGGACCGTGGGTGGCGAGGTCCTGGCAGGGACAAGCTTTGGAGGAATCTCCTCGAGCGTCAATTCGAGGCAAGGCAAAAAGGACTTGGAGAAAGAAGTGACTCTCTCCATGTTTAATGTGCGTTGTACCGAAATGAGAGTCGAATGGGACGAAAATAAGTAATTACCGAAAATTTGACTCACAGAAAGATTACAACTTTTGTTTTAGGGAAAATATTTTAAAAGAAATTCCAACATTGCTTGAGAATTTCGGGTCGTGGATTGATGTTCAGAAGAAAATCAGCGAAACAGAAGACTATTTACAAGATTTGCACCAACAGATGGCGTTGGTGAAAGAGGCAGAAGCGCACGGTGCGAATAAACACAGCTTGTATAATTTGCCATCACGTTACGAAATTTATTGCAAGACGCAGGAGGCCATGAAAACTGCAAAGAAAGATATCGATAAGATAATGGACGAGGCTGAAAATCACATTACCGGTTATTTAGAAGCCTTGAAACTCTTAGAGAGTCCTCAATTTGCGCATTGGATATCGGATTTGAAAGCATACGATAATGATATGAATATATTCGATTTAGTCAAAGAGTTTTTGCACAATGCCGGCAAAAATGACGTTATAACGCAGTGTGAACAGTCGGAAAGCGACGTCGAGCAGTTATCAAAAATGCAAAATTTGTCAATAAAACGATGTTTGCAGCTCTTGCAGGAGTATCATGCTATTTTGTCCCAATGTCCGAAGTCGTATATCGAAAATCATCGGATGTATCTCTACCTGAGTTGGTCAAAGTTCATGCTGGATACTAAAACAGTTGAAAGTTGTGACGCTGTTTATGAGAAATTTCGAATGTTTCTCGATTTCGGTAATGCTAAGCACACTTTAAAGTTTTCTTACAGTTTGGAAACTTTCTACAAGGAAACTATAGCTCAAGTCAACAAACTTTACGATGATTTGACTAAAATTCGAGCTCAAGAATCGAGTGTTGCACTCGAAAAATTATACGCTAATGCTAGATTAGGTGTTTCCACTTTTTTGAATTGCGAAAAAGGAGCTACAAGTGCATTTGAATTCGTTATAGCTAACGAATTAGTACTGCTTAACAAAAATTTCTTAACTTTAGAAACTGCAGCCAGTCGAAGTGGAGATTTGTTAATTAAATTGACATCAAGAGATGGCGATTGGTTTTTGGATGAACTGGTTTTAAACAGTACTAGAGTGGTAGAAATGATTAATAATCTTCCAGTGAAACAAGAGGGCGAAGATAGCCGATTTATGAAGGTGTTAAATGGTATCAGAAATGCGAATAATGTTTATAAAGGGTTACATGAGTTACATTTCAATTTCCACACAATTATTTTGCCTGAAAGCATGAAAAAGATTCAAAGTGAAGAACCAACTGTCGTACAAATGGTTGCAGATCTCGGTAATTTGATAGTCGAGTTGGGAACCACAATTCCAGATATGATTGCCCAATTGGAGAAGATCTTGTCGTGTTTATTTATGCAGATGGATATTAATGTAAGTTTAGTAAACGTAAGATTCAAAAATTATATGTGTAACTCTGTAATTTTGTTGCAGCCTTCCTACGAAATAGTTTTGGGTCGTGTGGCAGCAATAAGGAGCAGATTCCAGCTTTTGGTTCAGAGTCAATCCGATATTCTCAGTGCTGGCAAAATGTTACTGATGGGTTTTAACGGTCTTTTCGAAAAATTGAGCCAAGAAATGCATAATTTGGTCAGTACTTTAGGAAGTCTGGATATACCCTCTTCGTGGAAAAAGTTGGATCAGGTAAAAGAAGCGAAAAGTATTGGAGCACATATTTTCCACCCCAAAGTTCATGAAATCCTGGAGGATATCTTTCTGCTGAAACGGCTACAAACCATGTCCGAATTTTTCGATTTGATACTCGAAATGTGCCAATCTTTCAAAGTCAATGCAAAGCATGTGATTTTCAATGACGATCAGTTGGTAAAACCTGTGAGACAATTTATTGCCGACTTTATATCGCGCCAACTATTGGGGGTAACAACTGAAGCAGTGGCGTATTGTGTTTGTTTCTTGTTGCAAAATTTGAGTCTTGATGTCTCACACGAAATCGAACAAAAAGACATCGGTGCTGAAACGAAAGTTCCATTGGATGAATTGTGCCATAAAGCGTGGAATTATTTATTGAAGCAAGGAGTTTTTAGTCAGAATTTAGTGTCGCAGGCTTCTGGATTTTCGGCCAATTTGAAGAGTGCTTGGGAGAAGATTCAAGAGCCGAAAAAGATCGAATTAAAATTGACTGTATTACAGTCGAGTGCGATGCGTATACAAAACCAGCTCACAGTTTATAATTTCATGTATGAAGAGATTTTGTCACAGTTACACGTCTTTACAGGTGTCAGAAATAAGTTCATCATGGATTTGAAAAGTGAAATGACGAATTTGAAAACCGTCCATTCTAAATTAATTGAGGCTAGAGAGAAACAACAGTGTCTGATTGAAAACGCATATCAGAGACTGAATTGGGCCAAGGGGGCGAATCCAAATGTTGTTGAAATTTCAGCAGCTTTTGAAAGTGCTGTTTCGACAAGAGATGCACATCTAAATTTGGAACAAAAAATCGCAAATGAAATTTTAAATGCGTGCAAAGAAATACTACAACATGAGTTGTTGAGGACTCACTGTAACGAGTCGAAGACTTATGATAAGTTGTTTTTGAGCAGTTTTGAGAAGTGGAGGATCGCTTGTCAGTATACGAATTCGAGGAATGATGTTCTGACTCCAACTGAAGAAAATATAATGAATTTACTGACGGCCGAATTATTGCACAATCCGAAATGGTTGCAAGCCATTTCTGAAATAATTTCTGATTTGATTACGATGTCTCAAAGGAAATTGACTGAAGAAAAAGCTAATTTGATGTGTATTTCTGAGGATTTGACATCTGCCATTGAAAAGTTCAAAGAAATTTACAACATTCACTGCAGGTTGATGTCGGATGTTAAGTCACTAATCAAATCGATGACAAAAATTGAAGACTATGCGATACAGACCCAACAGTTTATCACCGATTACCGGGATTATATTGACAGATTTTCGTCTTTATTTTCAAAATTCAAGAAAGAAATGTCCATGGACGACGTCAAGTCATGCGTCGAGCATTTGCATTTTCTCGCAAAGAACACGAACCAAATTTATGGCGATTTGCTAAGTTTAGAGGCGAAGAGGAATCGTCTCCAGCTGACGCGTCAGGACTGCATTGCCATCAGTCCGATCAAAGTACAGAAGCAGGAGTCGAAAGGTCAGCAAAGGAACGCGTATGCGGTCAACGTTTGGCGCAGAGTTAAGATGAAGTTGGAAGGTCGAGATCCAGATCCTGGCAGAAAATATACTTCTCAGGAACAGGTTCGTATCGTGTTTTGTATTTTGGAGGTGATGCTGATGTTGTTTTGTTTAGGTCGATTACGTGATCCGAGAGGCGACCAACTTGGATAACTTGGCCCTTTTGTACGAGGGCTGGACACCGTGGGTTTGAAATGTATCGAGCGCGGCAGTAAAGCCCTGCCTGGATCTCTCTTCAGTACTAGTAATGCGCCAGTGCGCACTGGTCGCCGTGGGTGAAGCAGCAGCGCCATCTCTAACTATACTTGCCCATCAGGCCAAGTTGCTTAGTTTTATTGTTCTTGCAAGAATTTGATTTAGGGATCGAAGGATTATTGAAAAAATAAAAAATAAAATTGTTCTTGCACTATCGGTAAAACTCGGCCACTTGAACATAGTAAAGTATCTCAAAGTTAATGCTGCTTTTCATTTTAATTATCAACGGTAATGTCAGAGTTGACAATTGCTGCCAAAATGGCAGCTTCTATGTTCTCAAAATGGAGTCTTGATGTATTTGAAATGTGCCGACTAATTGGCGTCTAAATTCAATGTGCCCCGACACTCTGTGGTACTCTAATCTGGATTTACATATAGATAACTCATCTGGTGATTGGATGTGTGTAAATTCAGCTGTTTGTTGCATTCAAATGTGACTTATTAACTCAATGTTTACTATAACTTTTATTCGATTAGAACTCTTTCAAATCATGCTAATAGCTCTTTATTCTTATAATCTTCAACACACTGGTCTGACAAGATATAAATTGATTTTTAGGTATAGTACATTCTTATTATTATTTACGTAGGGTGTTATTATTCTTTGATAAGTTTTGGTTTTATTTAGAAATCGTAATAAATGTTCCATGGAAACAACACGTACACGTTAAGTTACACAATAAGATCTTTGTCAGTGTATGTATAATGTTTATTACTTTTTCTGATTTCTTTTAATAATAATATAAAAATACACTTATTGAACGTTCAGTGCTTTTCATTAATAAATTACCTCGTTTTATTAATTACGAAGACAAAAAATACTATTCACCTTGCCATCTTGATAAATTAATACATTTCCCAACACACTACTAGAAATTGAAACATGCGTGTCTTGCTTTATCTTCATATTTTATGCAACATTTTACTTTTTTACAAATATCACATAAAATGTGTAAACATTACTGTTTTTTACATTTAATAACGTTTTCGTTATGTAGCCATGTACTTGTTTTAAGGTTTTTACGTATGTAAATACTTACCTACTCGTAGATCATTTTTTCCTTTCTAACAAAATTTTTCGTAATACACATTTTTTGTAGATAAAAACTTTTGCAATATTGAATATATCATTTCTTCATATATGCTTTTGAAAACGCTCTATGTGGAATTAAAACGAGGAAATACAAAAGTGTTTAGTGTGTGGGCACCTTTAACATCCTTCTCTTTTGATCACGTGACTTGGTTATTGCAATGTTGTCAAGTTTGTCATTGTCAGTAAAATTTGAAAGATGAAACGTCAACATGTCAAAGTTGTCTAAAATTAAAAACAATGCATTCCAATGAAATAATTCATATCAACGATACGAAATTTCGTTAAATTTCAGGTAATATTATTAGTTTACGAAGCTCTAATCAAACAGTTTTGATTATAGTAGAGCCAACGATGTAAAATGAGTTGGTTTGATACGTCAGGCTTTGCTAGCATAGCAAAATCTGCCCTTAGGGAGGCTCAGCGAACGATAGACAAGGCTTTAGATATAAAAGAAGACGAAGTAAACGTTGTTCCTACAAACACACCCATTGACACAAACTCTGACGACTTTTTCGGAACGTGGGGCATTAGTCAGTCTGGCCATATTAAAGAGAGTAAAAGAGATGAAGAAGGGCCTAAAATACCTAAACTTCAATCCAGCCTATGGGGATCATTTACCGGGTCATTTTTTGATGCTAGTAAAGAATATTCAAAGACGCCTTCTATTGATAGTTTAGATGATTCAATTGACATAGGAAGTGAGCATTTCAGCAGGAGCAAACTTGTGGTACAGCAAAGCGATGACGGGGATAGTCATTATTCGCGTCTGTCGTCAATGGAAACAGATGAAGGAACTCTTGTCAATGACAACGAGGACAAATTAGTAGAAATTCAATTAGACTCACCTGATGCCCCTTCAAACTCAGAGCAAGCTGTCGTTGTAAAGAGGCCAGAGAAAACGCAAAGTTCGATGATTAACAGACTGTCGGCGATTAGTAATGAAAGTGGAAAAAATAGTTCAGAAAGCGTGGAACTTATCACTTGTAGTACAGAATGCACCACTAGTCCCGAATCTGAACTTTTATCAGGGGAACACAGCATTTCAACTTCTAGTTCTGCTGTAGCTAAACAGACCTCAGAGTCGGTTGAAATTTTAGGAGATAGCTTAACTAGTCCCAGTTCTGTTGAAATAATCGAAGCAGATAGCCTAGATTGTAAGAACCAAGATGAATTTGCGTCGCCGATGGATTCGCCCATTGCGGAAGAGGAGGCCAGGTAATAATAATGACCCTCAATAATTCTCTGACTAAATATTTTTTTCAAATTATTTAGATCAAAGATTGCTTTTTACTGGAATATTATACAGAGTGATTATAAATGATTTTCATCTAGCCAGCTGTGAATTTTTCATGTAAAATAAAAAAATGCCGTTTTACGAAAATAGGGGTACCCACTTGTTTTAACTTAAAATTAAAAAATCGCCGTTTACTAAGCGTCCACTTCGAAAATAAACTTCAATTATAAACTTGTTTTCTTCCAAAGTATCCATTATTATCAATTATTATTGAAAATTAGTTGAAACAATAAAAGTTTAATTAACCACAATTTATCATTAATTAATAAGTGACACTAATGACAGAACTAGAGCTTTTAAAAAATTAGAGCGGCACAAATAAAATTACATGCAAAAAAATTCCAAAGCTGGCTAGATGAAAATCATTTATAACCACTCTGTATAATATCGCCAATTATTGATTCGAGAAAAAAGTTTTGAAGGAAAAATCTATTACTTTTTCTTTGTTAATAATTACTGTCGGGTAAAATTTAAACTGGTGTTCTCGTAATAATCACTATACTAAGTATTTATTTTTTCATTTGACTTTTGTATTTTAAAAATTAAAAAAAACAGATACAGGATGACCAGGGGTTCGTGCACGCTCTATAACTTTTTTTCTATCCAAGTTATCAACATGATTTTTTTTTAAAACGATAGATCCAACAATGTGGCTCATTATAAAAATATTTCTATTCATATACAGAGTGTCCCAACTAAGTTCCGTTTTCTTAAATGAAAACCACAATTTTTTATTAGATATCTGGATTCGCCACTAAATTATCAATATAACGCACCTTGGTTTCTTAAACTTACCTGCAATAGTTTTTGACTTTAAAAAGCTCATAAAAAATGCCATGTAATGATGCAATAAAATATAGAGTGTTGTATTTAAGAAAATCGAGTTATTGCCATTTGTATTTTGTCATTTTTAAAAAATCGTAGTAGGCAATGGAACATCAACTCCGAGTTTGCCTTTTTCTCAAAACATGTGCTAAAGCTTAAGGAATCGACTGGAAAAAAATTGGTTAAGTTGTCTTGAATAGTTTTGAAGTTATGAATTTTTTTGTGGGTCGATCTACGATGTAATTTTGACACATAAATTGGCATAAGTCAAAAACTATTGCAGGTAAGTTTAAGAAACCAAGGTGTGTTATATGTATTGACAATTTAGTGGCGAATCCAGAAATGTAATAAAAAATTGTGGTTTTCATTTAAAAAAACAGAACTTAGTTGTGTATCTTATTTGGGATATCCTGTATATGAATAGAAATATTTTTATAATGTGCCTCATTGTTGTATCTATCCTTTGAAAAAAAAAATCATGTCGATAACTTCGATAGAAAAAAAGTTGTTGAGCATGCACGCACCCCTAGGTCACCCTGTATATGAAACAAGATAGATAATTTTGTTTTTTAGGAAAATTTCTTGCTTATTTTTAGTAAATGTTCCGTAAGTCAAATAAAATCTAATAACATTTTTTAAGCACAAGAATAGATTCACGTCAAAAAATTAACACTCAAAATTTGATTTGAAAACTGAAAGTTGCTGATTTGCTCCTCATTCGAAAAAAATGATTAAATCTAATTTTAGCCCGTGTGCTGAAAAGAACACTCCAGACAGCGTCGAAGTGATCCCCGAAGACCAGGAAGAAAGCGTTGCTGAAGACACAATGTCGTACACATCGATTTCCGAAAGCACCTCTGCTACAGTCCTCGACCAAGCTTTCCTTCACCTGAAACCCCAGAAAATGCTAAAAGACACCTATAATACGTCTATGCCTGAAAGCGACATTCCACTCAGCCCCGAAAAAATCCACAGTTTCGCCGATGCAATAACAAGAGCACCTAGTAGAAGTGGCATGCATTTACCTTTAACTCAGGTCAACCAAGTATTAATAGACACTCAACCCCAGAGCAGTAGACAAGACTTATCCAATCTTTTGAAAAACACCAACATTATTGATATACCCCAAGAGGATAGCTTGGAAGGGCAAATCGAATCCTGCGATGAAGGGTCTCAGTCCGATCGCACTATAATTGCAAAAGACGGCGGAATGGACAGTAGTAGTGATACGAGTGTAACGGAAACTGGGATGAGTTCTGTGTATTTGAAAAATTTGATAGCTGATGCTATGACTGAGAAAAGCCCGGAAGCGGGCGATTCGACAACGAAAGCAAGCCATTTTATGGATTTGACTCAGAGTATGATCGATTCGAGTCAAGGCAACGTCGTTTTGGAGAATATTTCGATAAGTCAGTTGGATATGCCGCCTCGGGAAAATTCGCCAGTCAGTTCGGAAAGTCGATCCGATTTAGTCAAAATAGGCTCAGATCATACTTCTGGACACACCTCTGGAGATGAATTAGAAACAACCACTTCATCAGACATTGAAATAATTTCAAGTCCGAATGGAGATTCAAGTAGTACGCAAAGTAGGCAAAGCCCCGCTAAGCAAACTTGTACGAAAAATAAATCAGACGGCCCCAAAGTCGAACTTTTGTGTAAAATGACGATGAAGAAAGCCAAAGGTCACACTCGGGAGTTGTCGGAAACGTCCAGCGTAAGCGATGACTCTCACTCATCGGAAGTCGATAGACTTATCAAAAGGATTTCGGAAATGACCGAAATTTTGGAATCTAGAGAATCGAAATTGATTGATATCAATAGGCGAAATGCTGAATTGCAGGAATTGAACACCAATTTGAAACACCAACTCGATTCGATGCTCACTAAGCAACTTGAAACGGCAGATTTATCTCAAGTGACTGAAGAATACACTCAACGATTGTCCGCATTAGAAAAAAAATTCCAACAAGCAATTCGGGAAAAAGACACTCTGAGGAAACAACTGGAACAGAGCAAACAAGAAGCAGCCACTAGATTTAGCAAAAGCGACTTGGATTCGCTCATAAGTGAAAAAGATGAAATTATTAAAGAATTGCGTGAGGAGGGAGAAAAGTTATCAAAACAACAATTACAACATTCGAATATTATCAAAAAGTTGAGAGCTAAAGAAAAAGAAAACGAATCAACAATCAAACATTTGAAGTAAGTGTGAAAATTAGTGTTGCAATTGCAGTAGACACATTTTTCCAGAGAAACAATTGAGGATTTATCGTCCGAAGCTGACCGTCTCAAGCGCTCACTAACCGCAAAAGAAGAAGTTGAAAGGTCACAAATCGAAGCAGTTCACCAGTTAACAGCAAAAAACAAAAAACTTGAAAGTGAAGTTGATAAATTCCGAAGTCAGCTCGATGATCTCACACAGAAGTATGACACAGTGAAGAAATCTTTAGACGCTGCGAAAAAAGAGCTCGTTGATAAGAATAAAACTAGCTCTGAACTAATAGCACGAGAGCATAAATTGGAGAGTTTGGAGAATGAAAAAAAGCAAACGGAGTCGCAAAATGCAGCGGTACTTTTCGTTAACGTGTTAAATTTTTTTAAATTTTTACGTCATTTGATTTCAGATTCTTAATGAGTTGGAGGAACTACGTTCAAAAATGAGACAACTCGATTTTGATTACGCGAAAAAAGAACAATCGTTACGTAAAGAGAACAACGATCTTTTGAGGCGCTTGGAAGACGCTGAAGCAAGAAACGAAGAATTATCTCAATCCGTTCTTGAAGTTAGTAAGCCTTTAGTCAGACAATTGGAGTCATTACAAGCAACGCACACGATGAAAATTGCCAGTTTTGAAAAAATTGAACAGGAGATGACGCTTAAAATAAGTACACTTGTTTGAGATTCGAAAAAATTTCATTTTATTTATTTTTGTTGTTTCAGGTGAGTTGCAAAATAGATTACAAACTTCAGTCAATACTGAAAGGACAGTCAAAGATGAATCTGCGACTTTAAAGTCCAGACTTTCAAGTTTAGAGTCGGAAATAAGCTCACTTAAACATCAAAATGAAATGCTTAAAATGGAAGTGGAGCAAAATAGAACAAAAAAACAAATGTCTGAACAAGAATTGAAAAGGTAGCCTGAAATTTAGTTTAATGCCAAAATCACATTATTATTACATTTTTTGTAGAGAAATCGATGAACTCAAAGAAAAGTTAATATCAGAGAAACACAAAGTTGACGAGTTGACTCAAAACGCGTCCAGTTTGCAAGAGCAGTTAGCAATTGAGAAATCAGCTAGTGAATCAGAGCGCAAGAAAAGCAGTGAGGATGCTTCTAATTTGGGTCGAAACTCGCCGCGAACTGGAAGCAACTCACCAACATTGAGTTTGGGGAAAATTTCAGTGGCTGAATCACTTGGAAGTTCTTTCTGGTCCCAGGTGAGACGCGTTTATTTTATTGTTATGTGTTGTATTTTGTTTTGTTAAGGATGAGCCTTTTGATGTGGGTCAACCGCCAAGGTATACCAATATGTTCGAGATGCAAATGCTCCAAACTAACTTGAAACAGCGCGATGGTGAATTGCAACAGTTACAATGGGAGTTAAATCGAAGAGAACAGGAGAGGTCGCTATTGAATAAAGAAATTTCGTCCCTATTAACCCGAGTTGAGGAGCTTGAAACCAAAGTCCAAGATTATGATGTTTTAAAAGGACAACATAGTGAGTTACAGCAACAGTATGATACTCTTTGTCAGTTGTTTGGTGAGAAAGTGGAAGAAAACGAAGAACTGAAACTTGATTTGCAAGATGTAAAAGAGATGTACAAAAGTCAAATTGATGAGTTGTTGAAGCAGCAGAAGCAGAATTTATAAAGTAATTTATTCAGCTTGTACAGAGATGCTTTTATATGAATTTTTATTATTATTAGATAAGAAATATTAAAGTGTTGTTCTATTGCGGTTTTATCATATGGGAATTTTTACTTTATCAGTTAATTGATTCTGATATTTGGTGTTTTATCTTTATCATGGTAAATACATAACATACTTCACTTAAAATTTAACCTGTGATATAAATTATAGCCTCTGTTTTCAAATTATTGTACAAAATTCCATCTTGTAATAAATGTTGTGTTTACGTGATGTTGTTTTATCTTCAAATTTCCCGCTCATAGGTAACTGTCAAAAACATCGAACGCGTTAGTTGTAAAAGAAATTGACTAAAAAGTGTTAATTGTGTGTGTTTAACACTTTACGCAACTATTTTATATTCAGTAAGCTTAAATTGAACATTATTTTAATCATTATGTATTTATCAATTTGCATGTTTCTTTATAACTGCTTATTTGAAACGAATTCACCATAGCTCTAGTGGCGCAATTGGTTAGCGCACGGTACTTATAAGACAGTAGTCGTGAGCAATGCCGGGGTTGTGAGTTCGAGCCTCACCTAGAGCATTTTTTTTTCTTCTTATATTTTAAATAGGTGATGTAAGGAATAAATGTCAGAATAAGCAAATTAATAGGTTTGGAATTTAGTTTAATTATCACAATACTTTTATTTATATAAATAAGAATTTATTAAATAGTGTTAGAGGGCTGACTCATAGGATTTGCCTGAGGTGCCGTAGCCTCACGTGTGACAAGTGACACAGCGTTTTGCAAAACTTGTTTCCTAAGAAAATTTGTAGTTGCTGAACTTATGCTTTCATTTGAACCCACTTTACATTTAAAATACCCATACAAATTAGCCCCATTAAGTACCAACGATATCATTACGAGTAGCTAAAACAAAATTATGAAACTCCCAGCTTCTAGGAAAGATAAAAATTACCATCCACTTTAGTTTTAAACGAAACAAAGCAATTAAAAAAAATACCACCCACAGCAGTGGAGTTAAAATCAGAGCCATCCAAAATATTCTCGCCTCTTTCTCATTTATACGATTCTGCAATTGGCCCTGAAATGGGCCAAATGTTGATTCAGTAAACTAAGCAAATAAAAGCCAAATGGAAAAACTAAGCAAGCAACTAAAACCTTTCGTGATTCAAAGACCCAGTGTGACTTTCCGTCATCATCCACATAGTTCCACCATCGCAAGCCAACCATCAAACGTCCTGTTATGTTTTTGACTGTCCAAAAATCCATTGACAATAATAAAACTACTGTTACAAAGCTTGTGATAAAACTATCACTGAACCATTCACACAACATATATGTTACTATAGAGGCCCCCCGAAAGGCTAAGTGGAAAAACGTTACATAGGGGTGTCTGAAAAAGAGACTGTAGGAATAGTCTTTCAACTTGTAGTTTCAAACTTACTCCAGGGTCCCTTTAGCGCCGATACCGTCCAAATCATTACCAAACGCGACTGTGTCATCCTCTAATAAGGGCAACTAAAATTAATTTAGTTTAAACTAGGGCAATTTTAAAGCTTTGAACTGTTCTTACTGTAGCAGATGACATGTTTACAGCTAATAAATTAAAATGTGACAAATGGACAAGACAAGACAAATCCCCAAATGTCAAATCTGTGTATGAATACGATTCATCATACGACCGAAGTGTTACCGACCCGAAAAATTATTAAATTAAACTTTATTAATAAAAAGACATTCACTTATTTTATCATCAAGACATATCTTGCCATAACAAAAATTTATTATCAATTATCAAACTGAAATAGTATTAATTGTGAGCGAAAACTTATTTGAACGCAACCACATTGGCAGAATTTCTGGCGATAAAATAAAATTCCCCATATTTTCAAAAATTCAAATTCAAAAAATGACAATGCAGCAATGCAATATTTAATGTCAATCTTAATCTACAACTTGTTTATTTCATAATTTAATTAATCCAAATAACTTTCCTCCACAGGCTGGAAGCTGGCACGTTTTTTCCTCCATTTCTGTCTCTACGCCTCCACAATTCTCCAAGCAGTGTCTCCACCGGATTTCTCTTCCTTTACCGCAACTTACACTACATGGGGACCATTGAGTCCATTTATCCCATCGTCTTTTTCTATGTCCCGTCCCTGAACATGTCTTGTGGCTTGGTTCAAGTCGCGGCTTTGGTAAGTGTCTCACAAAGTGCCGAAAAGCCCTTTTAGTATTAATCATCGTATCTCTTTTTCGTTGGTTCATTGGAGAAGCAACTTTTTCAAGTAGTCTACTAAGCGTTTGTGTGATGTCATTAAAATTTAAGTGATTTTTGTTCGTGTTCTTAATGAATAAGGCTCTATTAAAAACATCATTTTTATTGCTTACAAATGGTCTTACACTATCTTTTGATTGCGGGAAGGCAATTCGTTGATACTCCTGGAGAGGATTCGCATAAATTTGAAAGTTATTTCTTCCGGCACTATGAAAACTTTGTACTAACAACGTTGCTGTTACAGTTATGTATAAAGAGAACAATACCATTACACAAGTACACTATTGTGACAAATTTAGATTGACATTTTGGTTTCAAATGTTTTATAAAATGAGTTACACTAACTATTTTTTAGATTATATCGTTGCACATTGGGTACAAAACGCTAGTTAAAATACAGGATGGCAATTTTTGGACAATTAGCTGCGCTTTTTGCTGAATATAGATATACAAAACCAGGCGGTTACAACAGCTAACGCGAAAATTGACATCTTAATGGCGTAAACAATCAAAATATTTAGTGCTACATGCTATTAAGACGAACATACCTATTAAATTTTGACTAGTTTTACTAAAAAGTAAGACCGCAGAACTTATCTTCAACTAATCTGAATGTATCAAAGTCCAGTCTTCTCCAGAAAAAGTTCAAATGTCAGTCTTGAAGTGAAGTTTTAGCCCTGAAAGAAGAAACTCAGGTATATTAAACAATTTGTTATAATTTTTCAATGTATTTATTGAATATCCATAAAATTCTTGAGAAAATATTAATCAATCACAAATAATCGGCGGTCCAGATATAAACAAACTTCAAACCGATTGTCACATTCTAATTTTAAATCATAGTAACAACACAATCAAATTCATATTGTCGACGCAGTTATAACAGCATTTCGTAGGCACTTAAAAGGAATGTGTAAATAAGGTATAAAATCCTTAGAAAATTTTGTTTTTTTTTTTCTGAAGATAGAAAAATTTTATAAATTGGTAAAAATGCATTATGCATTAATTTTTTTTTTCAATAAGCACCCTGTAATTTGATTTAAAAAATCAATGAGACGTACCTACTGTAATTAATGATGGCTACAAAAGTTTTCCGATTGGACGGTAAAAAACTTGTGTCAACCATCACTCAACATCAAGTCTTATATGAATCCACACATATAAAACTATGACCATTCAGTGAATGCGAAACCAACTCAACATATTACGATTACCCCCAAATTATTAAACTTTTGACGAATTAACAAAAAAGGAATGGTTGGCGGTAACCTCTCAGTCTTTTTCTTACCCACTCGTTCCACTACAAGTAATATTTTTCTTCTACACTCTCGATACAGCATATATACCTACTTACACAATGATTAAAAGAAGTGAAACGCAATTAAAAGTACTCAATTTAAATGAAATGAATCATAGAAACGATTCATGTTGCAACAATTTTATGAATTAGACATGAATCGTTCCAAGAGGCGAATACTCCAGTTGTTGCTAAATGGTTTTTAATGTTAATCTTATCCGAATGGTAATAAATTAGTAATGAAAATGTTAAAATAAACAAAAACGGCTGCAGATGTGTGATGTAGTGACGTTTTAATCGAAAAGCTTTCAAACAAGTACTTCGATGTATGGTAACATTAAAAACATTTACTCGGCAACAACATGAATCGTAAAGAAAAAAATTTTACGTAAATAAATATTACAAAAAAATCGATACATCCTCAATAAAACATAATAGATAAGACAATATTTTGATATGTAATTCAGAAACTGTGATATACCAAGAGCCCGTTTCTTATTACAACTTTCAAATAAAGTTCATCAGTGCTACCAAAAACAGTTGTGACTAATATACATAAAATTTAAAAACTATAACGTTGAACTGGGTACGTGATCGAGAAACTCTGATAACCAATCAAAAACAGCTCTCACCATAATAGACTTAACACACATGTCTTGGTTTTTTGTTTAATTTTTAAAATAAAAATAGGAAATGAGGCCCCCGCCCAAAACAATAGCGCCCGCTATAAATAAAGGTTTGTATAGAGACCTCTTCAGTTGTGTCCACTGCTCGTTGGCTTGCTGTCGCCGCTTCATGTCTCTCACTTGGGCCTCTAACTTTTCTTTTTGCTCCACACGTTTACGATGCCTCAACTCGGACGCCGACAAACTAAAATAACTCATTAACTCACTAACATCTCTCCAATTGAACAATGTTACCTCTCCGAAGGGCTCAAAGGCTCCGAAAACGGACTATCGGAACGCAAATCTTCCAACTCATCTTCACTAGAGCCCTCTTCTTCATCACCGGGAACTACAGGCAACGGACCGGTTGGAATGTACTACAATAAAAACGCCACTGAAAATAACTAGAGGAAAATTTGAAGTCGCCGACGTACGCGAGGGAATACCAACTTGTCGTCTGGATTTACAAAACTAATTTGTCTCATAGAACGTAACAGCATTTTTTAGTGTTTTACTTATAATTTAGCTTCATTTCTATCAGACATTTCAAACGATGTCAAACAGGACAGATGAACTGTCTCACAGTACTCAGTACAGCCCACTTTACCAAAAATAAAGTACCATTTTTGGGTCAAAATTTTATTGAAATAATTTGATTTCACAAATGTTAAGAGCCGACTTACCTCATCACTATCGCCACTTTCGTATATAAACTCGTTCAAGGAGGTACTTTTGGGGATGTTTGGAAGAGGTCTGTCTAAAGGAGTACCGTTTTGTTTCTTCAGACTGTCTAATCGAGGTGGTGGAAGAGGCGGAGGTCCGTCATCATCCGAATCAGATGCTACCCCGTCTTCCGGTTCATTATCCATGATTTTATGATTTTCCTAATAATTAAAACATTTTGCCTTTCAAGTTACATCATTGGAATTTAGTTAAAATTTTTGGGAAGGATAGTTTAAGGATGAGGTTTCTAAAAAATTGGAAAAATTGGAAAGGATTTTTCTTAATACCACCTACCGTTGGACTCGAATCTTGATTGAGTAGTTGTTTTGCACCTTCAATGATTGCTTGATATGAAAACCTTAGTTGCTCGGGCGTCTGAATCAGTCCCATGCGATAACTTCGCATTTCACACAAAATGTCTTTTACATCTACGGAATTTAGACCAAATTTTTCCATCTGAAACATAATTTTTGGCCCATTATTTACGCCAGAGTTCAATTGGAAATGAAAATGAAGACAAAGCAAAACATGTAAAAGGTTTTAATGTTGTTAATTTCGTTACCACCAATTAAAAATTATCAATTTGTAGTAAATTACTACTAAAAACATTAAAATCAGAGCTATAAACCATGAAATAATGACTTGTATTAATTGGTTCCAAAGCAGCTGTGAACTATTTGCTGCAACAAGGAAGACAATTTTATTACTACATCAATAAATTTATTTTACAAAATTTAAATAATTAATTATACATTTTGAATTCATAGCCAATGGACCTTGTTTTACCATCAAACAATTCTTTGAAATTGTATTATCTCTGAACATACAAATATAATTGTTAATATTCGATTAATACACTATTACGAAGAACGGTGGTCTATTTATAATTATGTAGATAATCTCGTTAATAATTTGTATTTGGGAAAATATTTATCTGTTCTGGGAACATATTCTGATAAGTTGAGAAAATACAGTTAAAAATACCTACAAGCACTAAACAGGAATCAACGAGACAAAAAGTGCCAGATCTCCCAATTCCAGCCGAACAATGCACCACAGCGGGTCCAACGGTGGGTTCCAGAACCCCGGCGTCTCTTACTTTCCTCAGGAACTCCAAGAACGCAGTTGGCGAACTTGGGACCCCAAAATCGGGCCATGTTGTGTAATGAAATTGTAATATATCTCGGGATTCCTTCGTATTAATATCTGTCAATCTCAATACTCTTTGTAAATAATATGAGTGGTCTTGATGCTCTACATATTCCAGAGTTAGTCCCACATCTTCCATTGTCATGATATAATCAGGACCGACTTTGGAAGGCCAGTACTGGTAACATTTCTCTTGTTTTTTCTCAACGAGTTTGTTGAGCATTAGGACTGCCTTGCTGTGCTGCTCCCAGACCATCAGCCAAAAGTGGCTAACGGTGTTGCACAGGGGGCCCTGCGTGAGAATGTACTGTCTGTTGGCTTTTTCCACTTTTATGAGATTTGCGTTGATGTAGTCGGTGGTGCCGCGTTTGAGGACAATTCGGCTGTGGTCGTAGGGACTGACGTCTCTATACCTATTCAAGTTTTTATTTTGTGGTTTCAAGGCTTCCGTGTATGGACTGCTGTTTTTGATGCACTCTGAGCGTATTTTCTGGAAACAAACGTCGGGTTATCGTAACAATAGAAGAGTGCAAAGACATGATTCTGGTTTTAATTGCTTAATTGTTGGTAATTTAACTGTGAAATCTTATGAGTCAGAACCGGGAAATTCTTGAGCAACCAATGCTAAGACTTGATTATACACTACACAGCGATGATTTATTATTCAAATAGGACTGTTTAATCGTTGGAAAAATAAAAGAGAGCATGAAATACCTGAAAAATCGCCGACCACTCATTTTTTGAGTTTAACTTCGAAAATTCCGACTCGATATTATTGCCCGATGACATTTTACAAATTTACGTTCCTCCGATTGAATTACTGCAAAACAACACTTTAAATAACCGGCATTTATAATTTTAATTTTGGAAAAAAACGAGACAAACTAACTGCACCAACTATTGTAAACGTTCGTTCACCATTTTTAGAAAGAGATAGAGACAGCAAATTTACTGAAATAAACAAGGATAGGCAAATTTCAACTTTCTCGGAAAACAGTTGTCAACATTTGATATTTAAGTCGGTAAAGCAGGATGTTTTAAAAATTATAGCCTGTATTGTTGGTTGCCTGCAAAATACAAATTATTTTAGAAATAAATAAAAACTGGTGTTAGCATTTGCTTTCTTTTAAAATATGTTTTTTATTAATATTAATACTTTTATTCTTCGACACTGTCAAACCCGTTACACTCGTGGTTTAAAAATCCACTCGGTAAAATAATGCGTCCGATTTAAACTCAAACTCGTAGAATAAATAACTATTATTTTATTTCTAGAATAAATTATCAGAAATTTAAAATTAACATTAACATATAAGAGATTTAATGCGGTTTTTGTGTTTTATTTTTATCCCTGATCAAAATAAACAATTTTTAAATAAAAATAAAAAAATTGACTTTTAAGGTTGCTTACAGTTTTTTGTAAAAAAACTAGTGTTATTTAGGCATCAAATTTTTAAACACAAAATTACTGATCTGAAAACTTTTTATTGCTATCTTTGCCACAAGTCTTTCAACAGAGGTTTACAGCAAGAACAAAAAGAAACTTTATTCTAAGTAAAATTTTTCAAAAATTGTCTTCAAAATTTAAAAAATTGAAACTTCAACTTGTTTTCAATTGTCATTAGTTTTTGGATTAAAACTGGATCTCTCAAGACTATCATACTTTAAAACTTCTTTCAAGTCGACAGCAAGGTTTCTTGAAACAACTTGGCTCTTCTTCTTCTATATGTATATTTATTTTATTTAACTCCTCGGAAATTCTTCGGATTCTTCCTGATGATCATCAGCATTACCCAAATCTTCATCACCTTGCAACATCTGACAATTTACTAGGTTGGCTCAGATTCTCTTCCTATTCGCAGGCATTTTTTAATTTATTTTTTCTGACAAATTAGTGTTTTATTCAGTGACATGTGCCAAACACACAAAAAAATTTTTTGACATTAGCAACAGAGCTTTTACCATATTTTTCTGTTTTTTACCCTTGCAAGAATGTAACAAATAAGCCAAAAATGTCCCACCAAAACTTCCTCATGCTTTTATCTCATACTGCTTTAGCTGGGACTGGTATTTACTGTCTACTTCAAATCAAGAACGAAAATTTGTTCTGTCCTCATATCACTTTCGGCGTAATTACAATAAACAACATCATAGGAATGTGTTGGTGTTTAAGTTCATACGAGAGCCGACTCCAAGAAATGTTCAGATTTACTTCCTACTGCCAGTCCCTCTTCGCACTACCTTGTATTACTACTTCAGTGTGGTTAGCTAATGGATACCCAAAAGAATGGAGCTGGGCTTGGACAATAGTACCAATTTTTCCACTACTGTGTTATCTTACTAATTCCGAAATGGATGTGCCACTTATTGACTTACTTATATTATTTAATTTAGTCGGTTTGGGAGTAGTCTCTGTTGTGAAAAATCTTAATTATGGAGTAGCAGCCACTATAGCTTATGCCATGTCGCATTGCTACATAACTCACATCACGCTTTATAATTATGGATTGTGCTTCTTTTCGTACTTTGCGTTGAGATGCATGGGATTTGGGCATGATATTTTGTAAAATAAATGAAATTTTTGATAAGATTTTTTGTTTATATGAAAACAGGTCCTTTAACAGCTACCTACATAATATTCCAAAAATTTTATTGACTTTCAATAAAAAATTATTTATTATCTTAATCTGGTAGAATAATAAAAGTAAAATTATAACGGTACAAAATAGAAAACAACTAGTATATACAAATTATATTTACAATAAATAAATAAATATATAAATAATTTTCTCAATCTACTAAATTAATGTCTATCACACTATTGGTTAAGATGAAAATATTAAGCTAAAATATGCTACAATAATATTATACATAAAAATATCAGATCATCAGTTTTGTCTTCACTTCTTCGTATGTTTAATTCCTTTTGTCATACTGACCGGAGTTTCAAGAATAAAAAATTTAAACTTGAAGAACATCCAAACATCAGTCTAATTTCTTGGGAAAGTCGTTGGGGCATATTTCACCGTTTCTGGACAATGGAATTAACTTTTCTTCACGACTCAAACTGAATAAACTCGCGAATTCAGCCTTCTTCTCTGCATATGCGAGGAAATTATCTAAAATTAAACAGGCGTTTTTATTAGCACACTCTATTAGTGTTGGTATTCTTACCAAATGTAATGTACCCAAGTTTATTTTTGTCTACTTGTTCGAATATTTCAAAAGCGTACTCTTTGTTGATAGCTAATGTGTGAAAAAGAGCTCTGCTGAAGTCTTCAGCGGAAAGGTGGCCACAGCCACTACTGTCATATATCTGCAAAAAATAATCAAAATTATTACAACAGCTATTTCATGTAACTACTTTCACAAATAATTTTACCTTACAAGCTAGTTTAACAGCATCAAGAGTTGTTCGGCTATTTGACAATGCCAACACTCCCAGAAGGTAATCCCGGAAATCGATAGCACCGCTGCAATTCTACAAAAGGTGCAAATTGAAATGTTAGCTTGTGTTTTGTGTTATTTTACCTTATCGTAGAGTTTAAATAAATGCTGAGTACAATGATCGTTTGGCGACAAATTCAATAATTTACAGAATTCAGTGAAAGTCACTCTGTTGCAATTTTGACACAATATGTTTGAGTTGAGTAAATTTTCTTCCACGTTGGATTGGTGCAAACTAAAAATATTAGTTTTATTTGAGAAAAAGTGGGCAGAAATATTGTTACTTTAATCTGTGTCTCATTTTCTGTACTTCAACCAACGACGTGGAATTTGGTAGATTCATTTCTTTAGCTCTTGCCATCAATTTACAATCTCCATAGGTATAATCCGAAACTGGGACCCCCAAAGCCCTTAAAAATAAATTTATGTTCTAGTTTTGTACAACTTGTTGAACTTACTTGGCCATAACAGCTCGAACATTATTTGCAAACAACTTCGGGTCTTTCTTCTCCTCTTCACTAGGCCGATATACCGGCAAAAATTCAATTTCGCAGTAACTGTAAGGTTGGGTTAAGGTTAACCAAAGTAGTTTCAACCTGAAAACCTTCAGTTAACTCTAATTTCCAAGGGATTTGAGACATACGCGCTGGGTCCTTCCCAAGTCCATGTCACAGTATCGAGTTTATTTGGATATCGGATGCAAACAGGTTGGATAGGAACGCCTGGATAAAACGCACCTGGCTTGAATGTAATCAAACACGATCTATTTGTACACGTTCCTTCTGGGAAAATTAAAATTTGTGGCCAATCCAGGTCAGAGGTTGCCCTACTGATGATCTCTTTGATCGTGTTTTGACGCGAGTCTGGATCGTCCCTCCACACATAAACAGGTTGTGTGAAGTTAATCAACTCTGTAAAAAAAACAATGCAAAATCTAAACCGCTTAGACGAGAGACAGCGACCCCGAAAAACTAATTTGCTTTCTATGTGCAATTTTTGAAAATAAAAAAAAACCAAAAATTACATACTTCCGATGTACGGATTTGTACCGCTCTCTCGTCTAACGATGATGGAGGGAAAGCCAGTGGCGTAGATAATTCCTCCATCCAGAAACGTGGAATGGGGGGCTATCACTAGTATTGGGGCTTCGCTGCGACTGGCTTGTTTGCCTTTTATCACAACATTCATGCCGCCAGCTCGATACGTACTCTTGCCCAAAAAGCACAAAATTGGTGTCAATTTCCTGAATTAAAAAAGCAACCAAAAAATAACAAACGTACACACAATTAACACAAAGCCTGGTCCCATAGAAAGCAAAGTTAGTGTATGGTAAAGGATTTTAGTATGTGAAAATGTTAGTTACGTACTCCCGAAAAAAGGTATAGATGCTGTTTCTCCCTTAGCCACAATCGAAGGTCCCCCCATATACACCATAGCAATACTATCCATGAAAGAAGAATGAGGTGCTAAAGCCACTACAGGTGCTGCTGAACGATTCGATTGTTTTCCTATCACACGGAGTCGAAATCCTCCGGCGACGAATAAGCACCGGATTAATTGAGCCGATATCTGACGTACTGTACTGTCCAGAAGGATTAAAATAATTAATAAGAGCAGTTGAAGGCAACCCAGCTCGTCTTTTCCATTGAAATTTTCGGAATTTTCAATTGCATTCAGACGAAGAAAGTAGCGAAAAAGTCATAAATTCGCCAGCTTTCAAACGTAGTGATTGTTGGATGTGTTCCAATTAATTTATTATGTAAATAAATTCTGCGATTTGTCGAGGTGCACGTGTGTGGATTTAAAAATAGAAGCTTTCTACAAATGCAATTAAAGTATTATTTTCATTCAACCATTTTCCTTAGTCCTCAATATTATTTTATCCTCATTCATATTAAATCATTTATGATAAATAATTCTTTCTCGTAAAGCTTTACAAAAAGGGAAGGGTAATAAAATTAATTCGCAAAAAAACTTTTGAGTTTTCAAATCAACAATTAAGTATGGCAAAAGCTAATTGTTTAAAAAAAAAATTGTTGGTAGAACAATTTATGATAAGGAAAAAGTTTCGATTTTTATTAGGAATAGAGACACTTAAGTTTTTTTCTTCCAATTATTTCTGTATCTATAAGACATATTAATCATCAATAATATCATTAAATCGATTTAAAAAGTTTTGTCAATGCAGTATTTTTAAATCACATAAAAATCAAAATAAAAATAACAATTAAACGTTATAAAAATTCAAGAAGAATCAAGTTGTCAAAAACCTTTAACTCAAGAAGAAAAGTTTTACAGAAATTTGAAATAAACAATAGACGTACATCACATGAGATTGGTTGTAAATGCAAATAATGGGTTGAAATAGATTAGAAACACGCCCTGACCCTTTCCTTCTAAAGTGGATTGGGTTGAATACAATTTAATGAAATAAGAATTAGAGACTAAAAGTAAAATTTTAAGCAATTGAGTTTTTTTATGAAGCTTTTAAAACAATAAAAGCAATTTTATGTGACATTTTTACGAGTTTTGAATTACATAAACTATTTTTTAAATTTTCAATTTTTAAGTAAGTATTATGAATAGATGATCATGAAAAGAAGAGCGGGTTTTAACGATGAGTATGCAAATTGTTAGTTAGAATTACGGTTARAACACAGTTATCACTCTAATAATAATAATCATTAATAAATGTGTTAAATGCTCTACTTTAATAATAGAAATTAATTAATCTATATGAAGTACTTTAATTGGAAAATTAGACATCAAATTTACTGATTTTCAAAAAATCATTCATCCGTTGTGTGAATAAAATATCATCAACCTCACCAAACTGTTAGTTGACAATTTAACAATGCATTAGATTTCTCCAATTAAACTAATAGTTACATACAATAAAGTGAAAACTGCGATACACTGATGATAATGAAATAATCAGTTTTGCCGCAATAAGTAATTAGCACATCTACAGCGTTAGTATAAAAAGGGCTTTTCAATTTACCTTCTCCATCCTGACAAAGGTTTAGCTCGGAGGTCCTCTTCTGTCAGTCCCCAAAGTCCTATACAGGCTAACAACCACCCGGATATTAGCAAGAAACAGATTATCGAAACTCTTATCGGTAATAAAACTACTGTTAACACTGCGGTCTGAAAAAAAAGGATGTTACATATACCTTTTACAATTTCGTTTACAATAACGTAAGTGTTATGTGTCGCTAAAACAAATGAAGAAAACGAAAGGGGAGAAATTAACCAGACTAGAAATCATGACATAATTATGGACACATTTTTATGAGGACAGTTAAGAGAGATTAATGCAACTATACAGGTCAAGATTTGTGTTAAAAGAAAGTTTCGTAACGGAACTTGACTACAATATAAAGTCTACAATCGAAACTCAAAACGGTACCTGATTCTCATTTAAAATGAAAGCTGTTTGTATTAGATTGCTTCAGAATTTTGATGGCAAATTTCTACGAATTATAATATAAATGTGGAACTATTGCAACTAAATTTAACGATAAATAAATGAAACAAGACTATTTTAATAACAAAATATTAAATTTATTCACAAATTATTAAATAAATTGTACAATCCCACTTGCATTCTTAAATTAGGAAATAATTTGAAAAGAATTTTCCATTTTTTAAGATTCTTTCTGGAATCATTATTATACGAATAAGTACTGGTTTTTTTTCGAAACGTTTTTGCAAAATTGTGAAATTGTTCAAAAGTGTACATGTCACTATGTTTATTTAAGGCATTCTTCCTATAATTTACTAGATTTTTTTATTTTGTTATTTCTAAACGTGAGAAAATTTCTCCCAAGGGTCCGCGGACTACAAGTTTTAAGAATTACTGACTTACATTTTTTTGAAAATTGTTTGCAACGTTTTGTTCTTGCTGTAGAATTTTGAAAGTAAAAAATAGAAACTTTTCTCTAATTTTTCTCTCTCTACAGTTAGTACAAATTGTTAGGATACTTATGAATATGTACTTAACCGATTCTTTTCTTTAAGTAAAGAAAGTAAATACAATTTTTGTAAACATCATTAGGAAGGAAACACTTAAGTCGGAAGAAAGTATTTTTATCTCATAATAATTTCTTATAAATTAATTTGAATAACTACTATTTAGAACCGTCACAACAAATTTATAATAACTATTATTATAATAATAATTATAATAAGATTAATTACATAATAATTATAATTATATTAAATTTATTATAAGTACATTATCTGTATAAACTTCTATTTTTCAATTTCGAAGTAGAAAAAAATACATCTGATATTTGATTGATATACAGGCTGTTTCACATAACTTTACAAGGCTTGCGCCTAATGTACGCACCCAAATATACAAAAGTCACAAAATACTAGATACAAAAAATACACTTCTAACAATTTAATTTTTGGAAACCCATGACAGTAGTTGTCAAACTAATCATTGTTTCATTAATAGTCATAAACTCTAGTTTTTAAGAAACAATTATCATTTGTCTATCAAGAAACGGCAAGAATATGATTCTAGCTAACTAAAAACGTTTTTTTAACGTAATTTTTTTAAAGGGTGAACAAACTAGAGAAGATAATTCAATTTTTCAAAATGTGTAATCGAGTTCGTATCGGAATATGTATTACTGATTGCATCTTACAGGCGCAGGCCTCGTAAAATTATGTGAAACACCCTGTATATTTTAATATTTGCAGAAAGAGAAAGGGTCTAACCGGTGGAAAATATAAATAACTTACATACATCTACTGATTCATGTGTGACACAGTTTTCCATACTCATACAAAATACCTTGAATAAATATTTACACAAAATAGCACATTACACCCACTTAGTATTATAAAACCATAAACCTAAATATCAACAAAAATAATGAATGAAATAAAATAAAAAATTATACAAGGTAATTCATAAGCGTGCATTAGTTTTTGAATAGAGAAAATAATAATATTTGTGCAAATACATTGTAGATGTCATAAGTTATAGTATAATGTTGATAAATTATACAATTAAGTCTGTTTAAAGAATAAATGAAAGGCATTYCATTACATTACAAAAACTATGAATGCATTCTTTAAGATTAAGTATAAAAACACGCCTTTGGGATAATAGACTAGACTTTTAAGACGCAGTTTTAAATGCAGCTACTGGGATAAATTTAAATATCACCATTAGGACACCAGACATCCTAAATATCTATTGATTGATTTTTTTTTAATAAACAGACTTTAATTTTTTTGGAATCATATGGAAAAAGTTTTGTTTGTAAAACAATTCAGGTCATTAAATTAAAAAAAACTTTTTCTTTTTAAAGTCTATTCTGGGGTCAAAAAAGTGTAGTCCGGTATGGAATCGATAGACTAATTATTTATTTATTTATAAGCCTTGCACGAATTCCATAAACATGATACAATTTCACTCAATAACAATAAATTTTTTATTGTTTTATACATCCATATAAGATTACCAGAAAGTGAAAGCTTTGGTGAAATGTATCGTGTACCTACCTATGATGTGAAAATCTATTCAAATAGAAGAACACGTGCACACGTTTGAATTCTTATTCAACTAAGACAAACTAAAATGTTTGCTTTTCATAATACCTGGATAACAGTAAAACAGCTTATGGTTTTACAAATTCACTTCCGTAATATAAAACTTAGTAAAATTGAAACTGTCCTATTAATAAAAAAATTTAACTAACAACTCATTAAAAATAAAAGCTGGGTGGTAAGTGTATTTTTGCCTATCTGTAGCAAAACTGCTTCAAAAACTTGCCAGAAAACAATTTTGTTAATTTATATTAAAAATAAATATTAATTAAGCATAACTAATCAATTGACCAAGTCCACATTTCTACCTGCATGTTAGGTAATAGGATTTTATTACTTCGAGTAAGAAATATTTCATTTTTGCTTACATATGCAACATAATAGAGTTGCGTAAAGATGAGAAATGGGACAACAAATCACACAAAATAAATCTCCCTGCGATTGTGGGTAAATAAAAGTTGACTCTTTTATTGCTTCACTTAACTAATTAATTAAAAGTAGGATACCTTTCTCACTTTTACAATAAACTTTTGGTGAATAATTAAGTAAAACTAGAAATTCGACCAAGATTTTTTTTACTAGTTTTAAAACTGAAAGTTTTAAATCATTTGGTCATTGGACTTATAAAAGAGTCCTTTTGTCAACTATTCATCACACATCTCCCCCTTTTTTAAGCCATCTTGAGAATAATAACCCCTCTGAGAAGACTTCCTCCAGTGAATTTCACTTCATTGGTTTAAAAGCAAGTTCACTAACAACGAACCTCTCTTGCGTTTCGACGGAAGAAAGCAGTAATGACATACTAAACTGACATACATTTTATATTGTATCTCTTGTACAGACTTTATTCTTAGGTTTTGGTAACTGCCAATAAAAAAGTGAAAATTGTATGGAAAATCCTGAAAATTTTTAATGTTTTTTTTTTGTTTTTGTAAACTTTCAACATGTTTGACCCATTTCACTTTCGACTTGAAGATTGACCTTGGGTTAGATTTTTTTTTATCTTTTGTGCAGACTTTGTTATCCTTTTTTTTGATAACGAAAGTAAAGATTGCAGAAATGCATATATATTTTTAATTTGTATAAACTTTTACCAAATGTGTTTGACCCACTTCACTTTCGACTTGAAGATTATTCCTGATTGACCCTCGGTCACAAAAATTTCGTGGAGAAATCCCAGAAACTGTATTTTAATGGCTAAATTGTCATAATAAATTTCTCGAAATTAGTTTATTAACAGGTTGTTCCTAAGATTGTTTTATAACTGTACGATTTAACACTTTCACCATATTCATGTATTTTTTTCAAAGGTGAAATATTGTGATAACCAAATATCTAAACGATCTTGTGATATACATTACAGTTTTTTTTAACGATATGTGAAAGTAGAATTCATTGAAACGATTTAAAAATATGGGATAATGCCAATTGCTTATGTGAAGGTTTTGCATTATTATCTTGCTTAAACTAGAAAAATCATTTTCGCAATAACATGCTTCTGTATTTAAATATTTCCACAAGACAAACGTTTTAAAAGAAAAATGAAAAAACATTCCTACTTTAGGTTTTTGGCCTTTACTGTTTATTTTAGATTTTATTAGTGTTCAACGACATGGAAATATTCCCTCATTTATGAAATAAATATTACAAATGTCAACACTGTTTATTTACATTTGGGAGTTATCAACAAAGGGGGCATTTAATAAGGGGAATTTTCTAAATTAATTTAATACATGTTAAAACCAGTAAACATCTTTGTTACAATATTTTCGTTAAAAGAATAAATAGACGTTAAACCATTAATTTACTTAACGCGATAGACCCCTTCCATCCTTAATTTTTTTGTTTGAATAATAATACTTTGTGTTTATAAAACAAACTTAACAAATTCTAGATACATCAAAATTTCATTACGAAAATAGCTAAGAAAGGTGAATCTGAACCAGGTTTATTTCAATTATTTAAATGACCATCGAGGGTTGCATCGAGTCATTTTGTTAGACATGTGCACGATTGCAATTTTAATTTAATTTTAAGCTTACGCAATAAACAATAAAATGCAAAAATGCTGATTTATCATTAAATTCTGAATTGTTGTACTTTTACGTCTTCATGTGCACTCTAACAATAAAAGAATGAAAAACACATGTGTCAGCGAAAATTTATAACACAATATTATCTAAAAAAAAAAAACTTATGTTTGGTGGTTCTTGATAAAATGAGGATCTGTTGTATATCAAAGAAGACTCACTTTAATTTTTTCGTATGTTGTGTCCAACTCCAAGCGGTGAACGAATGGGTTTAAAAGTTCTTCAGTTAAACTATCATGAGATATTCCAGCTGCTAATTTGCCGTTCATTTTCACAGAGTTTTCCTTATTTTACCTTAAATTCTATTATTTCACACGCTTTAAACTAAACCGCGCGCGATACAGATAACAAATGACATCCCTTCCATGTTGAAACAGAACCAATCGAATGTGAAACTGGTGATCCGAATGAAACACGAACTAACACGAAGATGTGAATCAATAATTTCACTTTTGCGTAGCAGACTGTAGTCTAGAGACATCTATTTTTTCACAAATCAAGAATTCCAATCTTGCTAAAAAATAGTTTATTACAAAAACTGAAGCTACTTTTTGACAAGAGAATAGTTTCGGTTTGTTTTAAAATACTTGTCGAAAAGAGCATTTCAAAATTGCTTATTAAAATTATGTTTTTTAATACATACAATCAATATAAAAGTATGTAATTTGAATTTGGCGCTTACGGCTTAAGTAAAATCACCGCAACCGCGATCGTGGTTTTGAGGTTCGCAACTTTAAATTATCGGTGTGAGAATAATACCACACAAAAATTACTTCGTCTTTTAAGAGGACCGAAAATATGTTTGTTTTTTTGTAATGGATAATACAGAAATTCGAGTACAAAAATATTTAGTTAATTTTTGTAAAGCTTTGCCTCCACATGTGGATTCTTGGAGGTCGGTATTACAGGATTCTGGCAAGCCGCTCCAAAGCTTGACAAATTTGTGTGAACAACAGCGCTCAATTCAAAAGTAAGCCCCATTTTGAATTATATTAATGTAATAAGCATTTTTTAGAGTTACATTATCCAATTTTGAGGATTTTAGAGAGGCACAAAATGTGATACTACATCGAATAACGATTGGAATTGAGGAGGAATTACTTTGCATTAAAAAATTAGTGTAAGTATTTTTTACTATTATAGTATTATAACAGAATGAATGTTTTCTTGTTCTAGGGAAAAATTAAATGAATGTAACATTGATTTAAAAAACAAATTATTAGTATTTGAGAGATCTACATTGAATTTAAATTGGGAGGAAAATAGTGAGTTGATAAGAGGAAATGGATCTCAACCACCTTTAACAAAGTTATTACATTACAGTTTACAGCTCTTGAATTATTTTACTACGAAAGCAAAAGACATTAGTGATAAATTCAAGTCGCTAAATCTAGAAAATGAAAAATCGGTTGAACAATTAAAAAATTCCTTTGATGTTGATATTGATCAAAAGATAGTTAGGAACTTATTGGCTCTAACACAATATGTTGACAATGAAAAAGAAATTATTTGATGAAGTTTTTTTCAATGTTAAATAAACATTATTTTGTACTGATTGCACTTATACAATGTATTTCAAATGTATAAAAAATTAAGAACACCTAGTTTTTAATATCAGAAATAAATAAAAAAAAAAGAAATGAAAAGAAATGTAAGTTGGAAATTAAAAAAAATCAATCACTCGAAGATTTATTATTCTTTTTCTAGATAAAATATTTGTGTATTGTTGGTTGTATAGGTAAAACATTACAATTGAATCTATGGCCAGGTGGAAAGAAAGTTTTTTTTATATTTTGAAAATGTTTTTAACACATCACAAAATTAAATGAATATTTGGTAAATATAAATAAAATTATATAAGCGTCATTCAAAAAAAAGAAATCAAATAATTTTATTTCAGTAGGGATCAGTATAATAGTATAAGGTATAATAAACAATAAAATATGTTTTTTTATTACCAAATTTGGAAACATACGCATTTTTATATGTAAAAGAAAAAATCGCAATCCAGATCCAGATACTCCACAACGTTCATCTACAATTTAAAGTAGATTACTGAAAGAGTGTATACTTTGCGCTTTCCGTTTTCCTTCTTTCTTTATGTTCAGATTTACGCCGCATAGCTGAGGTAGTCTTTCACCTTATAATGAATGAAAATATGCTTCAAAAGAATAAGAAAAAAAGAGTGAATATTCTCGATTGCGTTCGTGCAAACGTCGCGGCGCCGGCGCTAGTATTGATTTGGTTTACAGCATGAGTTTGTGTGTGTGACGCTTACCGACTGGAGGTTGATGCCGTCCTCACCATCCACAGGTACGTAATATAATAAGAATATCTAAATAAAGCAAATACAACTCATTAATTAGAAAAAAACAAGTAGGTATAGCTACAATGTCTACAGAAATGTAATTGAAAAAAAGATATATTTAAACCACGACTTTAAAAAAAATAATTATATAATGTAAACTATCTGTTTTCTTATGCTACTTCAATATACCAAAACAATGCTTTTTAGTGTCGCAATAATTCAAATCCCTTGTCGGCCAAAAAACTACTACATAATTATAGAAATAATGATTTGTCTTATTAATACAAAAGCGTATGTTTTTTAATAATGCGTGTCAAATTTTTCTTTAATTTTCTTTAAAATGTAGCACGGCGACTAAAATCAATTTAATTTTAACAAAATTTCCGAGATGAGGAAACTTCTTTAATATCTTAAATTTATAACCTTCAACGTCCGTTTTGTTTTAATTAAAATGCAGTTAGTAATGATCTCATATCAGATCAATTTGGGTAATTATTAGTAAAAAATTGTTTAAAACATTTTTAATTAAATAGACATGTTCCGATCATCCATCATTCTGCACTTTATGGTTGGTGGCATTTATTAGCCCCGCTCTGAAAATTTTAAAACAAGGGCTTTAAATTAGCTAGTTTGGGTTCAGCATAGATTATTTTCCAATATTTATTAAACTAGTCTTTATGCAGCTGGAACAAAGCGATTTTTTGTTTAGAAGAAAAAAATTGCAAAATTTATATTCTACACTTTACTATCGGACCAAATAAATTTAGTTGCTTTGTAATTAATTGTTATTTAATTATAAAAGAAGTATGTGTTTTGCTTGCACTGCTTGAATATTCTCCTCACGTTTTGTATATATCCTTAGGGATGTGCAATCAATTTGCCGTTTTCCCAAGCCTTCCAAATTTCTTTTAAGGAAAGACATTTCTTTTTCATTTCTTTTTATAATTACAGAGGCTTAAAGGAATTGCAATCTCACTACGTAGATGGCTTTACTCGACATACAAATATATGATGTTTTAAGGAAGCAAAAGATGATTCAATTTAGATATAACTTATATTATGCGAGTAGAACAAAATTATTTAATAATAGGTACATTATTTTTTAACAGCATTTCACGAAGATGAGTTTTACAAAACAAGCGGAACGCGAGTTTTAATAATCGCCTGAATTATAATCATTTCTTTGAAAATAGAAAACTATAGTTTGTCAATTAAGAAAGTTGTTAATGAAATTTTTGTTCCTTCTAACACGAATCTTTAGGCCTTCGGCTCCTGAATTCTCGAGAAAAAATTACTTTCTTCACTTGTTACACAAATAAGTAGGTATTTTAGCGCTGTCAACACAAACTCGAAAAAAAAATTAAAAACAGTAGTGAAAGATTTTTTACTTCTGGGACACCACCATTAAACATTAAAAAAACACAACACAAAACAGACGCGTTAGTTTGCGACTTCTGAAATATTATACAGGGTCGCTAAAAAGTATGGATACAGCTAAATATTTTCAGAGCAGTTTAGCAGAGCACTTTCAAATTTGGAAAACTTACTTATTTTTTTATCAAAGTTCAGACGACGATAGATAAAGACAACATTTACAACGCCTAAAAAAATACATTTTTTAAAATTTAATTAGTTCGATAATTTTCGAATAAAATAAGGTATGTATGTGTTACATCACAGAACTCAGAAAAAAATCTGTTAAATTTGACCCTCCTTGCTATTTAAAAAAAATCAAGTTAGCTATGTATTCCTAGAACAAATGGAGATAGAATTTTGATAAACATCTGAGGCGATGGAATTTAGATACTTTTAAGCATTTACCACATTTCAAAAAGTTTTGATGAATAGTTTTTATAATATTTAACTGTATCCATACTTTTTGGCAACTCTGTATTTGAAAATAAATGCGAGTTCTGACGCACCCTGTAAAATTTTTTTTTTGTACTTTTTTAAAATTTCATAAATCATAGTTGCTATTTCAGTTACTGACAACATTTGGTGAACTGGACCAATGCAACAGATTATTTCTTAAATACAACAAGACATTTTTATTATTTAGATCACTTATCGTTTATGCAGTTGTAATGTTCTTCAAATGTAGCTATTTTCATAAAATTTTCAATTTAGAAGTTTATTCTTTTAATAAATAAATTAAACCAAAGTCTTGTATTTTTACGCGTTGTTGTGCGAAATAAAATTTTATATTAGTAATGAAAGTGCTCATAAACTGTTGTAAAACTGAAACCGATATGCTTTCAACTAGTTCCAATCCTAGTCGACACTGAACGGTTTAAATGGTCCATTTCAAAGTTTATTATTAAATCGATATATCGACACGTAATTGCTCGTTTATGTTGTTCAGCCAACAAAAGAAGATCATCGGAAGGGAAAACAGGAACTAATGTATCATCAAAATATTCGCATCAGCAGTTTCTAAACCCAATATTGTTTTAAAATTCCATCAATCTGCCGTCAATAAAATGACTTTTTAATAGATTTTAGTTCAGTTTTAGTTAATCTAGAATCCCTTTTGCAGCTCAAGATGCCAAACCATAAAGACAATAATATTTAGGATTAAGTAAAGCACTCGAACCGAAATGGCAAACACGGCCCATTTAGTACGTAGACAAAGCTCCCGCGACTTAAACCCCCAACGCTCGGTAGACCGGCTCGAATTGAGGGAAATGCGAGGGCGTCTAGTGGTAGAGAACGGCAGCACATCCAGCTACGGCACCGCGAACGCAGCCTTCGAAGACTCCAGTCCCAACACCAAGATCAAGTCCAGCTGCAGCAGCAAACGCGGCTCGCAGGACGGCAAAGCCACCTTTCGGCCTGAATCTGGCGAGGACGAGCGCGAATCCTGGGACAGCAAACTGACTTTTCTTCTCGCGACGGTCGGCTACGCCGTGGGGCTCGGCAACGTCTGGAGGTTCCCTTACTTGGCTCAAAAGAACGGGGGCGGTGCTTTCCTCATCCCTTATTTCGTTATGTTGGCGGTTGAAGGAATCCCAATCTTTTATCTGGAGCTGGCTATCGGCCAGAGGCTGAGAAAAGGAGCTATCGGCGTCTGGAACCAAGTGTCCCCTTTTCTCTCGGGTAAGCTGGAGTGTGAGAGTGAATTTTGATGACAGGGTTTTATTAGGAATTGGGATAAGCAGTGCAGTGGTGTCATTCAACGTCGCCCTTTATTACAACACGATAATAGCCTGGTGTCTGTTTTATTTCGTGCAGAGTTTTCAATCGCAACTGCCATGGGCGGAGTGCCCTAAGGTGTATTTCCCTAATGGCTCCTACACTTCCGAACCGGAATGTGTGGTGAGTATTAATCTGCAGTGGCGGCTCGTGCTATCAGTTGCGACCTTCTGAGCACTCAGCCTGGGAGTTAACATTTTTTTTATAATAAGAAAGTGGACACTTTTTGCTGTTTATCTTCTCATAATATGTTTTTCTTGACGAGTCGCCACTGATGTCTTGTCTCAGAGGCGGACTGGCAAATTTTTATATAGAGTACTAAGTTGAAATGAGGGCCCAATATACAATACAATAAACATACCAGGTGAATAAAAAGTATGGAACCAAACGTTTTTTGCTTAAACTATTAATTTTTTGGAAAAACTAATTGATGAACGATAAAGTACTTTAAAGATGTGATGTTTTATCAAGAATATAATTTTTCTAAATATTTTTTTGTTTTTGAGTTCTACAAAAAAATTTATTTTTTTAA